TCAGTCAACAATCATGAAGTAAAACACTGTAAATTGAATTCTTGTTGCGATTCCCTAAGGAATGTAAACATAACAGTTAAACCAACATCTGTTGTTGGAAACATATATCAGCATGACAAATGTTGTACAAAACGGCTCTACCATTTTCAGGTTCATCGACTTTCTTTTCGACGTGCATATTAACATATTTGGTAAAAAGACGATTTCTGGCATGAATAGTCGAATAGCATGAAACAATGCGATTGTTGTCTTTAGCAGTTAAATTCCACTCGGATCTACATTTCCCTAACTCAGTTTCTAAAATGTTATCTACAGCACGATCAAAGAACTTTTCCACCTTTTCAGACATGTCCAACATTATACACTCGTGGTTTTTCTGGGTGAAGTCTTTCTCTATTGGCAGATTACATCCATAGCATTGTTCCCTACAAATTTCATCTACTTTCTTAAGAATGCAAGGAACGAATATCGCCTGAATAATGTTAAATGCAAGGTCTTTACAGGCCTCACGTTCCTTCTCCTCCTCCGGTGTCCCGCTGGGCTTGGTGTATGGTACAGCGTCACCCGTATACCCCCATGGAAAGCCATCCCCCGGATCTGGCGTAGCCTCATCACTCTGAGCATCGCTGTCACGTTTCACCTTCTTGCTTCCTTGATCCCGTTGAAAAGAAAAATCCTGTAAAAGGACAAAAAAAAATAAAAGAACAAAACAAAAGTTTATTAATGTTTGAAAAAAAAAGAGTAATGTGACACTTTTGAAATCAAACAAATTTTTAACTCTGACACACACACACACAAAAAGCAATTCGTAATGAAGACTTTATTTACATGAGCAATTTCTTACCTCCATGTCTTCCACAGCCTCGGTGATGGCAGGCATTACTTCTACCAGTTTCTTCCATTCGTCGACCCTCAGGTTTATGCCTCGCGGACTGCTCCAAAAGTCTTTACCCTTCACATGGACAAACTCGCGAATTTTGATGTAAATCTGGCCCTTGAAAGGTTCTACCACGGCGTGACGGACGTCGGTCAGCTCGAACCTAGCGGACGGGATAGTCTCAGATCGGCGACGCTTGCTTGGGTCAGAATTTGGGAACGGTGCACTTCGATCTTCAGCACGAGTCATCATGCGCTGCTCCAGTCGCTCAAGTCGCTGGGGGTCTGCATTGGCTAACCATTCGGGCTTCGCTGGTGCGTACTCGCGTACTTCTTTACGACTACCGGCCGCGTCATATGACGGCAGTGATGAGGTAGGCGCAAGGTAGAAACTCTCTGGTGCAGCCATCTTGTTTACAAGGTTTGATGATGTCGTCGATATTACAGAACTGAAGCGGTATGACCAAACACTTCTACCCAGCGGCCTATTTATCACGCTTGCTTCTTTTGTCCGATAACCTTGCTCAAGTCTCCCTTTGTCCGCTATTTCGGCTCAAGTCCCCCTTTGTCCGCTATTTCGGCTCAAGCCCCCTTTGTCCGCTATTTCGGCTCAAGTCTCCCTTTGTCCGCTATTCCGGTTCAGGTCTTTCCTCTGTCCGCTATTCCATCTAGCCGGGTGGGCTGCCCCCCCCCCCCTTTGTCCAATACATTTTTTAGACCCATCCTTTGTCCGGTAAAACTTACACACGCCCATGCGCTCTTTTATTATGCTAACATCATCCATCGATATGCTAATTGGTTTCATTGATATGCTAATGAGTCCATTGTCTTTGTGCATTATGCATAAAATTCTTTTGTCTTGTCCGATGAAGACCCTACTCACTACTTTCGAGCTCTGGATGTTTAACTCTGACGTCACTATGGACAGACTATCAGTACTCGCTGACTCCCAATGTCGTACTCATTGGCGGGCTTACAGCAGCACCAGCTAAACCACTGGATAAGGTAAGCCTGTGGCCAACCTCCCGGACAATAATCAAACAAACGTACGCTCAGAAAAACCTTTTAATCAGGAAAGCTACATTATTTTTATCATCACAAGGAGGGTTTATTACTTGTTAAACGCGAGGTTTTACTGCCTATCTGTTGGATATTACCAAGCAAAAGATTTATCTAAGCATCTATACTACTTATTGATAATATACATTGTTCCTTAATTAAGTAAATTCATAACATTATGTTGAGCAAATGAAAAGTTGCCCGGGCCGGATAAAACTCTTTGATCACGACTAGCGCATCTAAACTTCGAAGGGGGAACTGAAACGAACTCCAGAACAAAGAGTGGCTCAGATTTCTTTAAAGAGCCCATGAAATGGAATTCATTCATGAGCCAAAGTGTGATGTCATATCAGGCAGAAACCTCGATGTTGCAATTGGTTTTTCACAGAAAGTTGTCAGAATATTAGATATTTTGCTGTCGTAAACTTTCTTTTCTTTAGTGATTCGTTGTGTCAGTTCATGGCAGTAATAATAAATACCGGAGTCTTATATAGCGGACTTATCTACCAGCAATTAGGCACTCAAGGCGCTGGTAATTATGTCTATTTTTAAAGACGTAACTAAAGTTTATGGGAAATATGAGACCCATTATGTAGCACCTTTATAAGGGTTTACAAGGTGCTGCGGCGCATATTGCAGCCACTGCTAGAAACACCGGGGCAAACCCCTTCTCTTGGCGATAAGTGCTGCATTACATAACACACGGGACCTATACGAATATACGTCCCATCCGAAGGACGAAGTAATAATGGTAAAGTGCCTTGCTCAAGAGCACAAGCACCATACATGTTACCCGTTAGGATTCGATCCCATGTACCAAGGCACACAAGTCGAACACCGTAACTATTGGACAACAACACCCCACAGAAACCCAGTAAGCCAATGAGTAAACTTTTTTTCACAAATGTTTACAATGAGTAATGTTTGGGTTCACAATTTCAACAGAAAAACACCTTATATGAAAAGTGTCTTACTGAAATGACATCACGGCAACAGCGCTCTCAGTTGTCTGCAATAGCATAAGAAGAAGTGCACTTTTCAGTAAAATTAACCCAAAAGGGATATCATACGTTAAGAGGATTAGAAAATAGCACAAAATAAGTTCCTAAGAAATATTCACCTCATGGGCCCTTTAAGGTTTGTGATGAGGTGATCTGAATGATGCATGGGATTTACAATTCCAACAATAATTGGCATGTACTTTGCATCTACCTCCGGCTCCGTCTCGGCTCTAAATCCACCAACACATCATAATAGACATTCATTAAAATTCCTTGACTATAGGAACTTGAGGAATTCATGGAGGGATCGGGCGAGCACGGTGTCGTCATCTTCACCCTGAGTTCCTACTTCAGCACCCTGGACGGACGCCAGCCGGTCCTATGACCTGGCGGCAGCCCTGGCCCGGCTGCCTCAGAGGGTGCCAGGGTGGTGTGGAAATACGAGGGGGAACCTCCCGCTTCCCTGGGCATATTGGTGTGTGTGATACAGTGTGACAAAAAGAGCTCCGATTTCGGGGCGGTTTCGGGCGCAACAGAGAGAAATAGTGAGTCATAGGTAGGACACAAATTACAGGTGAAAAAGGATCGCAGTAGGGGGACAACTTCTCATTGTAATCAATCGCTATACATCCAGCAACTCTATGCGTCCTACCGCCAAAGCCGGGTAATCGCCTAGTATTAAATAATGGTGGATCATTTTCTTGTGAATGTAGCTCTATGTAACGCACATGTACCCGTATACCCAAATGGTATAACTAAGGTTCTACATTATGTAGCGTACAGGAGAGAACTTAGGCATCTGTCAAGGATAGTGATGCATGGGAATGAAATAGATTGCAACCGGACGAAAACATTAGTGATGCAATTGAAACTGCAGTGACAATTCACGGCCCTGTGTGCGATAAACCTGCACCTCGACATACAATAAAGTAATTCTCACAGATATTAAACTATTATAGCTCCATTGTTTATAATTGTCTTCTTCCTGACAATGAAATAGTCCACTGGATCGAGACACATGAATGTATTAAAGCCAGAGTCCATCATTTGCAGCTATCCAAAAAAGTAACTGGCGTAATTATAATTGTTGAAAAACATACTTGGTTGAAAGATAGTAAGGGGACTAAACTCCCTGTGAAATTATTCTTTCTGGCAAGCTGTCATTTTGAAGAAATCAACGAAAGAAGGCCTTTCCAACGGAAATTTTCATTTCCGTTTTTTTTTTATTCGGCGAAGCGCGCAAGCGTTGGCACGACGCACACGCGCGCGTGGTTGCTATAATTCGTCGGATCAGTGCGCGACACCCGCGTAGCTGCAATCGGCAAGGTGAGAACGTGTCTCGGATGCTGAATTCAGGCCAAATTCAAAACATGATTCAGCAACTTTTGATTTGAAATCGAGATCCTAGAATGTTATTTCTCTCGAAATATACAGCCAAAGCTGAGCTGAAACTTCATCAGGTTAGTTGTTCAGCACCCTTCTTTAGATTTTGAGCACTTTTTTTGCTTCAAACGAACAAAATGCACAAATTACAATGGATGGACTATACCTTTAAAAGGAATTGTCATTTATATAATACCGTCAAAAGTCATTATTTAATTCGCGGTAAATTCTTCGCATATTGCTTGACTCATTTAAATCATGCTGCCAACAATTGAAAACATGAAATTCTTTAAATGAAAAAAATTATTACAAATACATTTTCCCATTACATTATCCAACCGCACATCTGCTTAATGATCAATAAATGACAGTTTTACAACAAGACAACAGGTGAGAGAAATTGTGGTTTTTTTTGTAGATGCATCCCCCCGTCCTTGGCTATTAAAAGTAGTTCAGGTTTACAAGTGCTGGCACTGGTCGATATCGACTAGGATCAGTGAGCCACACTCAGTGACAAACCTGATTTTTTCGTATCCTGTATTCATTCCGTTGAAAAGGTTTTTTTTTTTATACATAGCCTACTGTTCTTTTTTGGAACAGATCAGGCATAATAATTGAGGCATAAAAAGACCTACCCGCATTAAATCTCTGCGCACTCGCAGTAGTGCGGTCAGGGCTTTGATTGCCTCGCTGAACGACTAAAGACCACTAGAGACGACAGACGGTCTCAGTAAGGAATTCCAATGTTGTTAGGAAAGGAGCAAACTTGAGCTGCAATTTTACCCAACACGTGTACCAGAAATACGTTGGTCGTTGCATGAAGCTTTCCTGAGGTGTGATGACCATGGAGATTGGGGTGCTTTTCCGTTGGATGGTGTGGGTCTTCCTTGCGGTAGTCTGTTTGCCTGCCTCAACGCAAGCCTACAATATCCTATTCATTTCAGGGCTGGGTGGGCCAGGAAGTCATTTCTACACGGGCTCCGTCATTGCTGAGACCCTGGTTAAGAGGGGACACAAAGTCACTTTCGTCATCAGTGATGCCTTCGGCTACCGTGCCAACAGCAGCCTGGCCGAACTCTTCGATTTCGAGGTGTACCCTTCAACGGTCAGCCGGAGCCAAATGCGCGAGGGCCTGGTCGCTTTCGGTGAAACGAGTCTGAGGGGCGAGCAGAGCTCGACCTGGGCCTGGCTCAAGCTGTGGATGTCCGGCGCGCTCAAAGCTGAAGGCACCGGTCGGATTCTGAACACCGCCAAATCATTCGGCATCAATGAGTTCTTTGCCGGTGAGTGTGACTCTGCCCTCTCTGATAATGCCATGATGGAGCGGCTCCGATCTGCAAAATTCGACATCGTCGTCGGCGACATCATGTACCCTTGTTTCATCCTGATCGCGCAGAAGTTAAACCTCCGCTACGTGAACGTCATGAACGGTATCATCATGCCGATGGCACACGGCCGGCTGGCGGGCATTCCCAGCAATCCGGCCTACATACCTGGAGCTCTGACGAAGTTCACGGATGATATGAATGTCTTGCAGCGCTGCCTGAACGTCTTCGCCTATAGCCTAAACGCCTTCCTGTACGACAACTTCTGTCTAGGGCCGTTCGATCGTCTCAAAACTAAGTACGGAATTCGACCGGAGATGAGCACGTACGAGTCACTGGGTCGGTCCGAGCTATGGATGATGAACACCGACTTCGCTGCAGACTATCCACGGTCGCTGACTCCCAATGTCGTACTCATTGGCGGGCTGACAACAGCACCAGCTAAACCACTGGATAAGGTAAGCCTTTAGCCAATCTCTTGGACTTGCTAACCCTAACCCTGCTGAATCCATCAGGATCCAACTATCTCATAAACCCGTTGGAGCCTGTTGGATTGAGCAGTAAACCCCTTGTACAAGCGTACAGGTACATTTTCAGAGTCGGATATTTGTTGGGTACTGATAAATGACGCCAAGTTGGACTCTGTTGGATCTAGCAGACAACTAAAAATTAGGCACAGTTGGATTCTGTTGGATTGTGCCGTTGGACTCTGTTGGATTTAGCAGGGTAGTCCTGAGGAACCCTTAGCAGGAAACTAATCTTATAACCACCGACCATGTTTTAGCAGGATAAAAATACGCCTATTTTATAATGTTTATACAGGCCTTTAGGTGACAGGTTCGCTGTTACTTTTGGGATAAAAGATTCGTGGGAAGTATTCCAAAGTAATTTGAATGGGTAATTACATTTAACATTCAATTTCGATAACAATCTCTTGCTAAGGACTTGGAGGAATTCATGGAGGGATCGGGCGAGCATGGTGTCGTCATCTTCACTCTGAGTTCCTACTTCAGCACCCTGGACGCCAGCCGGTCCGATGACCTGGCGGCAGCCCTGGCCCGGCTGCCTCAGAGGGTGGTGTGGAAATACGAGGGGGAACCTCCCGCTTCCCTGGGCAACAACTCCAAACTGGTCAACTGGTTACCGCTGAATGACTTACTCGGTAAGTCATGCAAGCTTGGAGTTCAAAAGTATGGGAATTAAAAATGGTGCGGGTACGGCGGACGTATGTGCCTATTGGAAAAAGTCGCCTGATAATTTAAATCACCATTTTACGCGGTTATTAATCGGGTGCGTTGTCGGCCGGCATTAGTGTGCATTGGATAGGTGGGGTCTGCTTAATGGTGAAGTAATCGACAACTTTTTCCGAGCCGCATAATTATGCCTATCCCGTACGCGCTTAGTCTGTATATCGCTTCTTTTTCCAGGGTCTGTATTCGAAAATGGTGTTGGTTACGATTACGTGCGCAGTTCGGAAAAGTTGTTTGTGCATATTATAGGCCTACATGCATAACCATTTGCAGTTTGTGCATTTTTCCCCTTTTTCGTTTGAATAAAAATATGTTAGGTACATGAAAACTAACCGGTTGATTTTTTTTTTACCTCACTGGAAATACACAATTTGAGAAAACAGGGCAAACTTGATACACAATGTGTTTTTTTACTCGTAGATTCCGTTGCCAGAACTTCCATTATTCAACAGGTTTGTTATTTAAGACCTAGGGCCTATGTGACGTTGAGGCCCCTGTTGAAGGGAACTCCTCGCATATCGTTATGAAAAAAAATTGCACACCGGCACACGTGACTTTTTAAAACCACCTTCAAGGATTGTTTTCTCCCAAACGACACCATTTCTGGCGGAATGCCTACAGAGTTTTTATTATCAGTCCTACCTTCACTTCCATCAAGGTTTTTCTCATTAAAATCAGTTCCGGGCATGTAGTTATCAATGTTTCTATACATGTATTATTTTGCTGGCTATTTCGCAGGGCACACAATGCAGGCAATGTCAACTCGCGTTAGAACGTCGAGGTGTACATATGCGGGTTTGGTCAAATAACCAGACAAAAAAGCGATAATCACAGCAAGGTTTTTTCCCGACTGTTATACCGTACCCGCACAATTTCTGAGGGTCCCTAATATTATCGTGGGTAAGGGAGATTCATGCGGTCCTTTTAAGTATTTTTTTTGGGAGTGTGGACAGGTAAAATATTTGCACAAGGCCCATCATCTCACAGTGTTTTGAGAAAACATTGCCGACAGTGGCCTTGCACCAAATCACTTACTATTTCGTTCAGTGTTCTGCATGTTGTACCGTCTGGAGGCTTTCAAGGCCGCTCGAGAAAATGACGCGTTTTGAAGGAAACTTGATATGCAAAACTCTTACTAGTATTTCACTAATATTATCTATTTCATGTGTTGAAACCACGGATTCTTAAAAAGCCTGAAGAAATCGTGTTAAGAAAGACCACGAAAAAAACTGAAAATAGGCCTATTGTCAAACCAACTTCAACGCGTTGATCTGGGTGGTATTCGAACTCAGCTCAGAGGCGCAAGGGAAGGAAAACTGTAATATTGTGCCTGATTGACTCTGCATATACAAGAAGAATTGGTTTTAAGGTTTGTTGGTATGATTTTCTAAGGTCATCCTAAGACGAGAGCTCTGATCAGTCACGGGGGTTTGAATGGCGTGTTTGAGGCCATCTACCACGGCGTTCCGATCGTCGGGGTGCCGCTGGTCGGTGACCAGTTCGACATTCTCGCTCGGATCGAGCCTCGAGGATTCGCCAAGAAAGTCGACATCGACACGATGACTGGTCAGATATTCCACGACGCCATTGTCGAAGTCTTACAGGATAAACGGTGAGGCAATCGTAGGCATTTTATTGAACGTGAGGGTGCAGTAGTTTGATTTACGAAGGGTGATTGTCAAAATGTTCTCTCCAAAGTTCGAAACTCTGTATAATTTGAAGGTATGACGCCATTCAGTTGCCAGTACATAGCCACAATTTCAGAAGTAAATTACGGACAGAATTTACTGAGATTTGATAATACCGCGGGTAACAGTCAATATTGTTTCATTGCAATTAATACAGTCGTAGCCGCCGAGCGAGGGGGTGGGGGGGGGGGGCAGGGGGGGGGGGGCTGAAAGACTTAAGTGTTAATACGACATCGGTCGGGGGGCGCTGGGGGGGGGGGGCTGGAACATTTCATGGGGGGCGTCATGTACGTCACGGCGTCAGGTAGATCAATGATAATTTTTTTAGAAACTCAAAATCTCAGTGGGGGGCAACTGGGGGGGGGGGGGCAACAAGGTTTCATGGGGGGGACAGCCCCCCCCCCCCCCCCCCCCGCCCCTGTAAACTCGAGTGGGCCAACTCGGTGACAATTATTCTGGATTTCGTCCATTTTTGATATAAACAGGTACAAAGAGAGCGCCACCAAGTGGTCCCGAATCTTCCGAGACCAGCCGAACACTCCCAGGGACCGAGCAGCCAACTGGGTGGAGCACGTCACCAAATATAGCGGTGGTTATCTTCGCCCCAAGTCGCTGGATTTGAACTTTTTCCAGCTGCACTCTCTCGACGTCTTGCTCTTTCTTGGGGTCGTCGGCTTCTTGTTTGCCTACGCGTTTTATTTCGTCACGAGGATGATATGTCGTTTGATATGTTGTCGTGGCAACGCAAAGAGCGGGAAAGAGAAAAGCGAATAGAAAGCGATTTTTAGAAAAAAAACCAAAAAACGAAACCGAGTCACTGACAAACATGGGCCAGTGGGACGAGCTGGCTGTGTGATCAAGGAGGAGAATCTGTGATTGAATCATAGAGCAAGGACTTGAATACATACACCAACTACAGTGGGATGGAGCGACCCGCAATTCTCCAATATTCCAACCACTTAGGCCCAAAAAAAAGTCTCCGGTTTCTGGTATGGAGCTTGCCCAAAAAGTGGTGCGGCGACGCGGCTTTTTTTTTTTTGTTTACCTGTTTTTTTTTTTTTGGCTTCAAATGTCGGCTGATGACTGCAAATGGTGCCCGACTAAACTTAGTGCAAATATATGGGAGTCCAGAGAGGCCACATAAAGCTTATTCTCGATCATAACCCCATCTAAAAACACGTTAAAATTGTGCAGCAGCAGGATTCCAGTCAAACCAGTGAGTTTGGCGGTTTTGAGACATCATCTTGTATTGAAAAAAAAAACTTTTTCATTTTGCCGACGCGCATGGCTACGGCGACGCGCGCGCATACCAGAAACTGGAGACTTTTTTTTTTTGGCCTTATAAATGTATATTTGGATTTATATCACCGTGTGTCGTCTTCAGTACAGAGGCTTATACTCGAAAACCTTCGCATGCAACTAAGGCCTAACGCCGCCTGTTAATTAAGGGTTACTTTGTGGTATTGCAAATATTTTGGTGCATAAGAGGTCTCTTTGTTTTTCCAGTCTGTAGTTGATAGTTAGGGTGCTAGTCTTATCTTAAGAATTTTCTTAATGAAATATCTGTCTTGTGTCATTGTATCATTCAAGTTCACGGTTCAATTATTGTATTTAATATTTCATAAAATCTGGAGATATATATAATTTAAAAATAAAACTTTTAAAATTGGGTGGAATACACTCATCATTAATGTCCATTCATTACCAATCTATGATGTACTTGCTCTTTAAAATACAAAGGATTTTATCCCAATCAGTCTCTGACATCAGAACCCAGACATCAATAAGTACATGCACAGGGTAAGTAAAAAAAAAAAATCAAATCAAAGGGCGAGTAAAAAATAACGAAACACAAATGTCGGGACCATTGTTTTAGTGAAGTTCTGCATGTAGCACTTTCAAATCTAGGGTATGAAAGCCCAATTCATAAGCTTTCTTTTAGTACAAGAATCATTCAAATCACTCATGTACTTTTCAAGTTACGGAATTTTAAACGCAAACACCATTTTAAAGTTCTGTCGACGGATCACAAAAAAGGTGTGTTCTTTCAGCAAAACGAAAACATTTCACACACATTTGAGCAAGGCAATTTGGAGTAAGGAAGACAAGTTACCAATTTTAAAATCTGAAAACTGCCCAAAATCTCAAATCTGTCACTGTCTTCCCAAAAGAATACACAGAAAACCTCAGTTATTCATGATTTTAGAGCTTGAACCATTGTTTAAATATCTGCAATTTATGACCACAATAATTTAGATCCATCGATCACGTAGACACAAAAACAATTTAACACACAATTATTTGGTTTTACTGTTTTTGCTTTGAAACCTTATCACATTTAAAACCACGCCTCAAAACGATCTTCAATCTGACCACTTTCAGCAAAACGAAAACATTTCACACACATTTGAGCAAGGCAATTTGGAGTAAGGAAGACAAGTTACCAATTTTAAAATCTGAAAACTGCCCAAAATCTCAAATCTGTCACTGTCTTCCCTAAAGAATACACAGAAAACCTCAGTTATTCATGATTTTAGAGCTTGAACCATTGTTTAAATATCTGCAATTTATGACCACAATAATTTAGATCCATCGATCACGTAGACACAAAAACAATTTAACACATAAACAATTATTTGGTTTTACTGTTTTTGCTTTGAAACCTCATTAAGCATCTCCCGAAATGGGCTCTAAAGTTATCACATTTAAAACCACGCCTCAAAACGATCTTCAATCTGACCACTTCCCAAAACATAATCAAAACTGGCATGGGATTACCTGATTTCGCCATGGGAGTTTTTAATTTCGTAATATTGGGCCAAAATCTGGATGCTTCCATTTGATTTAGGAAATTACTGGCCTCGAAATAATTACGAAGCTAGGGATGAAGCCCCAGCTGAAGCTGAAAGCCAAGGTTTCAAAACCGCCTTCATGTATCCCTACACACCAGAGATCCGTGCAGCCTAAGACCGGAAATCGGGTCCTTTGCCTTGCAGCAATTCCTTGAGCCCTTTGAAGTGGTTAATTCTGAAGATGTCCCCATTCTTGGTGTAGTAATCGGAGACGTCTTGGGAGACTTTGTCACTGGCTTCGGCCAGTTCCCTGCCCGTTGCCTCAGCTATCATCTGGAGAAGGAAGCGGTCAAAAAATGTAAAACATCACTCGTCTGAATTGATGCAAATTGCATTTTGCTCTACTGCTCCCTGCCAATTGCACTTTTAAACAGATAAAGAATATGATGGTTGAACATACACAGTCATGTGGTTGCTAAGGCAAAGCGTCTGCCGTTGTTAAGCAAAGCTAATCCGATTACCTACTTGGACGCTAAGCAGAGCAGTGAAATTCATGCACCACAAAAAACATGGCCTTTTGAACGTTGTGTTTCTCAGAAAATATGCACAGTATGATTGAATAGTTAAATTATAAAGGAAGAAGAAATTCTTAGCTTCATGTCAGTGAAAAAAGTGCCGTCATCGATGCCGAAACGTCAATACTGGTTACTGATATAGCTGACCTTCATGTTTGGAAGAAATCGTTCGAAAACTTCCCCAAATCTCTGTATTTATGTCAATTTCTAGGAGTTTCTCAAATTTTTGATTTCACGAGTAGTTGAACACTTATATCATCTAAGTATACTCCGAAGTTCAGCTTAATCTGTTGTTGTAAACGCTAGTGTTACAATTTGAAACATCTCCATGGAAAATTTTGACGATTATTTCTGCTGACCCAAGTCACGTGCATATTAGGCGCTACGGTTGACCGATTTCGGCCAAGCCACACAATATCGTATTGTAGATTAGCATATTCATAAGCGTCACTCGGCGTGTTTTGGCGTGGGTCTCTGTATCGACCAATGGAAGCCGGCAAAAAGGGGGTGATATTTATCAATTAATAACACGTGAAAGAGGCTTTTCTCAAAAATTTTACTGCACACCATAATAGATGGGAACCTTATTAATTTTCGTGAGGCTTGAAAAGATTGACAGCTATTGCAAACGTCAGTGTTACAACTTTCAATGACACACGTAGCCAGGCTGATTTTTCCAATTTCAACGAAAAGTAACGAACGCACCACAACGATTTTTAGCACATACTTGGATCATCATAAGGGAAATAAACCCCGAAAGTTGCATGAAGATACGGTCTTCCAAATGGTAGAAATTAATTTTCAAAGATTTTGTCCGCCAACGTGAACATGTGTGTGCACATGTAGTTTCATTCAAAATGAAGTATTACGTAACCTTTAGAAATCGCCCTTCGCAACCACATGACTGTACACGCAGGTGTTGTCCTATCATTTTGAATAGGGGGGATCAAACTCAAAATTGCAAACAGAAATAATGGGTAGAACTTTGCCAGACAATCTTTCGGGGGTGGGAGAATGATGCTTGTTCTGACAAAAGCGACAATGGCGGGGGGGGGGGGGGGGGGGGGGGGGGGGGGGTACACCCCTACACTCCCCTCTTCCAACGACCATCTGTTCGAACATCAAAAAATGACAGCTTATTTAACGTTAAATATCAGAAACAAGCTTCAATCCCTTTGCTCCTGTAGCATACTTTGAGTAAGAAGCCACAAACTTTAAATAGGAAGATTTCTATAGCGTTCACGGGCTGATTTTCTCGTAGATGTGTTAAGGGACTAAACTGCATGGCTAAGTACATAATTGTTTGAAGCTATTGAGGTAGAACTGCGCTCGTGAACATCATGCGCATGTTCTAAAAATTACGGCATACACGCACATTTGCATCCTATTCCTAATTGCTTGGAGGACAATAAGTACAGGCATAAGTACAATCGTGGCTTATGGTGCAACTTCGGTAATAGCGTATGATTGACGACACTGGATTCTTCGTTAGTGCTCTTTGAGAGTGTAATAAAGCCGAGACGCAATGACAATCACACTGTGCCTGCTCTCATGGGAGCTTGAGCTTGCTGGCTCTCATCCCCATCTATAGCTCCCACAAGAAAGCGCTCATATAAACAAAGCATGATGTTATTTATCCTTCTCACCTGGAACATGGCAGCCCTCTCAAAATAGTAGAGGTTATCGAAGACGACAGCTGCTGATTTGCCAGCCGCGACGAGGCCATGGTTGCCCATGACCATGACTTCCTTGCCGGCCATGTTCTGTGCCAATCTCTCGCTCTCATCTCCCATGTCTCCTGTGCCAGCATAGTCCTCGTCATATCCAATCTTGCCATAAAACCTCATGGAGCTTTGGTGAACCATTTTGAGCCGTGGGTTTTTCAGGCAACCTACGTTTCAACAATGGTAGGTAATGTTTATCCACAGTTCTAAGTTCGTCACAAGTTAGACCACAAGTCCATCACAAGTTGGATCTCAAGTCAATCACAAGTCATATCACAAATCAATCACAAGCTAGGACAGAAGAATGATCAATCACAAAAGAATACTTTTGTCATCTGAATAGCTTGTGTATTGCCTTGAAACCGAAAGACTTGTGACTGACTACAACTCGGTCATAACTTATTAAAAATAATCAAAATGGACCCCCGACTCCAAACAAACCACGAGGGTTATTTAACAGGTAAATACTTTCATAGATAAAAAAAAAATGACAGGAGGATTTGAATCTGTGACCAACTGAAATATGACACCCTTGCTCTTACACGGGCCTGTTTTTTGTGTGAAAAGCATCCTCTCTGAGTATTTCCCACTCACACTGTATCACGATTATGGTGTGTGACCTTGCTACACAACATTAAGATAAATGACTACCTCTACTGCATACTCAAACTTTGAGCTGGATAGCTGTAGTAAGTGAAAATTGAATGTTTCCATTGTCTAATTTTGACGAGGGCGAAGCCATGGATGCTGTACATGTATATGTTGACTTCAACACACCCGACCATTTTTAACAAATCCTGGACGCAACTCAGCCATCCCCTTTCAAAAACCTAAGTATCGACCTCTCTAATCCCGGTACATACCGTTATTTCGTTTTACCGTTTTGGATTTCCTCAAAAACAAAAACAGTAAACAAACCATTGACTGTTTTTCGTTTTACAATTTTGTAAAACGGTCAAATGGTATTAAGTGACACAAAAAAATTACCTTTTTGTTGTTTTTCAAATTGTTAAAAGCAATAAACGGCTAGTTGCTTTAATTTTAGAGTGTTGTTTTACAAAAACATAACAATGACAAAACGGTCAATAGTCTTGTCGACCAATTTTTTTGATCCAGGTTCGGCAATTAAGCAATGCACCTTGGAATGTTAATGTGTCCTGGCCTTGGGATCGAGTCAATGCCTGGGACCCAAATTGCCCTCCTTACATTTATGTCGTTCTCACGACAGAATTTGCAAATAGTGGCTATTGAAGAGCCGCGCCGAACTCCAATTTCCTTAAAAATATATGCAACTTCTTTATACGTCTTACCATTCTGTATCCATTGTGAAATTTCCTCCTTGAAATTTTCCAGCGCCATTTTTGCTTGCAACTCTTTAGCCCCGCCACCAACTGAATCGCAGTAGATGGGGGTCAGGGTCACGCCAGGAATCACACCACGCTATAATTGTGACGAGGTAACACTTCTTCAGGCGCGGCATGGTTCCCCTCCACCCCCGTTTCCCAACGCCACAAAATGCACTACGGACTGTTAGGCCCTAACTATGAAAAAAAAAAATAGTCTGTATTCAATACTGACAGTGCAGTAGAGGTACGTGCTATGCATGAGCTACTCTCAACTTATCACCCAGAAGGGACTCTTAACAGCTTGTTTTCCAAAGAAGAACAACTAGGTCACAGATGTGGTGATCACCACAGATGTAAACTGTTCCTCGATACCCAAACATTGACTTACTTAGTGCTGTCGCGTACGGTGGATGAGCATGCATGACACAGTCTATAGTCTTCTCCATGGCACGGTGGATAGCGGTGTGTATCCAGACCGCACTGTCTTCCGCTATTCCCTCCCCTTCAACCACCTTCTTGCTGTGAATGTCCACTCCTACCAGGCAACTCGCCGTCACCTGCAGGCAACAAAAGGACTTCACTTTTACTGGATGTGAGACAGGTGAATGTAAAGCCTGAGCATTCCCCTCAATACCAGGAAATGTCTTAGAAGGAACACACTATAGCAAGCTCGAGAGGACCAGAGGTGAAGAAACAATTTATATGGGATCTGGTCAGGACCTAGATGGTTGTGGATTGGGTTGTCAAAAAGCCATATTTTTTGGAGCTACTAATAAATAAATGGAAAAGGAAGACACGATGAGTCCCCTGGTCCTGAAAGGATGGGGCTTCTATTTTCCATTGAGGTTTATGGCTTTCTTAGATGTTCCTGCATACCTTCCAAGAGGTAGGGATTGTCACTTTACAATTGTTAAGTCCATACCCCACGTACAAATGAATAAGAATGATTTTTTATTTGCACCTAGAAGAGGACCAAAAATACCACCCTGGGATCTTACGAAATACTGACATAAAGAGAGGCGCTTTTGAGAGTACATTTGATAGGTGCATAACTGGGTAGTTTGTAAGTTGTGGTCGAGTAAATCCGAGTCAAATCAAAGTCAATCATAGACCAAATCACAAGGTCGCAAGTAAGAAGTCATTGAAAAGCTTACAACTTGACTTGAGACTCAATGACTTGTGAGTGACTTGTGGAATTTCAGTGTATATGGTGACGTACTTGACTTCAACTCTGGTTTTTTAGTTATTTCATAATTTCAAAGGTTCATAACCACCTGACTCCAGTGTTTGCCATAGGGGATGAGCAGCATGACCTCTCCCTTGCCATTGCGAGCTGGCCCCCTCAACGTCAGATGGTTGCATACCCCTTCTCCCATCCCATAGTAGTCCAGACCGCGGTAGCAAGCGGCAAGATCCTCCCTAGCCTGCTGGTTGGCTAGCTGGTGGTCGCCTCCTACTGTACACAGTGAGCGACTTGGAGAAAAAAAAACAGAAAAAAATTCTGTCTATCACAATGCACAAGTTTTTAAGGGGGGGGGGGGGGTGGTGGGTTGTTGTTTTAGGATCAGATCTAGCAGGTTCATTCTTAAAGGCAAATTTTGTCTCCCAGAATGAACCTGGTTTAAGATAGGGGTTGGTAAGGTTTGGGGTGGGTAACGTCCGGGGTGGGAAAGTGGATACATGTAGGCCTCAAGGAGATGGGTGGGGGTGCCTACAAGGAACCGGTTCCAGACTCAAGAGATTATGAAATTGGGTACCTGGGGCTGTAACAAATAATCCAGTATTGCCCTTTTCCCAAACAAAACTTCTAATCTAAAAATAAAAGGCAAATTGGGAAAAAAATCCATACTGGATCACCACTTTACCTGCCGCCAAACACATCAATTTTGATTTCACCCAAGAGGAATCCAGGAAGCTGTGTAAATGCGAAAAAAAATTAGGCAAAATGTGTTTTTAGAGCACATTTTGGATGCCCACGTCGTGCAGAACTAAGTTGAAGCAGCCGGTCAAAACTGATTGAAGTGTCTGGAAGACAGCGGTACATCATGATCATACGCATGACATTGACAACCATGACAACGCATGAGCCAGCCAATGATAGTGCAATACGTCATTATGAATATTTATATTCTCATGAATATTTAGTTATTTCAATGGATGCTTCAAATACGTCCAAAGATTGATTATTGCAACAGCGATCGTGCGCGGCCTAGCGGCTAAGAGTCTCATGTATCAAGCAAGAGTCCGAGGTTCGAATCTCGATGAAGTAAGTGACTGATTAATAAATAGGAATAAAGAAAAGGAGAGGGTGAGAGTAGAGGAGGGAATAACCATAAAGGATGCAACTTTTGGCGCTTGAAAATTAATTGAAAAAAAGTGGTGATCCAGTACGAAATTTTTTCCGGCAAATTTTATAACGCATTATTTTAGGCCTACCCGAACCGGCTATATGGGGGTCTTACACTTAGAGGCACTATTATAACATTACTAGTTCGAACATTGCATTTGCACATGAATTAATGGCTCCATATACTTAAGGCGAAGTAAAAAAAAAAACATGTTTAGCGTCCCCGCCCGCTTCCTTTTTAGAGGCCGCCTCCTTTTTTTTTTTTTTTTTTTTTTTTTTTTTAAAGACAAAAATTGATAAATTTTAACGATCTCTGACGAAAGAAATCGTATTTTTAGACATTTATACCGTGTATAAAGCTGTGGAAATAGCCAATTAGCACGTGCGTCTGCACGAGAGTCTATCATACATTCACCCCGTGTGAAATATTAACTGGTTCTCTACGTCTCAGAACTCAGGACTAGCGTGTCGGGCGGCCATTTTGAAAAGAAAAAAAAAAAAAAAAAGGGCCTCCTCCTTCCTTTTTGTCAAAGAGGCAGGACGCTAAACATGTTTTTTTTTTTATTTTGCCTAATGTGCAGCTGTCACGCCCCAACTATCGCATCGGTCCCAACTATAGTTGGGCCTGTCCCAACTGTAGTTCCACAGTTGGGCTGGCCCAACTATAGTTGGGCCTGTCCCAACTATAGTTGGGACGGTCCCAACTGTAAGTTCCACTGTTGGGCTGGCCCATCTATAGTTGGGCCACTCCGATCTTTTTATTTTGCGGTGTCCCAACTATAGTTGACATTGATGTACAACTGTAAAACGTTCCCTACAGCTCTGATACATGTCTGACTTTACTGGGGACCACTGAAATTAGTTATTGATGGGGCGAATCTATAGTTGGGCCACTCCAATCTTTTTATTTTGCGGTCCCAACTATAGTGTACATTGTTGTACGATTATAAAACATTCCCTACAACTCTAATACACATCTGACTTTACTTGGGACCAATGAAATTATCTATGGGTGGGGACCATCTGTAGTTGGGCCACCGCAATATTTTTATTTGGCGGTCCCAACTATAGTTTACATGATGTACGACGACTATAAAACATTCCCTACAGCTCTGTTACATACTGTCCGACTTTACTTGGGACCTTTGACATTAGCTATGGGTGGGGCCCATCTATAGTTGGCCGGCCATGGCAATCTTTGAATTTTGCAAAATGTTGCTGGACAATCAACCCAGCAGCTGGACAACTCATCCAACTAGGCAGTACCACGTGACCGGCCAGCCTTGCGGCATGCATGCACGACCAATACACGGTGCCAGCGCCGCGGAACATTTAATCCAACAAGATCTATCAAGCATGAAGCATCCGGCGCAACTCCAGTCCTAACTATAGTTGGGCCGACCCAACTGCCGCACTATAGTTGGGACAGTCCCAACTATAGTTGGGACCGATGCGATAGTTGGGGCGTGACACAACCACTTGGGTGATTACGCACAACACAGAATACAGTTTACACAGCACTATGACTTAGCTAGACATGGGTGCATGTCTGTGCCGTTCCCTACTACAAATATCGAAGTAGCCTAGCTACGATGTAATTCTACTTTTCTAGAACTAGAATTTAAGTACAATGGGCCTGTATGCATGCATGGTATGGGGCCATGTTGCGCCTATGAATGATCCTATGATAAAATCAAGGACATATTTTAATTGAAGTCGACTCATCACACAGTGCACACTAGGCCTATTACATAACGTTGGAACCTCGAATGGCAATGTTTGAGACTGTGTCGTGATACGAACCGGCAATGACACTTGGCAGTTTTCGTTGTGACTGACTTTCCAGGGACGAGGGAGCTCGAGGCAGCCAACAATCTCCTAGCACTGGAAGAAACGACGGACATCATGTTTGTGTTGTAATTTTACAAGTCAAGCGTCTGGTCTCCAGGTACGCCTCCGAAGATCTAGACATGGAGCTATAAACAGGATGACCGTAAGGTCATGGCCAAATTCTGCTAAATGGACTTCAAAAATGTCAAAAATCTGTCAGATTGATCAAAAATCTGCCAAATTCCCAAGAATTACTCGAAATACGCTATAAACACTTAAAATCACATGTTGTAGTATTGCCTTAATATTAAGGTTCAAATTAAATTATAAACAATCTATAGTCACATAAAGATGTTATGAAATTTTGAAATTTCAGACAAAACACGGTTGCGTCACGACGAAGTCCGGTTAATTATCTCAGTGAACCTCGGCACCTAGACTAGCCCGACTGCGTCTGGCCGTACAGTAGTGTACTATCGCAAGCTCTGTACGCTTGCGATAGTACTGTACGGCCAGACGCAGTCGGGCTAGTCTAGACCAGCCAAACTGTAACATTTATGCAAGGGTTTGTTTGAAAAAGATTGAAGCTATTTTTAAACAAAATATCATTTTTATCAAATTTGCTATGTTTTTCTGTCAGATAACCATTTTTGCAGAATTCTGCCAGAAATCTTCCAAAAAAATCCATTGTCAAATTTTCTGTCAAACTCGTTTTTTTAACAAAAAATCTGTCAAAGTTAGCCGAAAATCGGCTAAAACGGTCACATAACTATAAAAAGATAACGACCACTATGGCGTGTCAAACGTTGCAAAATTCAATGTTACCACATATATGTTAAATGTTCAATAATTGTGTGTTATCTTTTACATTTATGTGTAATATTCAGTATATTGAACATCGCACATATATTGTAAAACATCGCACACATATATTACGTGCGGGCAACTGCAAGAAAACAGCGTTCCGTTTTCCTGCAGCAAAATTTCCGGAAAAGTTTTTTCATTCCGTAAAATAAACAGACCCTTAACATGAGTTTGGACATGTGTACATGGTTGTGGGTGAAATAACAATATGTACTTAGATGTATTATATTATGTGTAGGTGTTTGGGCCGATGTGGTTGATTGTAATCACGCTAATTAGGATAATTAATATTTGCATTTACGGAAAGTCCGTAAAATTACGTACAGAATATTTCACTTTACGGAGTCCGTAAATTTACGGGCATTTTTAAAAGTGTACTTGCAAAAAAAAACAAGATTCGCCAAAACATATACATAAAAAAACCCAAGATTCACCAAACATTTACTTGCAAAAAACAAAACTCGCCAAAATATACATCCAAAAAACAAGATTCACCAAACATATACTTGCAAAAGAGCAATTTATACATTCGATGGCCTTTCGTAGATGACGTCTGGCCTGGCTGGATCATATCCCGGCGCGATTTTTTTTTTGGGGGGGGGGGGGGGGGAGGGGGGGGGCGGTGGGGGGTAATGTTTTAATTAAGTCATACATATGGAAAATAATGTATTTTCATTTTCCTGTCTTTAATAATCACAGTGATTATTAATATATTATATAGCCATTATTTTTTCATGCGTCTAAATTTTATTAGAAAATGTGTCGTTTGGCCGGTAAATTAGGAGGATAATCCTGTCCAGCAGACTGGATTATTTGTTGTATACAACAAAACAATTACAAGGAATATTGATATTGAAATAAGTTGCACTTGTGATTCAAGAAAGTTCAATAATCATGTTTGACTTTTATGGGACCTTTTACCAAAATGTTACTTAGGCGCATATGACTAATAAACAAACCGTCTGCTTTCATCGACTCGCATTTTGGCTTCATGAAGAGATTTTTGACCAGACACTGAAGATTCATCACATCTTTCTGCACCTGTTATGGTTCGGATTCCTATTGCATTGGACATAAAAAGCTTTCATGTGATTCCAGAGTAAGATATTAGGCCGGAGCCGAAACGGAGCCAAGGTTTGGGAAACCCCGAGCCTACCCTTCCTCCAAGCTCCATCAGTGGCCGGCACTGCGTGTGACGACGGCTACCATTTTTGTTCATAACTAAACCTTCTTGGGCCACTCCATATTGTTACACTAAAATAAATGATCCGTATCTAATGATGTGCAGGGATTCCGTGTCTGCACAACGCAAGGGGAAATAATCACCTGTTGGAGAAAGCGAACTAAGTGCGAACAAAATTCGTTCAAAATGCAAACAGTGTTTAATTAAATGTGTTTGGTAAACATTATTAAACACGTTTTATTTAAAAAAAAAAGTCCGCGTTTACTTGTTTTACATCTGTTTTAAAGCTTTCCAATCAATTTTATTTCGTTTCCTTTTTTTCAACACGGCGCCCATAAAGTCTTTCTTCCTTTGTGGCAATAGCCTATCTTGTTTTCGAACAAAATGAACTCAAACCATAATCCCTACACAATTTCAACAAATGAGGCGACAGGACTTGAGACAATTATATTAATTTTATTCATACTAGTAATTACAAGCCATAAGATTTCAGTAGTAATGTAACTTAGGAAATAAAACCTGTTTCCCAATATAGCCGGTGTATTAATTACGTTCTCATCAATACAGTATAGAATGTGATTTGATTTTAAAAGATATAGTTATAAGCAGAATGAAAATAGTTATTATGAATTTTTGATGTGACCAGAGTTAAGGTCGGCGATTTTGAGGATAAGTATAAATATTCTTTTTAAATGATGGCCAAAGCATTCATCGCCACACAAAGCCCTCCATTCTGATCATACCAACAGAATATTAAGGGTGTAAACCTTCACAAAATAATAGGAAACACCTGTCCAAGCATTATTGGTAACCACCATGATCAATGTAGGTACATGCGCACGTGTCGTGTGAAAGTGGACGATTACTTATTGTTAAAAATTTTTGCAAATGTGAACTCGAAGGAATAAGAGTGGTGGGTGGTGAGTAGGAGCGAACTCCTTTGCCCTAGCAGGCCTCTTTTTGAGGTTCTAGGATCTGTAGTCTGGTTGCCTCCGTTCCAGCAGTTTCTTGATGCCCAAAAAGTGTTTGTCCCAGAATTTGGCCCCGTGCGTGTCAAAGTAACGGGCAACCTTCTGCGCCACCTCGTCAGATGCTTCAAATGGCTTCATGCCGGTAGCTGCTGCCATCACCTGAAAGATGAATTGATCAAAGATGAAGCAAAGTTTCGGATTCACTCTCTCCTATTATTATTATCATAGACTCGATTCAAGGTGGACTTCTACCCGCGAGCCCTGGAGGCCAACACAGCATTATAGGACTAAAGCGTATTTTAGGGCTAAAGCGTATTTTACGGCAAAACATCATAGACTTGAGCCACGACCATCCTCAACGCAATAATCACTTTTTGGGTTTCTGAGCGTCGCGGATCGATCGGAGTTATAGCTGACAAATAGCCTTCAGCGAAAATATTGGCTTCATCCTGGCTTAAGCTCCATTTTCTCGCGCACTTAAGAATCATTTACGTATCTTTAATGTTCTTATCAAAATGAATCGCGCTTAACTTATAGGCCGCTAAATGATAATTGAAGCACAACAATGACCTACAACTTTGGAGTCACCCAAGCCAGGTGCCTGATCTCTTGACGCCTAAACCGGAGGTCATGTCAAAATTCTGGAAAGAGCTTCTTACCAATTAGAAACCATTGCATAGGGGGGCCTATATACCTGTAGTTTGGCAGCTTTCTCCAGATAGTACATGCTATCAAACACGTAGGCCACTGAGTGTCCAACTCCCAACACACCGTGGTTGCCCATGATCAGGAAGTCTTTGTCGCCCAGGTTGCGCGCCAGCCTCGTGCTCTCCGCCTCTCCTTCGTGGGCCGTGCCGCCGTATGCCCGGTCGTACGCCACCTTACCGTGGAACCGCATGCAGTGCTGGTGGACGTTTCGTAGTTCTGACTCTTGCAGGCAACCTGTTTTGAAAATGAGGATGATAATATTGGGCAGTTTTGGAAATGAAAATGGCTTAATTGGCGCAGTAAAACTAAGGAAGCTATAGTGATGGAAAGCGACTAGATGTCGCGATATTTCAAAATGTCAGACTCTCAACAATGATCAAATGGCAACTCTACCATACTTCGTTGGCCAAAGTAAACTTTAAGCCAATCACAGCATAGCAGTCAGCCACGGATAGAAAAGCAAAGAGAGAAGCTATTTGCGACCACGTGAGCAGAAAATCGATCGAAGTGGAAAGCCGACTGTTGAGAAACGGTCAAGACTTACTAAGCAGCATTGTGTAGAACTGATGTGTATGCATGATGCAGTTGACGGTGTCGCCTTTGCTCTTGTAGATGGCCGTATGGATGTTAGCTGCGCTGGGTTCTACATCACCATCCCCCTCCATCACTTGTCCGGTCGCGATATTCACGCCTATCAAACAGCTCGCCGTCACCTGCAAAATAAAACGGGGCCTGAAGGGTTACATGGACACTGCGTTTTCTATTTGCGTTTCTGCAGATATAATTAGTACATGTATTAACAGTAAGTAAAGTCTGTCACGAGCCAATATGGCCCATCAGGCCGGCGTTTATTTCCGGTTTCAGCATGAAACGACTAAGAATATTTCTATTCCTCCTGGACGGGATGCTAGTCCATCGCAGGTTGCTTCCAAGTTATAATGCCGGTACACATTTATACTCCATGGGTGGAGAGAGGCAAGTGGGATGAAGTAGCTTGCCCAAGGACACAATATATGGCCAGCGGCTGGATTAGAACCCCTGACCCTCAGATCATGAGTCACGAACCCAACCGCTAGGCCACACTCCTCGACAAATATGAAGGGAGCACTTAAAATCGGTCATCATTAATTTCCAGATGGTTCAATTTAGTTTTTGTTTTTCTTCACCAAAATTTGAGTGCTTGGGAGGGGTACATAGGGTTATATACAGGGGGACTCTATTATAGTGGTCGTACCTCACTCCAATGCAAGCCGTAAGGTATCAGTAGCATCATATCCCCACTGCCGCTCCGGGACGGTGCTCTGGTCGTCAGATGGGTGCATATCCCCTCCCCCATCCCGTAGAAGTCTAGTCCGCGATACGCTGCTGCCAGGTCTTCTCTGGCTTGTTGGTTGGCGGCGGTCGAGTGAGCTGAACTTGTAGCCAGAGACCGGCTTAAATATCAGGACACATTTGGGCAGGACCAAAAAATATATGAAACATTTTTTTTAAAGCTCTGGCAGGAGCTTTTTCATGTCACTTGGTGGTCGGTCGGTCTGTCTGTCCCCAAAAATTGACCAAAAGTATGGTGTTCCATATGTGCCATGGCGTCGCATTTTTCGGCGTCGCGTTTTTAAGCTCTGGCAGGGATCATATTGATCGATTTCATGCAAGACTTCTTGCAACACGGCCAGAGCTTATTGTGCACTCGCACTGGTTACAAATCACATACATTTTTTTAACCAGAATTTGTAACAACATAGCGGCACTTTCTGAATGCCAAATTCTTTTCAATTAGTGATGCAATACGTTAATTCAGGCCAACAGCATAGACAAAATCAGTCTAGACGGAACATTTACTGTTTTCTTGGCAAGGTTCTGAGCATGTTTCTTTGCAGTGAAGAGAATGGAATTATCTTTAGTTTTTAGAGAGAGAAGGCATGATACATGGACATTGTCATAAACAAAATGAAGTTTTAGCAGTATAAATAAAAACAAAGTGAAAATGGTTATTACAATTGAAAAATCAAGTCACTGAATGTCAGTACTCATAAATTACATTTTAAACATGGCAATATAAAATGGTTTGATTTTCACATATAATATTGTCATTCAGTACTGGACCAAAAAACCTGATTTTTTTTTATTGAAAACGTAATTTTTAACAGGAACACAAAACCATACCATGCCAGCAGGTTTTTGCCGTGTAGCCCGGCACAGGGCCGCAAAATCCGGCGCACTGCAGCCAGCGCCATCGTGCCCAAACAAATGTGAACAATTAATTAAGTGATAAAAAAAAAATCAAAATTTTCGGACGAATTGGACTTAATAAACACGGGTTACACAGCACGTGATTTGGGGTCAAGGATGCAAAAAGTTGATCTGGTTGAGTGGATCGGGGTTGATAAACCTTCGTATCAAGCTGTACTGTCATATCACGCGATTTCTGCATTTAATCTAAATATAGGCATACAGTCCCTTGTTGACTATGGTGTCTTTTGTGTAAACACCACCACTGAGCCTTGTCAACAAAATCATACATGCAGGTATACACCGAACGATTGTCAACTAAACAGCCATCAATGCAAGATAGGATTTGTTATCATAAATACTCACAAATTGGGCACAAAGTACAGATATAAATGTTTTTTTTCTTCAGAAAATCTTTATTTCAACCCCCTGCTTGCAGGCCAATGATAAGTTATGTATACCATACACAGACAATAAAATACATGTATAAGAACTAATCAAATTCCATGTGTACATTTGAGGACTGTTTTTGGATAGAACATCATTTTTGTTTGCTCGTTGGTGTATGAGTAGAGAATTTACAAAAAAAATATGTACTCCATCATATTCAGTGAATATGAGCAATATAACAAGTGTTTTCTTCAGTTGAACAAGTGCTCAAATCAATTATCTTACCAGCCTTGATTTATCCAATTCAATACACTTTTTCATGGGAAAAGGGTTAAAAAAGAAAGAAAAGCATGTCAAGAATATATGATTTCGTAAGGGAAACATTGGGCCTTTGAAATGAAATTCATAGACCTTTGTGAAGTTCTTGAAAGAGGTTCGTCACAGTGACTGACACTAAAAATGGAAGTGGTTTTTAAATTAAAATGGAGATTTTAACTCAAGTTTTAGTCTGTAAGCACTGACTGGAATCCCCAAAACTCTACTAGATCATAACCAGTAGTGATTTTGAATTATTATATGTCATGTCGCTCTTTTGCTGAAACCCAATGGCCAGCTTGCTGTCCTGTGACTGACTGAGTCACCGACTGACTGAATGAGTCAACGAGTAAAAATTATGTCTTAAACCGAGTCTTTTGGGTACATCCCAAGTAGGCAGGCCTAGTCTTGTAGTTCTGAATGAGAGCAACAAAAAGTAAGCTCTCAAAAACAACAAAAGAATTCTTAAATTCATTGGATGCATCCCTCTGCTGTCCCTGCCCCTCCCTTGTGCTATAAGTACTGCTTGGCCATTGCTCTCAGGAATTTACAAGCTCTCTTCTGGGCTGCCGCGCTCAGAATATTCTCGGGATTACTGGTATTGAGTTCTGCTGCACTCAGTGCTTGAATCTGTAATAAAAAAAATGTACAAATAATGATTTTCAATAAACTGCAAGGCAGAAATGTATTTAAAATACTCACAAGTCAACCACGAGTCTTCCAATTTCTAGCCAACTGATAAGCTAGTCTTACTAAATGTGACATGGCGATCTGCTGTCAATGTACATCCTTTACCACTTGTGAAATACTCAAATTGATTTGATTTGTGATGGACTTGGCAACAACTCTACAAGGTTTATATTTATAAGATGTATCCTATCAGAGAGATCCCTGCCTGGTGTTGCTACTGTAACTCGTGGACAATCCCTACCCACATGTTATTCATTATTTCAAGGCCTTTGACTAGTGCCTTCAAAACACATAATTGATGAATGGGAGAGAGCCAACATGACATCATTTTTTTCCGACGACAATTGGGCAATGATTCATAGTTTACATTTTTTTTTGAAATTTGAGTCTCCGCTGTATTTTGAATGGGCTAGCCTTCAAGGACATATGCATGCCTCCATGGTTGAGCACACAGTGCCCATATCTGGTGTCAGTGTAAATATTTAAATAAGTCAAACCTGCTTCAGATTAACTCTTTCAGTGCCAAACTCGTACATGTACAAGGTATATTTGTTAGTACAAAAGCGCCAACCTCGTAGATGTACGAGGTAATGTTCGTACTTAAAACTGCCAAACCTCGTACATGTACGAGGTAGAGTAAATATGTTATCAAAAGGGGGCGCTCTCGCTCTTTCTAATGGTACCATTTTCATGCATGTACGACCTGTATTTATTTTTTCATTCGAGTTCTTGCAAGAGGGCGCAGCACTAAATCTCGTATTTTCTGCAAAAAGTGCGGAATTCCCCTGTGTTCAGGCCAGTGTTTCAGGGTGTATCACTATGTTTGTGACTACTTTTGACTTTCCAATATATCAAGGATATACCAGAGAGCAACAACAACAAATTTAGTGAGTAAAACTTATTTACTTTTTTTTTTACAGAATTTCGAACAATTAACAAAAATGCTCGAAGTTGGGAACTTTTAGGGTTAAACTTTTCAAATTTCGCGGGCACTGAAAGAGTTAAATAAGGAAAATGATGTGCTAGTCGGTCTCAGACCATGTCTGAACAAAAGCAGCATTTTGACTTCTGTGTTGTACTTACAATAAATAAGATATTCTTGATAATGTTTCTTCACAAACTTGTTAGGAAACAAACATTTAAAAGGACTACAGATACATACTGCTTTCTGCTTCTTTTCCTGCTCATTCCTCTTGTTGTGGAGGTCTGATCCAGAGACAGTTAAGGAGTTCTTGTACAAGCACAACAGAGGTGGATACAGGATTTTTCAAAGACGTTGGCTTATATGTGTTGAAGTCGGTTCGGATTATTTCAAAGGGGAGGGTGAGTGACTAACGGCTGCTGAAGTACTGTAGGAATTTTTCAAGGGGTACTGTCATGTTAATAATATTGGCTTCTTGTATAGTGCTCATGTCCGTCACAAAGTGACGCTCCTGGTGCTCCAATATTACCCTGGCTTTAGCACGGCTGCATTTACGGCGCTCAAGCATTGAAGGAATTTCTGCCTAATAGGTACCCATTTACTACACCTGGGTGGAGAGAGGCAATTGTAGTAAAGTGCCTTGCCCATGCGCACAAGCACCATGTTCCCTGTCAGGATTCGAACCCATGTACCATGGCACACGAGTCAAACACCATTGGAACACAGCACCCCACATGTTGAAGTGACCAACATAATATTGTATGACATCATTTCACGAAAGGAAATATGAGATTTTTAAGATTATGTTTGAGCCTTCCTACCCAACTTCCTAAGCCCACCTTTATGAAGTGAGGTATTTTTGGACTAATGCTTGTGCACTCTTGATTAATATTGAAAGGCTAGTCTTTAGGAAGTTGGGGTAAATTGTTAGCATGGGACCATAAAACCGGGACCCAATTTCATAAAAACTTTACTCACAAAATGTTTTCCACTAAGTACAGTTCAACTGACAAACAGTCATTTGAAAAAACATCACAAAAAGGATACATATGAGGTATTCTAGTAGCGTCACGTCCCAGATGCAGTCATATAATGCGTCACCAGCATCGTAACTACAGACATTAATAAAATATGACCAAAAAGAAAGAACAGGGTGGATATTTTAGAATGAAATGCCAGAAATATTGAATTTGTATTAATATTTATATATTTAAACATATTATCCCATATGACATTTCACTCAATTTATATGAATTTATATATACATGTAACTTACAAAAACATATTTTCCAAAAGTGCTTTTCACACAATCCACAAAAATAGCCCCCCTCCCTTTTTTAGGGGTAAATATTAGTCCACTTTTTTCTCTGACAAACACGTTAAACAGTTGGAAAATGTCTAATATTTTACCATAAATTTTATCCTCTTGCCAAGGTCACAAAACTATGTCAGTTAAAGGGAAAAACCCAAATCACTCTCATTGAAAATCATTCTGATGCAACTTTCATCGAGAGTCCAACAAAAGTTGGAGTAAACGCATTCCTGCCTACCATGACTTCTCCTGCAGTGCCTTGAATGCCGTGGTATAATCTACTGGCTGCAGCAGTTGGCACAGCAGTGCCACCTGGGTGTAGCACTGCAGGTGATTACAGCATTTGATCAGGCGACGGTAGACCAAGTCAGGCCAGACGTCGCGGGGAACCGGTACCTCAAAGAGACCGGTCAGGATGCTGGCAGACTGCAGGTAGAACTGTAAGGCCGAGGCATACTGGCTGTTGGCTGGGGGAGATGAACCAACAATGAACAAGTTATAAGAATGTTTGGGTTTGAATCCAGCTGGACGTTATACGATGTGTCCCGGAGCAAGTCACTTTATTTTGTATTTTTTTAAAAGAAAACGTTTCATCAGAGTGCATTATTCAGATACAAACAACTCAGGATATGTTTACAATGTTACACTTCAACACCAAGCCAGACTAGAACCCAGACTCACCATAGTGGTAATCCGCCTGTGTCCTGAGCCAAGATGACTGACCGGGATTAATAGCGATCACATGACTGATCAGCTGACCCATGACCATGGCAACAGAGTCTATGTTGATGGAACTCACACTGTAAAAACAAATGGGGGGGGGGGGGGGGAGGGGACAAACACAAACAAGTAAAAGAATGGGTGAGATTTCCAATGCAAGTCTTTACTGTAACAATTTTTTTTATCAATGCTTCAGTTTATTTTGACTTATCTTTCCACACAGTTTTTTGGTCGCAAAAAAAAAATAGGAAAAACATGAATACAAAAGTAAAACATGCCTGCTAACCCAAAGTTAAACCCCCATCCCCCTTTCCTGAGCTAAATCTGGATCCACCCCTGGTACATACACTTCGCCTACCCTAGTCATGCACCTGGGTAACCAGACTAACAAAATTCATCTAATACGAGTTCCAAAAAGTTGACCTGGGCCCTTGGGTGGATGGAATCCCTCCAATGAGAGCCCAAAGAAATTTGAGATCACTGGTTCCCCCAGAAGGGGCGAGGCATGGGAGGAGAGGAGCAAAAACCTACTTGGTGATAGTTGTGGGCCACAGCTGCGCGTGCTCATGGGACAGCTCGTTCATGGAGTCATCTTTCAAGATGTTATGAAGTTTGACAATACATGACAGCATTACGGTCAGACACAGGGAGAATCGCAGCTGCTTCAGGAACTGGAGAAAATCAGACCTGTTACATAAAAAAGTATAAAATTCAGATACTTTTTCAACCTTCTGCATACACTATCGACCTTCTGCATTTTATCAACACATATATAAACTGATGATACATTTTAAGTATTGAGCTCTCAACACAAACTATTATTTCAAACAAACTATTTTAATACTTCCATAAATGTGACCGGCTCCACAAAAAAGGGTATTAAGTCGCGCTGAGCATTATTGTGTAATGGCCCACCCAACAATGATGAGAGGGTGAAAATTTTGTCAAAATGTGATTTTCATTTTTTTATCATGAATGACATCTTTAAAACCTACAGTTTTAGGTTTCTTTCACAGAAATGTTGATTTTGATGAACAAAGTGTAAAAAACAACCATTTTGTGTGCATCGTTCTGTTGTTCTACAACAAAGCCAGCTATTTCAAAGCCTGTTTTCTCAGTTGTGTAATTTGAACTCCAAGGAAGTAATTAATATGCAAATACGTCATATCTCCAGATTGGGAGGGGCTATGGAGCTCTATTATATACCAAATGAAAGCTTACATTGTGGGCTTTCCAACCATGTATATAACTCAATTTCACTTGTTTTGCGACATAACACCCTTTTTTGTGGAGCCGGTCACAAATGTTCCTCGTTTAGGAAGCTGCAATCACTCAAAGGGTAAGAAAAAAAGCAGTTATGCACAAAACCATGGAGAACATGTTGCCTTTAACCAGTTCGCATTGGAGGCCGTGTTAACAAGTTTCAAAATGCTCTTATTTTAACCAGAATTAACTTCCTTGGCTGAAATTCGGATTTAATATCCCTTTTCTAAAACTCTTCCATTTGCGACAGATCAACCCACCTTGGAAATTCCTAGTTTTTGAATAAAATCCATATATCTATTTCGTGAAAACCTTGTGGACACGTATTCATCTATAGAAATTGCCCTGTGGAGGTGATCTTTTGTTCCCTATTGTGTGCACGTCTCCAGAGGGCACGGTATATCAGATCGCTAATCCCTCATGTCTTTTGTACACACACACACACACGTGTAAATGCCGGCAATTGTGGACGCCCCATTGTCCCTAATCCTCTTTCCTTTGTTTGTACTCGTAACTTTATAGCGTCAGCTTTCATTGGTTTTGTACACGATTTGAGATCGTGGACGTTCGGTCAATCGTGGACGTATTGTTTGCGCCCCAATTCTTTTGTCCTAGGTCCACGATTGCCGGTGTTTACATACTCACCCCCGCACACACGTATTCTGTGAAGTCTGTAGGCGGACCGTGTGTTGATCTTGAATTGGCTGCTTTGCACGGCCTATTGTTTTACAATTTAAGCTCCATCGCACACCCCGGAGTGTTGAAAAATATGAGGTTTCGGCAAGAAATATCGTACAAATACTGTTGAAATGACTCTTGCGAATCAGTATTTGTAGCGTGTGGCTGTATATCAGAAGTTGGCTGCTCTATTTTTGCCTTTTTCGAAAATCGAACTTTTCCTCAATTTTCCCGAAGTGGTTATACAAGCAAATACTGAATACTGTTCAGCAGCTGAGAACGACAGTTTGCACAGAAAATGTAAACTCATGCAAGACGTGTCTTCACCCATTAATCCCTGTACCGCCCAACACCACCCTGCCTGTTACTCCCTGAACTGCCCAAAACCAGACCAGCAATACCAGGAAATAAATACAATGTAATACAATGTAATACAATGTAATGTTAATGGTTAACCCACCTGAGCATGATAGCCAGCATAGATTCCCTCTGTACGGTCCCGGCCGGCTTACCAGAGCTGCTTCTCTTGACCTGCTTATTACTGGAGCTGAATATCTGCAAGGTGGCATTCCAGAGACATGCGGAGGACTTGGTGGCATCCTTGCGCATGGAGAGATCATGGCAGGCCGTGGCAATCACCTTACCCAACTGACAAAGAAAGGGGTTGGTAGGAACAAGGGTCAACATGTTAGTACCTGGGACAATATCTTGTAGCGGCTTTATGTTAAATTGTTTTCATGTTTTTGTTCATATTTTTACTGTATCTTGGGCAATATACAAACAACTAAATGCACATAATTACAGAAATTATGGAACATAGAAATCTTTTGTTCTATTGTAATCAACCATCTGTACCCCTGTCGCATTTTTATACACACTCTTTCACACACAAAAATTGACTTCCAAACAGATCCCAAGCAACAATTACTGAAAAGTGTTCTGAGATTCGGTTCCCCTTTTGAAAGGCAAGACAATTCTTGCAGAGAAAGTTGACGTCGCGTTGAAGCATTTGCTATTTATAACGTGAGAACAAGATCTATGGCTTACTATTGAGTACGAAGTACCGATGAAATCTGCACCCATGGCATCCACCCAGTTTCCGGAGTTGAGCAGGTGTATGATGCACTGATCTAGAATCTTATCTCTAGGTGTAATGTCTCGCTCTGCATGACGAAATGTAAAAGATTTGGAATGTTAACTCTTTTAAAGCTAATAGATTAAAAGTAAAACATGCATTTCCCCGGGGTTTTTTTTTGGGGGGGGGGGGGGTAGGGGGTAATTGAACACCAGTTGACCCAAGGGGATGCTGTTCAAACATGTAAATCAATCAATCAATCTTGCACCATGTCCCGAAGGACGTTTGCTCCGCCAATTTTCGCTCTCCACTCCTGCCTATCTTGCGCTCTATGGTGTACCAGGTAGAAGATGCTGTTAAAGCTATAGTCCATCATTTGCAGCTATCCAAAAAGTGGCTGGCGTCATTATTGTTGAAAAACATACTTGGTTGAAAGATAGTAAGGGAACTAAACTCCCTGTGAAATTATTCTTTCTGGCAAGCTGTCATTTTGAAGTAATCAACGAAAGAAGGCCTTTCCAACGGTGCTTCTTAAGACGCACCGTAGGAACATTTAAATTAGTAGTTCGTTTTGTTATTCGGCGAAGCGCGCGCAATCATTGGCACGACGCACACGCGCGCCCTGCTGCTATAATTCGTCGGATCGCTGCGCAACATCGCGTAGCTGCAATCAGCTCAGCGAGAACGTGTCTCGGATGCTGAATTCAGGCGCAATTCAAAACATGATTCAGCAACTTTTGATTTGAAATTGAGATCCTAGAATGCTGTTTTTCCTCGGAATATACAGCTGAAGCTGAGCTGAAACTTCATTAGGTTAGTTGTTCAGTACCCTTCTTTAGATTTTGAGCACTTTTGTTGCTTCAAACGAACAAAATGCACAAATTACAAATGATGGACATTTTAACCATGATGTCATTTTCCCATCTCTTCCTTGGCCTACCCCGTCTATTTTTCCCAGTGGCTGTTTCTAGCAGGATGTGTTTTGGAACTCTGCTGTTTTCCATTCTCACTATGTGGCCAAACCAGGCAAGTCGGGTTTTGTAGATATGTAATTAAAGGTGATTAACTCTGGTGAGTTACCATCAGCTGAAATTCTCCTCCACACCTCGTCATTTAGCACCTTGTCTTGCCAAGAGATGTTCAGGGTTTTGCCATAAGAGTGCATCTGGAAGGCTTCTAATTTCTAATTTGTTTTGAGGTTTACCCCTACTCCCTGCAGTATATACCATTTAATTTACATCAAAAGGTTGGCAAAGAAGCAAAATCCTTAGAGCGATTTTACATGGTTGGAAAAATATTGTGAAGATTTATCCTAGCTTGAAACTTCTGTGAAATTCAGTCACGGTTCTAGTCCACAATTACACACTCCTCACCGCTTTTGGCACTGGCCAGACACGACTGGATCCTTTGTGGCACTGTGGGCTTCCCTGGTTCTACCTGCCGGGTACCAGCTTCCCCGCTCAGCAGCTCAATATACAGGATCTCGTGCAGCAGGGCCTTTTGTAACTTGAAGGAGGTGTCGCGCACCAGGGCGTGGGCCGTCTCCAGCAAGGATTTGGCAGCAGCATAATTCTACATTTTGAAAGGCGGCCAACAAGTAAATGATGAAGTGATGACATGTCAACCCTAAAATGTGGGAAATTTGGCATTTTTTTTTCCATTCTCACACTCTAAGTCTTTCTGAATGGGATTTTGGTTGTTTCAAAGGTAAGTCACGTTTTAGAAAAAAACATCTGTGCTTTTTCAATGCTATTTCTGCTAAATCAAAAAAAACCAAACATTTCTCATGGCACTGCGTACCGATAACAAAACTTCAGTGGGGAATTCGCTCAAAAATAGGGACATGGCAATTAATCTTCATACACAAATACATTACATGTGTCTCCATCATAAATTAGCACAAGTGTTTGCTACAGTAGGTACAACTTTGCATTTGATTGTTTAAGCAGCACCGTGACAGTGGGCAAAGGCGTATTGACAAACACAAAAAGAACCCTAGACGAAGACACATCTTACCTTGATTTCTGTGCAATGTTGAGCTTTGACCAGCAGCAAGAATAGCATATCCTGTGTCTTCTTGTTCCCCATGCCATCTAGGATGAAGGCGTAACTTTTCTCGATCTGCCACTGTTGAAAGACACCAAATTATTTTTACCCAATTATCAGCCACTTAGCAATCGGGGCTAGGAAGAGAACTCAAAGAACAATCATGACATTCTAAGCAGTGGCATTGTACTTTATTGTAACAAATTTCCCCTCATTTTCGTAACAGAGTCCCTGCATGTGTGGAGCCCAGGAACCCAGTTCATAAGAAGTGCCCCAGTCACTGTTAGCTAGCAAGCCTGAAGAGACCCGAAGAGAGAGGACAATGAGAAGAAATTACAGTCTTGGAGGTGGGAGGAAAAACCCAGAATGATGATCTAGGGAAAACCCTCGGAATCAGGCAGGGACTGAAAACCCAATCCACATGTTGGCCCAGGCGGGACATCAAACTCGGGTCACAGCAGTGGACGGTGAGGAAAGTACCGCTATGCCAACCTGACTCCCCCTTTTGATTAATGTTTGGTGACTAGTGATTAACTTGCGACGAGCCCCGATTGACTGGTGATGAACTTGTGATTACTTTCTGTTGATTTCTTATGAGATGGATTTGTGACTTCACTATTTTGAATGATGTGATGCTTATTTGTACTAGTGCAGTCCCCTGTTCAAAAAGTGCCTGTTGGAACTGGCAAATTGCTTGGCCTCCAGTAGACCCACAAACGTGGCGGTATAGACATGATAGAGTGCAGTGCTCGTATAACAGCAAGTCATATCTACATCTCACCGTTGCCTGATCGTGCCCTTCAAAGAATGGTCGAGGCCCACCTCACCGTTGCGCGATCATCCCCTTCAAAGAACGGTCAAGCCCATACAGCCAACCACCATTTGCACATATGTTAACCAATACCCGTGGCGCGGTATAGAGTGCCTGTTCAAAATGTGCAGGCGTGTGTGGCGTGGTCTGTATATACACGTTTATATGGTGATGGCCTCCGAAAATGTTGGGTTTTTTCAGCTTCTTTGAGAACATCCAAACAACTTCAAACTTGACACTGCACATCCTTGGGTGCTGAGCAATACACTAATGATGTGCATCGGGTCGGGTTGACCAGGGCAAACCGGCCCGAAACATTAGAGATATAAACCGAATCCGAACCGAAACCGATCTTAACTCCTCAAACCAACCCGACCCGACCCGACCCGACAAAAAATAAGGTAAAACCAACCTGAACCGACCCGACCCGAAATTTTTTTTTTTTAAATGAATACCTGACTTGGACAAAGTGATCCCTTTTTTTGTGCCTGTCCTTACCCACGTGGCATGAATTCTTTTGCAAAACCATCGTCTCTCTCTCTTTCTGTCATACTCAGTGTAACTCTGCTTATTGAAAAAACGCATGGTCACCATGCGGTATCATGAAAACTGTTACAATCCATCTACTTCACCGTCAGTCCCGATTCGACTGGAGAAATTAATACCGTAGGAACTTGATAGTGCGCTCAGTGGCCACACCACACAATGGGCTGCAGTCACAATGACTGTCAATAATATTGCATCACCTGAATTTCTCAACTGTTTCAGTTTATTTTGGTTCATTTCCGTTTTTTTCCGACCCGAAAATGTAAATGCAAAACCAAAACCGACCCGACCCGACTGAAAAGATGAACAAACCGACCCGACCCGACCCGAAGTCGGTTTCGGGTCGGTTTCGGGTCGGGTTTGCACATCATTACAATACACCTGCCTATTGTCAACTTCATGCAGTGCCCAGTTCTTGAGATAATCAATATACAGACAGACAGACAGACACATAGAGATTCCTGGAATTATAGTAAGATGGTGGAACTTGTGATGACTTGTGGTGGTATCTGACTTATGATGAATTGGGTTTTTTTCACAAACCTTGCTGCAGATGTTGGAGTAACGTTTCCCAGGCCCCAAGCGGTGCAGCTGGGTTAGTATACTCTCCAGCTCTGAGTGACTGTTGGTAAGGAGTAGACGCTGTTCCAGATTGCCTAACTGCAGAGCCATGTTGTCTGAATGACAAAATTGAATATAAAATGAGAAACACCCAAAAAGTATTGCTGCTATTGTGAATTTTCTGCAGACTCAAAGTTGGTTCAATTACCTCTGCTTCGAATATATAATAAGATTGTATGTTCCTTTGCTGTAATAATAACATTTGTTGTGTTGATTATTTTGTGTATCTTGGCAATTTAAAAAAAATATTGCAAACTGAACCAAAAATCATTGCTTTCCCTACCAAAAAGGGTGGGGGGATTCACTCAATTTTGTTTAAAAATCACGAAAGCCCAAATGCATTCTCTAGTAAACTGTACAAATGTCCAAAGCAGAAAAATTGCCATCTTGAAGCAGAAACCAAACCTGTTTGTGAAGATGACCCGATCTCCATGGCAACAATCTCCTCTGTGGTTGCTCTTTGGCACAGTGCCAATAATTCATCATCCGTCAGCGTGTCTTGCAGTGACTTTCCAAGAAACTTGGAGACTCTGTCGTCAGTGCACAAACCCCTGGAATATAATGTTTTAATAAATCTCATTCAGAAATTGCAGGAAGACATCTTTCTTTCGATGAAATACTTATAAGAGGGGAATAAGCACCGCCATCTTTATTACAAAAATAGTTAGAGCAAGAGTCAATCATTTGCAGCTATCCAAAAAGTAACTGGTGTAATTATTGTTGAAAAACATACTTGGTTGAAAGATAGTAAGAGGACTAAACTCCCTGTGAAATTGTTCTTTCTGGCATGCTGTCATTTCAAAGAAATCAACGAAAGAAGGCCTTTCCAACAACGCGTCTTAAGAAGCACTGTTGGATATTTCCGTTTAGTAGTTCGTGTTTTTATTCGGTGAAGCGCGCGCAAGCATTGGCACGACGCACACGCGCGGGTGGTTGCTTTAATTTGTCCGATCGGTGCGCAACATTTGCGTAGCTGCAATCGGCTCAGTGAGAACGTGTCTCGGACGCTGAATTCAGGCCCAATTCAAAACATGATTCAGCAAGTTTTGATTTGAAATCGAGATCATAGAATGCTGTTTTTCTCGGAATATACAGCTGAAGCTGAGCTGAAACTTCATCAGGTTAGTTGTTCAGCACCCTTCTTCAGATATTGAGCACTTTTGTTGCTTCAAACGAACAAAATGCACAAATTACAAATGATGGACTATACCTTTAAGACAACTTTTGTGTTTGAAATGAACTGTCATTCCATTCATCAAGAAACTCAAATACATACATACCTCAGTAATGTTTTGATGTTGGTCTTATTCCGTTCTTTCTGCTGTTGAAATTCTCTTTTAATAAACTGTAATCAAAATGACACATTTAGAAACAACTTGTCAATTTCAGCCACATATTAAAAATTAAATTGTCCATTGAATTGTGCTACTCAGTCATGACTCAAGTCAATGGCAACCTCACCTTTTCATCTCCTTTTCATTCACCTTTTGGACTGATGCTCGTACATTGTATGGTAAAGTATTGCTCGTATTGGTTATACATCATAATCCATTTCATGTATTTCCCCGATTTTTGGCAACACTTCTTGGTTTTTCTCTTACGCATCTGGTGGTATGCTCTTCAGGAGCGTTTGTAAAAATCTCTTCAATGTCCAGTTTGCTTCCAAATTTTAAAATTGGAAATGTTTATGAGCAGGTAAAGATAAGATTAAAAAAGAAAAAGAAAAGAAAAAGGGAACCTATTTAGTTTTTATCAGAATGTTGTCATATTTTTTAATTTTTATTTTTTTGTTTGTGTGTAAATCTCAAAACGATTCAAAAATTTAATTTATCCGTTTTACTGTTTGTATTGGTTATACATCATAATCCATTTCATATATTTCCCGATTTTTGGAAAAACTTCTTGGTTTTTCTCTTACGCATCTGGTGGTATGCTTTTTAGGAGTGTTTGCAAAAATCTCTTTAGGGTCGAGTTTGCCTCCAAATTTAAAAATTGGAAATATTTATGAGCAGGCAAAGATAAAAAAGGGATTAACCTTGATAATTTTTAGCAGTATTTTTATTGCTGTTTTAGCGTGTAACTGTTTATACATATATATATTAAGGTATTTCTTATCCTTGTGTATTTTTATATCCTAGTGTATTATTAATGTTTGTATGTTTAATGTTCGTTTTAATGGATGGGTTCGTTTTTATCGTCTTGGGACTGAATGCCTGTAGGCAATAGTGATTAGGGTCACTTTCTAAGTTCCAGTCATCATGTTTTGTATTGGATTTTTTTGTTGCGATGACAAATAAAAAAATAATAAAAAAGGAAGAAGTAATCGCAAGTCAATCTTATGTTATCCAGTCCCAAGCCAAGCTATTTGAAGGAGCTATGACGACGGCACTCAATTGTCATTGTTTATCCCCTGTTACTGAATAAGGGGGGGGGGGAATTGTGTTTGGTTGGCTTAAACCAAGTATATATAAAACCGGCTAGGGGCCTGGACGCAGATAATAGACCATTATCATGTTGCGGCCATATTGATTTTTTCCCCATTCATATCAACGTAACCAAAGCGAGGCTGGAAGGAAAATTAGTCAAGCACATATTTATTCCCATTCATAAATACATTTCAGTCAAAAATTCACAAATTTCCAAAGATTTTGTTAACAATTTTACTTCATGTTTTGTGAAGCACCCCTCTGGGCATGTCTATGGTATGTGCCTCGCTTGTTTAGTGCTAAAAGTCTTCTTTTATGGAAATTGGCGTGCGTGGAATACATCCTGCGCAATGTGGCGCGGAACCCAGCAGTGCTTTACCAGCGGTTTAAAACCACCCACATGACGGGCTCACAACCAATATGAATTGGTAAACAATCTCAGGTATTTATGAATTGCAACTGACTGGAATATAATACTGCCTTAACCAATAAGCATCAAGTCTAAATGTGATTTCCCAACGCTCGGCTTTGTCTATGGCTACCGCTTAGATGTGTAGGCCTGTGTCTTGGGGAACTCTGGTCCAAAATAGGTCCGTGTTCTGCTCTGGGAAAATGAAATATTGGGCCATAGTTTTTAAAACTGCCCTAAAGAGTACTGCCTATTACTGCCTACACCATCCAGATCGGCCCGAGCACTCCATGGGTTCACGTATTCATCATGGAATTAGTACAATGTAATAGTATTGTGATTCTGTAAGTGAGAGACATTCGCTCGTACCTCCGCCCTGCAAACAGGACGCTGGGATACTCTGATGAATTCACGTTCTGATTGGTTGGCTTTTGCGTGATCAGTGACCTGCGCGTCATCAAGGTCATGACTCAGCAAGGTTTGATACGGCCGTTAAGACTGATTCATTCATTACTTTTTTATTCCAGTTTAGAGATGTTTTTTTTGTTGTTGAAAAGTGTAATAATGTAGGAAATTCTGTAAAACTTATCTGTGTTGTAAATTTACAATTCCCGTCACTTGCTCAGGCTCCGTTTCGAATCACGAACGGTCGGATTGCATCATGTGATGCTCAAAATTTGTCCACATGGTCCGCAATGAAACAGAAATCACATCCGGTACAGAATGTGCGCATTTCTATGGGAAGTTTTCGGATAGCATTTGCGCACATTGTCTAACTGCAGTCTTGAACAGCTGCAGCCAGATGCTTTATACATAGGTCATAGGCCACTTCCTTCACAAGATTCTGTGAAGCTCATCAGAGTATCCCAGCGTCCTGTTTGCAGGGCAGGGGGTACGAGCGAATGAGAGACAAAGCCAAAGCTGGATTTGAACCCAAGGTTTTACAACACCCTTGTCTGAATGACGTGACTACGGCTGCCAATAACACACTTGTCTAAGAGAAGTGGCTTCAGCCGTTAAAGCGTATGTGTAATAGGAAGCCGTAGCCAAGTATTCTGGACGCGGCTTCTCTTACCATTCCTAGGGCCTCCAGATTCTTGTCTGTCGCCCTCCGGAGGATACTGAGGTGCTGTGGGACCAACGTCAGCCCTTCCTTAAACCTCCGGATGACATGGAGTGCCACGACTTGAAAGGCAGTCTGGCTGTCCACGCTGGGCTGAGACGAGAGGACCAGGTTGAGGAGATGGTCCCGGTAAGACATGGGGGTCTCCAATCGACGATTGTCCTCCTCAAGAAGTTCAATGGTGCCCTACAAAAAGATACACAAGGAGATTCACCGAGTTGTAAATATTAATCAATAATTGAATTAATTAGTATTTATCTATCTGTTTCTGGTGCTTGCACTGTTGGATGCGGTTGAAATAAATATGACACTTTCGATCTCAGGCTGTGCTCTGTGGTCATATATGGGTCGATGTGGCCGGCAGCCATAGGCGCCTTTTCGTGCCAGCGGCCCGACCACGTTGTAGCCGCGTCCTTCGCAATTCAGCATACCAGCTGCGAGTAAGGATGATTAGCCTCCCAAGTTATTATTATTATTATTATTACTATTATTATAACAATCAATATAAACAATTTTGATTCCATGTAAGGTTTTAAAGAATTTCCATAAACTGTTGGGGAAAATGTAGTTTGGTTCATGGTGACGGTTCCTTTAGCTTGTAGTCTTTGTGGTTGCCTCCACATTGCCCGCCTGAAATTTGTCTCGTGTGACCCTAACTGATACGTGATGACTTCTTGGGACTAGTGATGACTAGTGCTTTGGATAAGGTAGAGTTTGTAAGAACCACCCCAACCCTTCAAAATCCAACTGCATGTTTTGTTGGAATCTGTTGGAGTACTGCACTAGTAAACTGATTATGCTTTCCATCGGGCCATGCATATACCACCATAATCAGAGTCCACCAGTTTGGGTGTTGAGTTTACCATAATGGTGTTGGATTTTGCAAGATTGAGGATGGTTCCTAGTAAATCACTCAAGGGGGTTAGGGTTAGTCTTGGTTATAAACATGGGCATTTAGTACCTTCATTCCCATCTGTCTGGATCTCTCTATTTGTTGTAGCAGGTGGCCTTGTGGGATCTCTTGGAGCGACGGCCATTCTCGCTGACCCCCGCCGCAAGCCGCTAGGTATCCCTGCAGGGCCGAGGCATCGATATCGCTGAATACTGATCCTGAGAGCTGGGGTTAGATAAAAGCAACAAAGATAATTTGATATTTTATAATCTTATGTCCCAATAGCATTGTCAGTGAGGTGGGTTGCCAATAGTAAACAAGGTACCACACTCGCTCCAGGAACTGCAGATGCGAGAGAGCTAATCGTGAGCATCCTTAGTTGTAAAATGTTCATCCAAACTGCGGTGTCAACTCAATGAATTAAGCCAAACGGTTCTAAATGCCATGCTTCTGCCATACTAAATTTTTAAAAAGTTAAATAAATTGAGTTTGGTTCAGCAGTGGTACAGCGGAACGTCACTATACCGAACACCGCTATACTGAACATTCCACTATACCAAACATCTTTCTTGGCTCCCAATTTGTGTGTACAAAACGTACCAAACATTTTGTTGTAAAATAAAAACTGAAGAGAGACAAGCCACCCATTGCTGTATGTAGTAAGCTCAAAATTGTGCAATTACGTAATTCAATAGTTGGCACGCATTGAAAGTCGTCTTTCAATGCGTGCAGGGTGAAGTTCTGAAGGGCGCTATTTATTGAAAAGTGAGTACCGGAGCACCGGCAGCTTAAAATCGCTTAGCCCCATAAATGTGGCCTATTTACTGGACTACCTCTGTAAATAAAGGCCACACTTCCACCATGTACAAAAACATGTAGAACTTTGTCAAATTATGATTTTCACATTTAGGCTTAGTTTGAAGTTTAATTTTTCTTTAGAAGCATACTCACCCTCTTTATAGGCTAATCAGAATGTGCTGCCTTTTTCAGATGTCTAATTTTTGAGAAATTTCAGGTTGAAATTTTGATACGCAAATGTGTTGAAACGAATCTGTAAATTTCACAAAAAACAGACATCTGAAAAAGGCAGCACTTTCCGATTAGCCTATAAAGAGGGTGAGTATGCTTTTAAGGCAAAAATAAACTACAAACTAAGCCTAAATGTGAAAATCACAATTTGCCAAAGTTCTACATGTTTTTGTACATGGTGGAAGTGTGGCCTTTATTTACGGAGGTAGTCAAGTAAATTGGCACATTTATGGGGCTAAAACGATCACTATTACGAACAATTTCTATGGATCCCGCAATGTTCGTTATAGCGGTGTTCCACTGTATAGCATTTCGTATTGGCTTTAACCTTGTAGCGCCCGAAATCGTCCTGCACATTACTTCCTGTACTGCCAGGAATAAGCACAATGTAATACAATGAAATACAAGGTAGTATGAGGGCTAATGGGTTTAAACATTTCAAAGCCACAGCTTAGAGTTAAATTGTAACTTTCAGGTGCAGCTGTACCGAGACCTAGTCTTGATCTCTTACCGAGGGCAGTAGCAGGGCAACTCTGCTGAACATCTCCACGGCCCTGGGAAGAATCCGCTGGTGAAAATAAAAACTGCCGAGGTCGTAACACAAGAGGCAAAGAAACTGCTCCTTGGTGAGGACAGGCAGGGGATCCTTGGACTGTGAAGCTGCTTCCTGATTGGTTGGGGGAGAAGTGGTCGCTGCGTTGCCATTGGTCGGAGGGGTGTCTGTGGGCGGGGCTTCTTGGACTTTGGGAGGCGGGGCCTCCTGGAAAGTCTGCATGGCCGGTACTGAGATGTCTCGGTTGATTGGTAGGCATCGTTCCAAAAAGCTGACCGATTCTTGTAAGGTGTCTTTGACCTATGGTTGAATCAAAATGCAGATAGTGTTTTAATGGAATACTACAAACAAATTACAACAAAATATTTATAATGATTGCAAAATTATTTATAACACATACATATGAACAAAAATGAATTTACAATGTTTATACAATACAAATGAGTACTGATTTATATATTTATAATTCATTCATTTAACTGCAAATTAATATTTGCAATCTATGATTGCAACTCTGGTTTTGGAATAGATTAAATATAATCTGTGTATCATTTATACTGATAAAGGCTCTGTGTAGAAATGTAGACAGTTTTTTTGAGAAAACAGAAATTAGAAAAGTTTCTTAATCTTACTGTTTTGATGACCATATCATTGATGCCAGCAACATTCAAGTTGGACCTGGAAGACACAAAAACAAAATCATAACAAGAATGATTAACTAGACTTATGTTTGCGGACAAACACAGGGCTGTTTCGGTAATTTTTTTGTGACATGTGACATGCGACATATAAACTTTCAAGTATAAGTTCCATCCAGGAAGGATGTGTAGTTCTGTTCATAATCACTGGTGGCATATAATAATGTGATTACATTCTCATAGGGCTTTGAATTATGATGTCACATGTGACGTGATGACGTCATGATGACGTCACATCAATTTTCATCTATAACTATATTTTTGTTTGTAAATAACAACTTAGCCATAGGACACTAAACAAAAATCTTAAGTAGCATAGAGTGGGATGGGGGGGGGGGGGGGGGGGGGGCTGGGGATTGGGGGGGGGGGCAACAGGACTGCTGAAATATTCACACCCACTAACTTGGTGCACATCCAAGATTGACTATTAAGACTTGTTCCTCTTAACCCCATGCGTACGGGAAGCGGTCATGGTAGCGGCCGCTAATCCTCATTGGAATGCAGTTGCCAGCTGTGGTATGCCGTGGCACACGGCTAGTGGGTAGTTCCCCAGCTGCTGCTTTTGTGCAGTCCCGCTACCACACAAAGGCTGTGCAGTCATGCGGGCCACTTGCTCTATGTGTGGAGGAATGTCCCCATTACACCCCGTCCTTAAGGGGTTAACACAAAGAGATTAATTCACATGGTGCTACCGCAAACTTATCTTGTCTCAGTATCTTTCCACCATGCAAACTTTCAAATCTCATCACACCAGCACCTGTAATACATTGTATTTATGCCCTGAAAAAAATCAATCCATAAAACCATAGAGAGCTCGGGCAGTTTGGGTTGGTACAAGGAGTAACAGGCAGGACAGTTTGGGGCGGGGCAGTTTGGGGTGGTACAAGGAGTAACAGGCAGGACAGTTTGGGGCGGGGCAGTTTGGGGTGGTACAAGGAGTAACAGGCAGGACAGTTTGGGGCGGGGCAGTATGGGGTGGTACAAGGAGTAACAGGCAGGACAGTTTGGGGCGGGGCAGTATGGGGTGGTACAAGGAGTAACAGGCAGGACAGTTTGGGGCGGGGCAGTTTGGGGTGGTACAAGGAGTAACAGGCAGGACAGTTTGGGGCGGTACCGGGCTTGATGGTTTCATAAAAACTGAACTATAACCACTTTGATTTGATGGATTTAATTAAAGGACTCTTGTTGGTTAGGGTCAACTCTTTTGCATTCATCACTAGAATTTTTTCCAACACCAAATAGCACTCTTTTGCTGTATCTACGTTATTTCCCAATACTCACCCGTTTGGGAGAATTGCAACTGCTGACTTAGCAGGCCTGGAGTGTGCACTGTCGAGCAATGTACGAATACACCTGTTGTATATACACATTGAACAAAAAATACAAAAAGGCAATATAGAAATTTTGACACAACAGGCACATGTGTGTAAGTGTTAACCACTTGGCGTTGGGATTATTTTTGCTGAAAATTTCGAATTTTTGAAAAAGAAAAAATATAAGGCCAAAAAAAAAAATTGTCGCTCTCTGGTCAGCGCGCACGTCGATTTTAATCATGCGCGTCAATCCTTTTTTTTCCAAAATGTTCCGCAGTAGCTCTAACAGCGCCCTCTATTGCCACACCTCCTCAAATTGTTTTTACCAAAGAGCACCAAGGAATTGGAAATTGCACCAAGGCAAATGATCGAGGGCACCAAGGCAAATTATGGAGGGTACCAATGTACATGAAAACACCAAAAAAAGCAAAATAGTACCCACCTTGTCTGTACAATCCAAGCTTGAAAAAAAAGCAAAAAAAACAAAAACAAAAAAAGCCGCGTCGCCGTATCTATTCCGGAACTTTGTTCTGACCAGAGACCGAGTATTTTTTTTTTTTGGCCTAACAGCCAACTTTTTGATATACAGCCAAATGCCACAAATACTGATTCGCAAGAGTCATTTCAACAGTATATGTACGATATTTCTTACCGCAACCTCTTGTTTTTCAACACTCCGGGGTGTGCCCACAGAGCGTAAATTGTACCCCAACACGCCGTGCACAGTGGCCTTGTTCAAGTTCAACACATGGTCCGCCTCCACAGACTTCTCGGACTTTGTGTGTGTGTACAAAACAAATGGGGGATAAGTGTGTTTAGACGTCATCTGGAGGCAAGTCGAGGCACGCTGGACGTTTTAACCCGTCAGCCATGCCTGTGTATAAAAACAGCCAGATTGTGTTGACACGTCATCCAACGCGAACTGGTTAACAGCCTTTACAACAAGCCAGTGTTTTAGTTGTTTGCATCGCTAGTTGGTCACAAGTCCCTTCACAAGTAAATCACGAGTCTGTTCATGAGTTCGGTCACAAATGATAGGAGATGATTATGAATGGTAACAAAGGAATCTGTCATAGTCCATGTCATAGTTCATTTGAATAGCTTGCGACTTGACCGAAGACTGAATGACTTGTAATGGCCATTTGTGACAACTAAGGACGAACTTGACCACATGAATCCCGGGACATACCGTTATTTCATTTTACCGTTTTGCATTTCCTCAAAACAAAAACAGTATAAAACAAACCATTGACCGTTTTGTCGTTTTACAGTTTTGTAAAATGGTCAAACGGTATTAAGATAAATACGGTTTCTCTGTTTTATAAGTTTAATAAAATTCATTACAGCATAACGATGGATGATTTTTGTTTTACAGTTTTACACAAATAACTTTGAAAAACAGCAAAACGGTCAGTATAGAATACAGACCTTTTTTTTCAGTGTCATAGTGAACAGTCCGTGGTGCATTTTGTGGTGCTGGGCAAGGGGGATGGAGGGGGACCATGCTTTACATGAAAAAGTGTTACCTCGGCATAATACGTGGTGTGATGATTCCTGGCGTGACCCTGACCCCCTTCTCACGCGATTCAGTTGGTGGGGCTTAAGAGTTGCTTTTTGACATTACTTTTTACAATGGATACAGGATGGTAATACGATTGAAGAAGTTGCAGATATTTGAAGGAAATTGGAGTTCGGCGCGGCTCTTCAATAGCCAGTTCGAAAACTGTGTCGTGAGAACGAAATGTGAGGAGGGTAATTTGGGTCCCAGGCAATGACTCGATCCCATGAGGACGCATTAACATTCCTAGGTGCATTGCTTAATTGCCTAACCTAAATAAAAAAATGGTCGACAGGACTATTGACCGTTTTTCATTGTCATGTTCTTGTAAAACAACACTCTGAAATGAAGCAACTAACCGTTTATCGCTTTCAACAATTAAGAAATTTACAAAACTGTAAAACGAAAAAAACGGTCAACGGTGCGTTTACTGTTTTTGTTTTTGAGGAAATCAAAAACGGTAAAACGAAATAACGGTATGTCCCGGGATTCACATGGCTGTCACAAACCTACCATCTGTTATAGACTGCCAAAGCTACCAGCACCGAATCACTGAGACTGCAGACGTCCGTACCGGGTTGGATGTTCAGATTGGGAGGCGAGACCGACTCCACAAAATCCTTGAGAACCTTGTGCACCATGAAGAGGGGCATGCTGTTACCGGGAAGAGAAAAAAAACCCACAAAAATAGAAGGATGCATCTCAACGATGTGACTCAGTTGGCACTTGCACCATTTTGAAAGACCTTCTTTGGAATCAAGTTAGCACAGTGGTACTTTCTTGACTTCTTCCTCTGAGACCCACTTCTTGCCGTATCTTGTTGGCTTTCCCTAGATAGTTTTATCTTGGGTTTTTCTCCCATCTCTAAAAATCAACAATTCTCAATGTATCTTCTCTCCACGTTTCTTCAAGAATGTTTGACAGAAATTTCATTAAGAAATACTAAGAATAATTATTGTGCAGAGATTTGTTATTATTTCTAAAAACGGGAACAGTCAATTTCTTACTCCTTCTGCAGTCTGGTGATATTCCAGTTGAGATGCGCAGCAACCTGCAATGCCAGGCTCTTCAGCGAGGTGGCCTTGCGTTTCTGCTGCTCCGACTCCTCCTCCCCTTGGGTTTTAATGGACTGGTCCACAAACTGTACCAAGAGCTGTGTGGCGGTTGGTTCTATTAACAAATATAGGTGGGAGAAATAAAAACGCTGCCCAGTGAAGGAGAAGCTAGAACAAATTGTGAAATTCAAGAGAACCTGATGTTTCGAATCCTTGGCAAAATTTTCCCTCAAATCAAGTATCTGGTTTCACTCAATCCAGACACTAACACCTTATTCATACTGGCAATGTAGCGTCGCGCTGAACTGAATCATTCTGGAAATTTAACAGAATAAAGTATGAAGAGTTTGACATTTGAAACAGGTACGAACGTCTATGTTGACAAATTGACATCATTTTACTTTTGTTAAAGATTACAGAGTAAATTTTCACAACTTTCCAAAGAATTTGCACACAACCTCCAAAATGGCATCAGGGAACAACATTCTTGCCCTGGCTGGAAGCACGCCATACCTGGATTCTCCTGGGCTAGGTGTTTCGGGAGCAGACTAGCATCCAAGAGAAACTCGAACCAGAGAGTGGGGACCGGCGTCCTGGGTCGAGCTGTGATCTGCTGCTGGTCCATGGCCATGTTACTCATCTCGGCTCAGACCAGTAATGAAGCCTTGAAGGATCCTTAAAAAAATGTACACTTGAAGTTGAATTTGGAATGGACTGCATAGAGTACAGACCATTCCAAGGTAAGGCCTACTGCCACCCTTGTGATCATGTGCCTAGGATGTGGTAATCTCAGCTCGGGGGGAATTTCAGTGTAATCCATCCAATCATGCCCATCATGAGGACGGATACATTAGCATGACATTAGCACGATGGGGTGTATTTTTAGTGAAAATGGTGAAATGGTCGCAAGGATGGTGATCTATGCACAAGTAACCCCCATAAATAATGTCAAATTCTGTTCCTATGACATTTTGGCATGTTAGAAAGTAGCTCTACTGAGTGGAGCGTTGAACTACGGTACCCTCTGCATCTGCATCAATACTGCTCAACACTCCTTGTTGCATTGCAGTTGGAGTAAACCGAGCAGGGAGGGTACCGTAGTTCAACGCTCCACTCAGTAGAGCTAATTGGTAAGTTGTAGGTACGGTACTGGTACTGTGGTAGGAAGTTCGATTTTTTCTTCTTTTTATTTTCTTTAACCAGCAACAGCATGACCAGGTAGCTTAAGCAGCTTCCATTATTTCCATAGTGGATATCAAGTGGAAAAAAACCCAGTCATAATTTCAAATTCAGGGAATGCAACTTTTCAGGAAATTCAGCAAGCATCAGCGCGAGCGCTGTGTAGCTCTTTGCATTGCCAGTGCCTCCAGGCCAGACGGGTCGCACTAAACAGCGTCAACACAGCGTCAACACAGCGTCAACACATGACAGAAGCGTCAACACACCGTCAACACATCCAAAACACATTCTGAATTGACAAAAAGGGCATATAATTGTGAAACATATAATAAAAGAGAATTTCCATTGGATTGAGTTTCCATTTCGTTGTTAAAAATATCGTATTTTCACGCGAAAAAAATGACCTTAACTTGCACGGCCGTTGTCCGCCATCTTGACTTCGCACAAAGCTTGGACTACACCATTTCAAGTAGGGGTGTGTAGGTAATGACATTATCTTGTCATAAACAACAGAGGGCGCCTTGCTGCAGACTAGACAGAGGGATACCAGATCTGTGTGAGGACTAAGGATCGGAGGAGTGGTAGATCATTATTTTGTGAGTTGTGTTTATGTTTTGGTCTTTGCAGATATTTTTAACACTGGCGACCCCGGCCGCGTCCCTCTCTGTTGGTTTATTGTACAACGCTATCACCCTTTAGAATAATGGTATGGTCCGCGCTGCCACTGAGGCAACATGGCGGGTGTTCGGCAGCCGATTTCGGAGCGGCACGGAGAGCCAATTTTCTTGAACTAAAAATCGCGATTTTCAGACGTTTAACCTATTGATTTTAAGCACAAATCTTGTTTCTGTCCATACTGTATGGGTTACATACTGCTTTTGTCAATTTTAATGCATTTTGGATGTGTTGACGCTGTGTTGACGCTGTGTTGACGCTTTGGAGTGTGTTGACGCTGTGTTGACGCTGTTTAGTATGACCGGGCCAGACGGCTGCAGTCCATGTCAGGCAGTCATGGCACTGGCAGTGTGTTGTCAATCACAACTATTTTGCGCATGTTACTTCAGCACGTTAAATCAGGCCACTGCACTGGTTACATAGTTTCATCAAACGTCAACTTGATAGATTCAGTGACTCTACGATCGAATTCAGGTGAAGGGTCCGATTAATTCATCGACTTAATAAACGAATCGCTATAGAATCTTCCCTTTTTACCCTCTCAAGTCTCATTACAACAAGGCTTACCTTTCGCGAAGATCGCTCGCCGGCGCGGCACCGCGCTCAAGCGTGATAGCGCCCTCAAGAGTTGAACATTTTCGCAGAAATAGTTGATGTCTGTTGCCGGGCGGTTGCTACTCCTTTTTGGAAAAAAAATGTCCGTTTTCAGACATAACCAACAGTTGTCAAACTACCTTGCCTCACACAAGAGTGGCACTCATACCGGAGGACATAACACCAACAATCGGTAGAGCTTGTTTGCGAAGGCTGTTTTGTAGTTTGTACAAGATCATGTTCATCACCGAACTTCACAATTGCCTAATTGCAATTGCGTAATGTCTATTTACTCTGATGAACAAGAAGCAAAGCATGCATTTTATCACAAGCTGGCTATGAGTATGGCCTATACTATAGTATGGGGCAATGAACCAGTCAAAGTATAAATTAGGCCCTACTTTCCAAAATTAAGTACATAGCATATTTTTTATTATTAGAATAGAAATAGTCCGAGTAACTTGGACCCAACTTATCGCCTTTTGACGTTTTGTAACATTTGGACATGGTCTGGCGATAGTCGCCAGACCATGTCCAAATGTTAAAAAAGGCGATAAGTTGGGTCCAACATGTCCAAGTTACTCGGACTAGAATAGAAATATAATTAATTTGGAAATAAAATTCAGATTTTGAAACTGCACGTCTTTAGAAATTAAAGAAGACATAATCTGGAATTTTTTTTCAAGGACGTAGGCCTACCATTATCCGAGTAACTTGGACCCAACTTATCGCCTTTTTAACATTCAGACATGGTCTGGCGATAGTCCATGTCCGAATGTTAAAAAAGGTGATAAGTTGGGTCCAAGTTACTCGGACTAGGCCTACCAGTCGAGTCATCATGACCACAGGAACAATTGTGATTGGTCAGTGTTGGTGGTGTGAGCTTGAAATCCTGATTCTGATTGGCCAATATTGGCAGGGTCATTATGCATTTATTCATGAGTAATGAAATTGGTATCTGAAAAGGGATTCCCCAAACTTTTTTCAGTCTGAGGGATTTATGATTTTTGACATAATCATATTTTTTAATTACAAACACCATGATGTGTGAACAGACGATCATTAAATTCTTGATATGTAATGAAGAGGAATCAAATGACAGTTGTAACTGGTTCACTGCCCATAGGTTTGTACGCAAATTGCCTGGTTTGTTTTTTCGCTTGTACCCCTGCCCTGCAAACAGGGCACTGGGAAGGGCAGATGAGCTTCACAGAATCTTGTGAAGGAAGTGGGGATGGCATTCTGCGTAATTTATCATGACCTGCATGTATGTATAAAGCATCTGGCTGCAGCTGTAGACGGCCGTTAGCCAATGTGCGCAAATACTATCCAAAAAGGATGTGATTTCTTTTCATTGCGGACCATGTGGACAAAATTTTGAGCGTTGAATCATATGCATTTCGTCGGCCCTTCATGAATTCGAAACGGAGCCTGAGCAACTGACGGGAGTTGAAAATTTACAAAACAGATAAGTTTTACAGATTTTCCTACATTATTATGCTTTTCAACCAAAAAAAGGCGCCGCTTTTATGAATGGGAATAAAAGAGTGATGAATGACTCGGTCTTAACGGCCGTTTCAATCCTTGCAGGGTCATGGTCGTGATGACTTGTAGGTCACAGGTCACGCAAAATCTATCCAATCAGAGTTTTAATTCGTCGGCCCTTCCCAGCGTCCAGTTTGCAGGGCGGGGGTACGAGCGAAGGTTTGTTTGTCATTAATACCCAAGATGCATTGTGTATATCAAAAAGGTTTAATGTGGTTGCTGTAAGTGTTTAATAGGCCTACTGCATTTATCTTCCAACAGGTACATGTATATTTTTTAATCCGTGACATTTGCTGTTTTTGTAAGAGAAGTTTTAATATTTGGCATTCAGGTTAAATAATGAAGAATTCTACTCAACAATTTCAACAGGACAATATTCTTCAGATACTGAGATAGGCTATCATCAGTTTTTCTTTATCATTTATTTCTGCATGCAGTCTTGAACCACGCACCACAGATCAGATGAGAACACTTCAATTACATGACAGTAAGAGTCACGCTCAGCAGAGGCACCAGACTGATGCATCTCCAAGGAAGTCATCAGCAGCGAGTGGATCTTCTAAATCCAGAGGGGTGAATGCTGTGAAGGGAAGGAGTGCAATTGGGTCAGGAAGGAGAAGAGCAAATGTTGATGAGTATGTATTGCTGTCTGTAAAAGAACTCCAGCCGTCCATAATAACGATCGTCACATGCAAAGTTAAACCGGCATGCTTTGCAACTTTTGACTGGCGTGTGTAAAACTTTATCAGAGAGTTTCGATTTTTGAATATTTGAAAATTCGGTGAAATGCAGTCTGAATAATCGAATACTAAATTAATCGAAAATTGACATTCCTTGCATGGGTGTGAAATCTCAGCTTTAAAGCCGATCTCAGCTTTTTTTTGTTTTGGATTTCAGCTTTTTTTTTTCATCTTTTTCCCTCACTTGCTGTGTACAAAAGTATAGGAGATTTCCAAAGTTTAGCTTTTTTACACCTTTTTCCAGCTGTTTTCAGCTATTTGTAACAGTGGTCACTCACACCCCTGTCCTTGGTTGTGTAAATTGTCTACTGGGATTCTTACAAAAATTCTTCCTTTTAATTTTCTGATAAAATTGAAAAAGTATCGTAGCCCCAAATTGGCAATTACTAACCCTCAATTAGGTTGTATTGAGAAAAGGTGGCATCAGGACATTTTCCCCCCCCCAACATATTTGCAACTACTAACCCTCAGTTAGGTTGTATTGAGAAAAGGTGGCGTCAGGATAATGCATTCTACCCACCTTTGTGGGTTTGTTTTTTTACAGTCTACCTGATGAAGTTCTGCTGAAGGTGTTTGGCTTCCTGCCAGCTGACAGCCTGGTGACCTGTGACTGTGTCTGCAAGCGGTGGCACCAGTTAGCCAATGACGAGTCAGTATTTTACAAAATTCAAATATGTCATGGGAGAATATCTTGAGGCCCTTCCCAGGGATGATGGTCTGCAGTGCAGCTGAAAGTTTCAACCTTGTTCACGCAGCAGCATTCAATTTGGAGTCAATACCTCTAGGGAATTTGCAAGTCTGTGTCTTTCCAGATTGAAATCTTAGTTCAGAAAATTACTAAGCGTAGAAATGTTTTTGTAGTAAGCACCAATAGTTAGCGGATAGATTTTCATGTGGCATGTACATGTATTATTAATTGTGACTGAATCTCAGCTTATTTGCTCAGCAGTAATATTTGCTGCACAGTATCAGGCTCGATACCTTGACCAAGATTGAAAATGAAAAATTAGAGCTGTATGTCTGTTTGAAAACAGAACACAGGGCTTTTTTGCATTTTATAAATGTTTATGTTTTGTTGGTCCTTTTGCAGACACTTTTTAGAGTGTTTAAAACAGTAAAAGGTTTTTCACAATTCTTTTAATAATTCCAAAAATAAAGCTGACGAAAAATAAAGAAGAAACTAGGGAGAAAAAAAATCAGAACAAAAACAAAGGCTTTTTTGCAAATTTTCGAATTTTTAAAGCTAAAAATTGTGCATGAAGGAGTGTTTTCAGACTGAAATGTTTTGAAAATTCCATAAATTTGGAACACGTACAAATGCATTTTAATGCCATTAGGAATACATACCGGTTCACTCCCAGAAAGCATCAAATTATACATGATGGATATGTAGCTTGATTTTATCAGGATCAAGCCTCTCTTAGTGAACAGTGGAAGATTTCAGTTTTATGGAAAGAACTGTATGCTCATCATACCAGCTATGGAGACCAGATTTACTGTGCTGCCTAAAGCAGTCAATATTTGTATGTTAAGCCTTGCCTTGTCTGTTTGTGTCTTCATGTAGCTCACTATGGGAGAGACTGTATCGTTCCTATGCTGCCAGCAAGAGTGAGCTGGCAGAACGTCGGCTCCAATCTGCTAAATCCTCTGACCCCAAGTCCAGCTGGAAAGCCAAATGCATTCACAAGTAAGTGTTCTTGTCGTCAATCATAGAGGAGACTAGCTGTGATCGAATTTTGCATTGGTGGAATGTTAGACATTTTTTAGAGAATTTCCTCTTTTCACATCTTATTGATGGACAGTTGTTCTTGAATTGTGGGGGAGGACCTTAGATTCTCCCCACCCCTAACGGTGTTCATTGTTGTCTGTTAATGTTTAATTGGTCTTGTTTGGGCAGGTGTATAGAAAGACAGGTGTATTTTTGGAGGGGTGTATGGGTAATAGTGGGGGAGGACCCCAGTTCTTTTCACCACAAATGGTGTTAAGTGATGTCTTTGATGTCTACTTATTAATTGGTCTTGTTTGGACAGGTGTATAGAAAGACGCAATGCGAGGATCAAGACGCTCCTTAGCAAGTCCAGTCCCTATACCCACCTGCCAGCTAACACAGACAAAGCAATACAGTAAGTATGTCATCAATTAATGTCAGCTACATTCAATCAGTGGCGTACTTAAGGGGAACTAGGTGGGTTTTAACAACTATCAAAATGCTTTTTGATAGGCTTGGGAATTTCTCTGTGCCAGAATTAGAGAGAAAAAAAATCAATTTCAAACACAGACCCGAACATAATCCATATTTTTATGCGGGTCAATTCTGTTGAAGTTTATTAAATTTTCTGAAAAAAAAGTGACAGTTGTGAAGATGAGCGATCTCCAAAGATCAGCGCACCAGGAGAGCTGGTAGATCTGTTTTGTCTATGAAAACTGTGACTTCGGAATAAATTCTTCAGCCAAGGGAGACTGGAAGTCAATTCCAAACAGAATCTCGACTTTTTGAGTTAAAACAATTCCCAGAATATTTGAGTTGTGCAAGCCTACTCTCTAAACAGACCCAGTGATCCCTATAAATTCTCTCGCCTTGCAGAAAACTCGGCATTGGCTGGGAGCTGGTTCTGAGAGACAACGACAAGGCTGACCACTCCTTCGCTCAGTCAGACGGTTACCACTTACCCACCTCCAGCACTGTCAGGTGGTACCACCTGCAGTTTCCACCAATCAGGAGCCTGAGATGCCTGTCAATCATCGCCAAGGCACCTGTGTTCTTCAAGAAGGATGGCAGTGCAGCAGATAACAGGTGAGGTGTAGGATATGGACCACGTTCACAAGTACACCCCTCCTCATTTACGAAGAGGAGAGGCCACTGAGTGAGACTCTGGAGTGCATTGCTGATGGTGTCTGATGCACAAGCAAAGATGCTATGTATTTTGCACATTCAAAATAAAATCAGTCCTGCATTCAAACATGCAATCTTCAGAATACACTTAGTTCTGACGCTCTACCTAGTGAGTTATCCATCCCTGTAGTTAGCACCCAAAGTGTCATTTTCTCTGTTAAGAAAACTTCTCCAAAGCTATGTAACCCATGCTGACTCTGTGGTCATTAGCCTATTTGAGATATGGCAAACACAATAGACAAAACAGATCAGCGCATCAGGAGAGGTGGTAGATCTGTTTTGTCTATAAAAACTGTGACTTCGGAACAAATTCTTCAGCCAAGGGAGACTGGAAGTCAATTCCAAACAGAATCTCGACTTTTTGAGTTGAAATAATTCCCAGAATGTTTGAGTTGTGCAAGCCTACTCTCTCCAAAGCTATGTAACCCATGCTGACTCTGTGGCCATTAGCCTACTTGAGATATGGCAAACACAATAGAAGGGCATTGGTTGATTTGGGTCAAGTTTTTTGTATTTACCCAAACTAAACAGCGCCCCCATGTTGTGTCCGCCATACTTCAAATAGGCTAATGGACAAGCCAAACAGTATCATGATGGGAAATAGTAGATTGGAGAAATCTCTCACAAAGTTTTGAATAATCCACTGAACCATCAAATGAATCTTAGTAGGTTTACAATATTTGATAAATAGAAGAAATGACTGAAATTGGACTTGACCCATGACCTCTGAAATATGTTACATTGAGAATTGTTTATTCTTATTAAGGTTTGAAAAACTTAGAATTTCTTTGTGTTTTCTTACAGTCCATGTCAAAGATCTCTCCTTGCTCAACATGACCTACACTTGGGTAAACTGTCCACCAATCATCAACCAGTTGCCCATGATGACCTCATTGACCTCAGGGTCATAGGTCAGAGTATTCTTGTGGCCTCTTGGAAGGTTTGTGTTCCATAATGAATGTTTACAAAGGTGTTGATTTTCATTGAAATGATGATTCTGAACAATGATCTAAGAAAGTGATCCAGTTTATCGTGATGAGTCTGGTTAAAGGAGGCTTCTTGTGAAATCATAGGCCAAGTTCACAGAGCTGTCCAGCTTAGAAATGAGCCATGCACAGAAACAAAGTTTGAAGACAAAATGTTGTTGTTAATAATGCTCCAAGTTGTTTGTGAACTACATTTTCATCCTTTATTTCATTGCATGAAAATTGCAGATAGCAGATTTTGTTGCACCTAGACTTATGTACAAATCGTCAGCAACACCACGAAGTAACACCCACGTACATACCAGTAAAAACTAGCGATCAGAGAAAACGGCATCTAAAGTTGAACGCCTTCTAAAACAACACTTTGCGTGAAAACAGCAGAGTATTTTCAGTTGGGTTTCTTGTTGTGAACACTTGATTAACAATTTATTAAATCTGCTATTTTTCACCCGTTTGTGTATTAAATCAACAAGAAATAAGAGAAAAATGGTGAGTGTTAGTTCCTGAAACCGAAGAAACTGTACAATGAAACACTCTTCAATGTATACAACACGAGGAAAGTGCAACTTCAGGTCAGCGCGCGCGCGCTCATACAAGGAGAGTGTTACTTCGTGAAAACGTTTTTGCTTACATTTGAGCAGAGTGCGCGCCATGCATTGCAATGATAAATGGAACTTGAGTGCTACTTCGTGAAAACGAAAAGCGTCACTTTTGCGCAAAGGTTGCCATGGATAATTAGCGTAAATATTAAAGTAAAGCTCTTGAAGCTTTGAAACTTGATGCAGTGGTAGGCCTTGATGAATAATGTTCAAAAATGTAAAAAAACCTGAAAATCGAAAAAAATATGGTTTAACACGTAGAGTGTTACTTCGTGGTGTCGGTGACGAAATATCTGCTGTATTTATTTCAATGTGAAAAATTGTAAAATGTTTGAATTTCAAAGCTGGCTTATTGTTGATATGATAGGATGGAGGAGAATTGGCATTTATTTCAGCTAGCCTACACAACCATGGCTTGGTACACAGATGCACACAAGGATCCCTTAACAGGTAAACATTGTATTTTAGTTTTCTTTTTGACTTGATGGCCAGCAAAAAAATAAAATGTTGTTGAACAATTGTAGATTCATAAATTTTCCATTCAATAGCAGAGGGTGCAATTAAACACAAAAACCGCCCAGGCAAATTGAACTGTTTATTCTGAACCTTAAAATGAGCTTTCGTTTACAAGTTGTCAAATTCTGTGACAAAGTAATTGGAAGAATATGACAACTCCAAATTTATAGTGCTTATTTATTTTTGTCTGAGTATGTTCCGTGTCAATTTCACATTTTATTAGCAATGTCATAGTGGCTGCAGATATTATTATTATTATTATTTTATTATTAATCATTTCTGGTAATGAAACCAAGGATTCCTCAAAAGCGCCCTAGGCACTGTAGCTCGCAAGCCTGAAGAAACCTGTGGAGAGAAGACAATGAGAAGAAATTACAGTTTTAGAGGTGGGAGGAAAAGCCCAGAAGAATATTCTGAGGAAAACCCACGGAATCAGGTAGGGACTGAAAACCCAATCCACATGTTGGCCCAGGCGGGATTCGAACCCGAGTCACAGCGGTGGAAGGCGGGGAAAGTACCACTACGCCAACCTGACTCCCCCAAGTGTAATCATGTATGTTTTAGCCACGTGACAAACTTTGTATTTCTTTTTTTTAAACAGGCCCTATATAGTACCATCTCACAAGCCCAAACCTGATGACATAGACCCACAATACGGTAAGCATGGTATGCCCCCCTCCCCCCCCCCCCCACCCGAAATGATATTTTTCTAGTAGCATTGATTTTAAAAAGTAAAAGTGCAGTTGGATTGGGAAATTGTTAGTATGCATTAGATGCACGTTGCGTACTATGTACTGTACATGTATAACTATAAATTACTCGCTGTTTCAAAACCAATTTTTCTGTTCAACTTTTAACAATTAAAAAAAAATGGTTTAATTTTACAGTATGATGCAAATTCAGATATGTAAGCAAAGCGAGGCTAAAGATTACGTCACAAATGTGTGTATTGCGCAGATCCTCAAACTAAATGTGATTTTGGACCGTATCACTGTAAATCTGATCTTGACCATAACCGTCTCTGTAACTTTTTGTAAAACATTTGATTCCATGAAATGATGATCATGTACTTTTGTGTGGTTGTTTTCTAGGCCTACATGATTACACTTGTGTAGTAGAACTACGCAACCAGCGCAGTGTGTTGTGGGGACAACAGTTCAAAAATGTCCACTGCGTCAAGCAACAAAAAGGTGGAGAAATACATTTCAATGCAAGATTTTTTGTTGTTAATTTAAATAGTTATACATTTTGGATTTAAACTGCTCAAAAGTTGTTGCTTTTATTTTTGTTATTATAAGATGGAATCTGTTTTATTTGGTTTATTGGTGTTCTTATCTTCACGCCTACGTTTTCAGTAATTCGAAAGAAAAATTGATCTGGGGCACTTTGTGTTAAAAAGCAAAGGATTGTACTAGACCAGAAACACTAAATTAATCTCCCCAAAAAATTAACTTAAGTTAAAAGCTAATAAATTATCTGATGAAAATGGAATGTCAAATCGAATTAAGAAACACGAACACTTGAATTTTTAAATTTAATTTTGCAGTAGTACTGATTATCACAATAATATGTTTTAATTGAGAATAAATGGTTGATCTTTTCTCCATATTTGTCAGAGGAAGGATTTGCCAGGTTAACGCCAGTCCAGCCAGATGTCATCAGCGATCATTCCTATGCGTCGAAAAAGCTGCAGTTGCCATGGAAATCAGATTTATTCAAAGGCATAGTGCAAGTATGTATTGATCTGTCTGAGTGGAAGTTTAGTCCAAACCCTCCCTCTCAGTTTAAAAAAAACCCTCAGTATGAGAAAGAAAACCATGATGGTATACCTGAAAGTTTTGAAAAGCATTTTTAGGTGCGTGGAAAGGGCTTCCCTTTCGTGCTTTTTTCCTGGGGGGGGGAGGGCAGCTCGGCGGAAGTTTATGGGACAGAGAAAACCAAGTTGACTGATTATTTGTGCATCAAACACGCTACTTTCTTTTGGAAAGTCTTGAACAAACAAAAAATATTTTCTCAGCTAGGTGTTTTATGCAGTGCTTACTGTTGTACAGTTGTAATTGTAGATTAGAATTAAACAAAATTTAAAATTCATGTTAGAGATGGATAAAGTTTTTACAAAGATGTCTGTCCTGGAATCATTTTGGAGAAAAAAATATATCAGTTTTGTTTATCTCTGATCATATTTCCAGGATTTCTGTATCCTTGATGTGACTATCCACGATGAATTCTTGAAGCCCTTCTGGTGCCTTAGGTAAGGAAAACCTTTTTATCGTGGTGATATTTTGGCTCCCCTACTGACGAATCCAGGCACATGATCAATGTACCCTCACGAGGCCCCCTTCAATGGAGAAACTATTGTACATACTATTGTACAAAGCAACTGCCCCGTGGCGGATTATCTGAACAATAGCTAGCACCATGCTTTCACCATTGATGGGGGCCTTCGTGATAGAATTGGTAGCTTGCCAGGATTGGCCTATAACGACAACTCATTGCTTCTTTAAAAGGGCCCATACAATGTAATTTTTGGTAATGCAATCCTGGGAAATACACCTTTGTGTCCTATTTAACCTCATTTTCAATGTTTGTTTTGCTATTTCCAAGGGTATTTTGGTGCCCGTTTTTCTGCTTGTGCCAATTTTCATATTCATGAGCAAATGTGTGATGTCATTTCAGGCAGAAACCCCAATGTCCAAGCTATTTCAGCACCAAAAGTTGGCAGAATTTTTAATGTTTTGCTGTTGTAAATTTTCTTTTCTTTGGTGATTGGTTTTTGTTGCAGTACATGGCAGTAGGCCAGTGAGCAAACTTGTCTCACAAATATATTCAATAAGCAATTTCTTTGGTTCAGAAAACAGAAACTAGAAACCCCTAAACTGAACAGTGTCTTCCTGAAATGACATCACAACAAAAGCGCCCTCGGTTTTCTTGAAAAGCATGGACAATTTGTAATGTTTAAAGAAGTGCACTCTTCAATAAAATTCACAAAAAAGGCATGTCAAATTGTTTTCATACATTCAAGAGGAATAGAAAGTTGCACAAAATTATGTTCCTTAAAACATTTACTTCATGGGCCCTTTAACTGTAGTTAGACCATTCAAAACACCTCAAAATCTGGGTGCTGGCAAATTGGAGGAAAAAATGCTGGACCTTTTAAAATCCTCCAGAATTTATTGTTACTGCACTGCCACACCTTTCATTTCCTTTCGAAAGGTATTGAAATGCAACTTACTGAAATTGCCCACAGAGTTGCTTCACCTTTGGAAAAGTCCCAAAGTTCCAGCACTATTTCACCTTTCAAAACCCTTTTAGTCAGGCAAATTTAAAATGTTTTGAAAGGTCTGATAATTCTCTTTGCCAACTGCACTGGGCATAGCAGGGTACTTAAAGGACAAACTGTACAGTTTTGTCCCCTCACTCGTTTAGCTGCCTGGACACTCTTTTTTTACCGAAAGGATTACTTTAAGATCACAATTCTCTTCTTTGAGGTTTTAGTTATTGTAAATGCTGAGAAAAATGTCCAATTTGTTCCAATTGTTTTGTTCACAGTTGCCCAGTTAAGGTTGCGAAAGCAGTAGATTCCATAGGTGAGTTGTGAATGGGGTGTTTTCTTTCTTTTTTTGGAATAGTTTTTTTTTAAGAGTACTTAAATGGCTCTAAATTATTAGATGGTTATAATTTTTGTTGTTGTAAATTCTACAGAATGGAATAAAATCACTTTCGTGTGCAAATACCCTTAACGATGTCTTTTTGACCCAAAAAAGGGAATTTTTTTTGGGGGGGGAGACCTAAAACAACACCTACAGGATTTTTACTCTAATAATACATTATGTGTTTTTGTTTTTAACTTTCTAGTATTACACTATTTTTATGTTAGTTTTGTGTATATTCCCAAGGGGATTTTCCCTTCTGTCTACAAAAAAATCAGTTTATCATTTAGACTAAATAAACAAACAATGAGTTCTGTTCATATTTTTGCAGTGAACTACAGCTATGATGGTGAAGCCTATGTAATAAGTCACAGTGGAGAGAAAGGCAGTGTCAAAATCAACTTAATTTGGGTGGGTCTAAAACAAAGAGTTCAGTGTACATGTATAGCTTTACAATAGAGGACAGACACACAAAGGGAGAACAAAAGATCCTTTCAGTCCTCGAACGTTGGCTCTTTTGTTGAAAACGGTCCTCGATCATACAGCTATGCGCTTAGTCTATGGGAGAGTGTTATTTTAACAGTACAAAGGGAAACACAAAGCATTGTCCTCAGGCGTATAGAAATTCACAACTGTGTGTTTGTGTCAATTGTTATATTTGAGTGTTTCTCTTTGGATGTACGAGTAGCTGCCCAAAGTTACTTGCTCATCCTAACGAAGGCTACGGTGTCTGGTGTTCACACATGCACTGCACTGGCTCTTTTTGTACATCATGAGGCTACACAAAGAAAAAAGAGGAACTTACAAGCAAGCAAAGGGGGTTCAAACACCCCCCCCCCCCCAATGCCCCTACTCCTACCACCAGGGTACAGACCTGACAAGTTACCCTTGTGTGCATTCCTTTTGCAGGATCACAGCAAGGAGCAGTACGCAGTCACTGGAGTCTTCCTGGATATTTCACTGGAAGCAATCAATGCCTGGTTCTCTACTAACTACTGACCAGTAGAAACCAAGAGAGTTGTTGTCTTAGTCAGTCACAAGTCAAATCACAAAACAATCACAAGTCAAACACAATACAAATCAAAAGTCAAAAGACAAGTCAAATCACAAGTCAATCACAAGTTAATCACAAGTCAATCCCCAGTCAATCACAAGTCAAATCACAAGTTAATCACCAGTCAATCACAAGTCAATCACAAGTCCATCACAAGTCAATCACAAGTTAATCACCAGTCAATCACAAGTCAATCACAAGTTAAATCACAAGTCAAATCACAAGTCAAATCACAGGTCAATCACAAGTCCAAACACAAGTCCAATCACGAAACCACAAGTCAATCACAAGTCAAATCACGAGTCACATCACAAGTCAAATCACAAGTCAGTCCCAAGTCAATCATAAGACAATCACAAGTCAAATCACAAGTCAAATCACAAGTAAGGTCACGAATAATGAGGGAAGACCAATCCCAAAGAACTACCATTGTCACAATTCATCTCAGTTGCCTGTCCCTTGACTACAGACTTGATAACTCATGATTGTCTTGTAATGATGGATTGTAAGGACTTGATTACAGATCTGGCTGCTACCCGCTAAAAAGACAAAGAGAAAACTACCTCAGCCGAACTGATTGACTTAGAAATCTTTTCTTATATTTTCCCTTTTACTACCTTTAGAATCTTTTTTTTGGGGGGGGGGGGCTAAGAGGTGCAAGTCAGCTTTTTGTTTTGTATGATTTTTTTAGGCAATATAGACCTGTCTGGCTCCTTGACTAGCAAATTCTATCCCAAGAAAGAATCAGTAGAAACAGACCATTCAGTACAACAAAATCTTGGACAACAAATTGTTTTTATTCAGTTTCTGTTTTTATATTAAAAAAATATTTGTAATGTAAATTTTGCTTTTACTGTTTTCAGAAACATTATTTTTTATTATTTATATTATAAAAAGTATCTGTAGCGAGTGCCTTTCATGTTTTACTATCTACAATAAAATTGGATACATTATCTAGAAAATAATTTCTCACCAAATGTTAAAAGGCTGATTCAGGCAAGATTAAATCACGAGTGCCTTACTGGATGTGAAATTAATCACAAATGTTAGTATTAACTAAAAAACTAATTGTACTCCAAGTCATGGGCGTCGCGGGGGGGGGGGGGGGGCAAGGAGGAAATAAAAAAGAAGGAAAAAAAAGGAAAAAAAAGGAAAAAGAGGTGCGAAGCCATAATTATTGCTGTTAATTTGATGGGGGGGGGGGTAGGGAAAATGCTCCCCTGCTCACGCTCGGAAAAATGATAAATTGAGAATAGAATGAAAAAGTTAAGGAATTTGGGGGACAAATTTACTTTGCCCCCCCCCGGAAAAAAATCCTGGTGACGCCCATGCTCCAAGTATGTAGCTGATATAAGAACAAACTATATCACTTGATTTTGTTGGCAAGTTTTATCGTCATATTCCCCTTTACTATCTACATGTAAATATTCAGTTTCTTTAAGTACAGGACCGGCCTGTCACTACGGAAGGCTAAAAAGTGTACACCTATACCGCTCGCAACAAATTGTCAAAATATGCAACCAAAAACCATCAAATGGTCTGAAAGCTGTGCAATGATATGGGACTTGTAGCAATCACTGATGTAGTCACGACACTTTCCGAGACCTTTCGACCTTTCATACTTTTGATCAATTTATCTTTAAAAAAATATAGAATTCTATATTTTTATTAGTATGAAAGAATACTGATTATTTGAGTCAACACCCGTCAGGTAAACATAAAAAGGTTTTTTTTCGGAGCCAAAATCAGTGTTATCATTTCGAGAACCATGCTTGTTTTTCATAAGAATGATTTTCTTTTTGCGTCGGGTGATGTAAATCCAATTAGGTTTTGCCCTTCACCGACGTATGAACACTGTATACTCGGTGTGTTACCTCCCGAGTGAAAGTTGGGAAAAATCACTCGGGTGGGACTCGAACCCACGACCTCCATGCTTGTTTTTGTTAATTCAATGATACATGTACTTTGAAATCCTACTTTAACATTGACAAAGCCAACTTCAAGCCGATTTGAATATTGAAAAGGAAAGCAGCAAGGCCTTGAACTCGTCAGTTCATGTTTAATACTGAAATGAAAGTTGTGTTTAGTGTCGCAGATAGGTGATGGGATTGTTCATTTGATGATACAAGCATGTAATTTGGTACACATTCAGAGTATGTCATGATAAAGATATTTTGCTACAGGGCCGTCGCAGATTTGTCCTTTGAAAAAAATATATAGAATAACAAGCAATGGTAGCCATACTGAACATTTTGAAAATTGCTTGTTTTTTTACGTATATTTATTCAAAGGACAAATCTGCGATGGCTCTATAGCCAAATATCTTTCTTAAGACATACGCTTTTATCATCAAAGTGAACACCCCTCCCCGAAAAATATTTCCCCTGCCCCACTAGTAAGCGTTTGTGTGGTGTCTCGTAAAATGTCTCAACTACTGTCTAAGTCTTTAGTCTTTATAATCAAACTCATCATTTATGTTAATCGTCCGCAGCATCTATTCTTCGTCTCCTTGTCCTCCTTCTGATCCTTTGCTGGGTCAGTTAAGATCCGCATCCCGCACGTCTTGAACTCCAGGTCTGGCGTCTGCATGAGCTTCCTTGCTAGAGTTTTGCAAATACAGAAAACTCAAATCGCAAAACAATTTTGGATAATGATAATGTAAGCCTACCGGTACGTGGCACGTTCTTGTTTTTCAGCTTAGAGCCTTCACAAGTTGTATCTCCAATTGACCAATACTGATATAAACATATAGGTGTGATGAACATAAATTTAATATGATTTGTATTATTTTGTGGTTGTATTTTGTGCACTTTTGTTTGTTTTATTGAATGAATTTCATGTGGCAATTCTAACATCATAAACGTGAAATAAGATTTTGAATTTGGTTTTGGCTCACCAAGTCCTAATAAGTTACAACTTGGACTACTTAGTTACTAATCATTAAATTCCTGGGTTTAAATTTGTGCAAGTCAGATCATCCTTATCAGTTTTCTGACCCCTAACCAACTTCAGTTAGGTAAGTTGAATCATCAAGACCTGGAGAGAATGCATGCAGCCAATTTAACGTCACTGACTTTTACAGTTAAAATCTTGTGGTACAGTCGATATGTAGCAACTTTATGACTTGGAACTTGCATGAGCTTTCATAATCAACTACATTCATTAGAAACATAAAGTAGGTCTGGTAGCTATATATATCTATTCTACCTTATTACCTCCGTCAAGCGTTGGTTAGTTTGTTGGTTGTTTGGTTGGTTTGTCTGTTAACAAGATAGCTCAAAAAGTTATGGACGGGAAAATGTTCATGAATTTCTTTTTAGGGGTGCTCCTTGGTACAAGTACAAATCGATTAGATTTTGGAAGTGTTCCGAATCTGGGTCTGGATCCTGGATTCTTTTTAAGGATTCTTCACCAATTATGCGGGTACTTCTTTTGGGTGAACCGACAATATGGCGGGGAATTGTTTAGCCTTGGCAGAGGTTTGCGCTCTCTGAGTGCTTTCTACTTAACTGATGCGGCTATTCAAATGATTGGTTTATACGTTTGCGAGTCTGATTTGAGAGATAATCTGCATTTAATTTATTCAAAGTCCTGCTTTGTCAGAGGCAGGTCTACGCAAAACAGAGAATCGCAAATTTAGGACTACCCCGACACGGGACGGGTTCATTATCATACTCGGCGCAAAAGTGGACGCTTTTTTCATGCATGACGTCACAGCAAGTAGAAAGCTTCTTATTAGTCAAAGCTTGAGCACACTTTTTGAACTCCGGTTAATTTCGCTGCAAAAGTTTTGCAACGGCAACTTATTCACCTTCACGTGTGTAGTATTTTAATCAACCTTGTCATCGAATTGCCAAAGTAATTACCTGTCTGTAATTTAGACATCAAATTTACGAGCGACTCCATAAAATACAGAGCGAGTTTTAGTGAGTCAAAGTACCCGAGTTGGAGTCATGTTATCACTGACCCCAGTGTTACAAATTGAATTAATCATAAATTGAAATAAAAGGGAAAGTATTTATCTGTCTGTATATTAATTTTGACCTTTGATTATTGACGTACAGACAGATATTAATGCCTTGTTATCGAATGAAAAGATAACAACTGTCATAAGTATCGTGAATCATTTTCACTGGTACTTTTAGACTTCCCATTGCAATCCTTTTTTTAACGGGAAGAGTAAAAAAAAATACAGGGTGTGCGTTCTTTCAGCAAAACGAAAACAATATTCATACACATCCCTATGTGATTTGTTTTCCTTTTGCTGAAAGAACACTTACCTTTTTGTGATCCGTGGACTGAAAGTTGTAAACGATGGTTAGTGTTTAAAATTCCGTAACTTGAAAATTACATAAGTGATTTGAATGATTCTTGTATTAACAGAAAGCTTATGAATTGGGCTTTCATATCCTAGATTTTGAAACTGCCACATGCAGAACTTCACTAAAACAATGGTCCAGACATTTGGATTTCGCTTTTTTTTTTTTAATCACCCTGTACAACAAAGTCGTGTTGTGTTTAAATTGTCCTCAATTTACTGAACTATAAGTTGACTTGAATTTCGTTTCTGATTTGATTTTATTGTTTTTGATCGTTTTTGGTTTTTCTTTTTAGGCTGTTTGTTGTTACTGAACTTGATTTTCTCTTACGGTTTATTTTGTTTATGTTCAGTCCTATTTCCCCTGATAATTTCGGATCCGTAAAGAACGTACACTGTAAAAAAATTTGCCCGTAATTTTACGGTAAAAACACTGTCAAACGGGTTGCCAACAAAAGACCGTAAAATTACGGTCAGTTACGGGTTTCCAAAAATGACGGTGACCGTAATTTTAACGCGAATTTCCCGTAAATTTAACGGCAATTTGCCGTTAAGTAATGGAATACAAAGTGGGTGGCGTCAGAGCTGAGTGTAGGGGTAGGGAGGGGGGTAGGTTCCAGTTGCAGCAGCTGGGAGTGGGGTATGCATACGTCTTGCAGCTTGTCTTTTACACGCATAGTGGTTTTCAAATCACTTAAGGTGAAATTATCTTTAAGTTGTAATTTTCATTTACAACTTTTTACCGATCCCACAGAAAGGGGTCAACCTATTGCTGGTCATCACCGCAGGATTAGCTGCTTGACTCTTCAAATTTCGCAATACCAAAGCTTTGACGTCCCAATGATCAGCACGTAGCGAACGTTGCGTGAGTGCACACGAATCACAGCTTTAAAAACTAGGCGGTTGTGAGGGTTTGAAAGGGGAGGGGTTTTGAAAAGTTACGAATACAAACCATTGTGAATCCCAGCCTGCGTCAGGGCACCAAGTTTTACTGGAAATGCACGTAGCACGTTCTTTCTTGTGACGGTTCGAGCAATAACGGTTCTAAACCGTAAACAATACGGGAAATGGACAGTGTTTTTACGGGTTTTGTTTACAGTGTATAGAAAACGGCTTTCACGTGCTGCGTTTCTTTCGTTTTGAAAAAAAAGGTTGTCCTCACATAGTTCCTTGAAGAATTCGAAGACATTGCTTCCGGTCTTGGCGCTGACCTCCATAAAGATGGCATCGTGTTTCTGCGCAAACTCCATGCCCTCCTGCGCAGTGACCTGTCGTTGGTCGTCGCCTATGTCGCTCTTGTTCCCGAGCACAGCCAGGGCGACGTTCTCTGGCGCGCCACGCTGGGCCGACCGCACCCAGTACTTGTCCAAAACTTGGAAAGAATGCTGGACGGGGATAAGAAACGGTATTAAGCACTTATATGACCTGTTTACTAATAAATTCATAATTATGCACACATGCGCATAAATGGGCCTGGCAGCAAGAGGCGAAAGTGGTCCATTAAAAACGTACAGGGCTACTAACATTCGGGTCATTTTCTCTCAATTTGTCCAAGATTTGTCGCTTCTTTTTCTTTAGCAACGCCCCTTAAATCGCCATAGGCATTACTTCCTGCATGGCCTAAAAGCTAAGTGTTTTTTGGGGGGCACAGAATAAAAACTTCAAAAGTTGCTATAAAAGAAGGAAATCAGCGGGGCTCCTTTCCGTGTGCTTCGAGGTACCCATCCACCAAATCTCGGGCCGAATGGCGGTGCTGGATGTGGATGAGTCATAAGAAAATAATAAGTTATTCAAATGAATTGAGATTCAAAAGGCTTTCCATGGTCATTGTTTATTGACTCTGACCATTATACTTGTGACTTGAGCTGTGTAAATAATGCTCCAGACTGCAAGTTACAAACCTGCCGCTACCTTTGTGTGTGAAAAAAAGTCACAGAAACTGCTTTGATTCGAAACCTGAACACTTACCGAGTTAGTGATGTCGTACACTAAGACCATAGCACTTGCTCGCCTAAAGAATCCCCGTGCTAGCGAGCGATACTGTAGTGGAAAACAAAGCAAACATCTGGTAATGTGAGTGGTGGTGTGTGGACGGCGGAGGGATATCGAGTGAAACGAAGAAAGCCGGTCCACAGTGTTTGCGCACACCTGCCCACAGTGTTCGTGCACACCGCTGGTGACCTCATATCTTTGAGTTCTCTTTGGATTTATTTTGTTTAAGCAATGATCCGGGGTCAAACACTTCCACGTAAATGTAAGTGCATTTGCAAAGGTGGTAAGCTACCCACAGTTCTTTGCGTTTCCGGTACTCAGGGTTTTTTGGGTGTTTTTTTTTAGAGACGTTTGCAGTACGTAGGGCGATGGGTATAATGAGCTATCTCACACTCGGCGTGGGGTACTTTTGTCCTTTCTGTAACTTCCCCATTCAAATCCGTAACATGCGTTGGAATCCTAAGGAAACATACCCGTTCCTGCCCGGCTGTGTCCCACAAGTTGAATACGTGCTCGACGTCATCCACAAGTAAAGACTTTTCCATGAATGCATATCTGAAAAGATGAAAATAATAATAAACCACAACCCCCCGCGTATGACTGAATCACCGGTCTGTTCTCCATTTCGTGTTTTGTAAATGTTCGTCTGTGAAGAAATAATTTGGATATAAATACTAATACGAAATATGTACCTGTAGACTGAACATACATACATACGTAGTAAGACTTACATACATACATACATAGCATCATTTTTGCGAACATCAGTTTACAACCGCTCTAAAGAAAATGCACAAACCGTTTTTTTTTTAAGAGGGGAAAGGTGTCTTCGTTTTCTTTTTGAACACCCAGTTTTGGCGAAGGCACATAAAAGTCGCGTTTGCGCATGCATGGGACTTATAGTTTGTTTTTAAATATAGTTACCGTTAGTATAAGATTGCATTGTGGCTATTCTACTGTGCGTCCGCGCTTGGATTAATTTCGACCCTCAATCATTCGCTAAGTAAAACTGACAATGTAATTCTTCCGTGAACCAGTTATCCCTGTAAAACTTACAATCGACCATAAAAAAACTTGCAGTCGAACGTCGACAATTCAGGAGGTTTACCGGCTGTTCACACTGGAGTTAATTTGACTAAATTGACAACAGTTTCCGTTAGTTTTATTTAAAGGGCCATGCGATGAATTTTTCTTCGGAACAAATTTTGTGCAACTCTCTACTCCTCTTTAATGCACGAAGGGATGCTCATTGGCTCACTGCCGTGTACGAACCACCGAGGAAAAGAATATTTATTACAGCAAAATATTAACAATTCTGGCAACTTTTTGTGCTGAAATAGCTGTAACATTTAGGTTTCTGCCCGGAATGACATCATAGGTTTGCACATGAATATGGAAATTCGCATAAGCATCAAAACCAAAAAGGCACCAAAATACCCTTCAAAATGGCAAAACGAAAATTGAAAACAAGGTTAAAGGGAATGTACATCATTTGCTTTTGCTGCAATTTTCAGAAATAAATGGATTTGGAGGATTAGTATGTTATAGCAAGTATTGTTACACTGACTTGTTTCACGTTTTGGGTTCGTAGATGATGGAAAACTAAGAAAACCAATCATATTCTTGTAGTCTGGTTCCCTGACGCCACTTAAGATGAACGGGAGCAATTTATAGAATTTGTGGAATTGTAAGATCATGAGAATCAGTCTAGCAGGCTTGTAGTCTTCACAGGTGTGTAATCAATTGCATTTAAACTCAATTGAACTTACCCTATTGTTGGTATGGTTCCAGTAAATCTATCTTGGTGAAATCTGAAGGCAACGCACGACTTCCCCACGCCAGTATCCTGTCATAATGTATTCGGTTACTCTTATCACAAACCGGCCAGTAAGTTTTGTTTCTGAAACTTTATTTTAAAATAAACACTCATCAAATAATTATAACTAATAATTAATGGGTCAGGGATGACTATTATTCACCTTAAATACCAAACGGGGAAAAAAGGAATAATATTCAACCTATATACAGTTTTGGTGTGCTTCTGGGCGAAATATTGTGTGTACAAAAAATGACCCATCGGGATATTTAAATTTAACCGTTCTTTGTTTTTTCTTCTTGGAACTAATTATGTTACCGATGCGTTTTTATGCTAATTATGCAGCCAATGCGTGCTTCTTTGTGGGGCATTAACAAAAGCTAGTTGGGTACACTTTATTAATATGAACTGAAAGTTTGAACCATCGCTTGTGGTGTTGTGTTGTCAGTCGTTATAATCACAATCGACCTTCAAGTTATGCGCAGGTACTGTATACATGAACGCGGAAATTAATAATCCCACATTGGGAATGCTGAAACAATAATGTGCACATTATGCGAAAGCCTCACGTGAAAGTACAAGTACCACAGCTTACGATATACAGTTACTATAAAGTGGATAGACGGAATGAGATTCAGGGAATTCACCGAATCATATATCATTCAGTGTAAAAAAGAAGAAAAGAAGAAGAGGAAAAGAATACTCACCCCTACAAAGCAGACCTTCCATGTGCATCTGGTCGCCATGATGTGTGCTCAGACTAGACCGAACTATACCCGGACAGCGAGCTGACAGACTTTTTTCCCTGCTGTTGAAACTAGAAACTACTCCTCTCGGCATAGTAATTTATTAAAACATGAAGTTGTCATAGTTCATTCAAAGCCTCTTCAAACAGTCCAGAATACTTTAATAAGTTTTGTTTGGCTTTTCACTGTGGTTTTGCGCAAAAGGTTTTACGCATAATGCAGTGGAGTGATCAGCCACTATACGGCTATTATGTACCATGTATTATATGCTTTTGATGTACGCTTGAAACAATACAACAACTGGCTGATGCAAAAAAAACAGGAAATTTACCAGGGGAGAAAAAATAGGATCATCAGACAAGGAAGTAAAAATGCTGTCGCATGGTATCAAGAGGACAACGTAATACAGGAAGTTGACCGCATTTAAATACCGGTAAGAGAAGTGAGGTAGGCTACATAATATCTTCTGTTGTGCATGTATACGGGTCAAGTTTGCCAGGCTGGTCTTTTGTCACCGAAAATACTTTCATTTGCGTTTCAAACTAATGAAATGAGTCACCCTGCGTGGCTGGCGTGTCGTGCCATTGATGTTTGTTTGAGGAAATGCTTGTGCACATTGTTCCTTTGGATAAAAACTAGCGGAGTTCAGCTTTTTTAGGGAACCGAATGATATGAGGTATTATACGGTATCTCAACTCGTGCTGAGACTATCAGAGTTTCGCACCATAATTAAGCCACGATTTATGTGTCTCGCATAGTTCAAAATGAAAAGTTTATTTAATCGATCAGTTATATGGGGCTTGAAGACAAATTCTTTTTTTGGGGGGGGGTGCTTGTTTTTCCTTCACTCGAAGAAATTTGGTTGTCATTCCTGAGAAGGCTTTAACATTGACCGTCAAAATTCAGGATACATTACTTGCAATTAAATCTTTACTTTTTAATTCAAAATACTTTGGTTAGAGTAGGGGCGTGGCTTACTTAAAATTTTTGGGAGGGGGTTTCCTGCAATCCCACTGTTATTGTACTTTTGTCTTTGGTACATGGGGTTCAAAATTCATCTTTTTTGGGTCTCCATTTTTGGGGCAGGGTATGGGATGTAGTTATTTTAGGTGGAATGAATGTTTATGTTGGGCACCTTTTGTATTTTTTTATAGCCCAGTACGATTATTTTTGTATGTTAATGTATTGAAGATGTGTCGAGAAACCTTTTATAACGAAGCTAAGTTTTGCATATTAGCATTATATGTTACACTTACGACCCAGCAAGCTGCTCGGTCCAGTAGTTAACAGTAAACAGGAGGTCGTGGGTTTGAGTCCCATCCGACTATCATTTTAATATTGTTGACAGTGGAGGGGCAAACATTTGCATGGAGCGACGTCATGTCGAATAGAAACTTTGCTCAATCGCTAAAAAAAGTCCATTTGCACAGGTGACTTATACTCACGTTACCCGTCTATCACAGGTTGGACTTTCCACCTGTAATTGTTCAGAAATTGTTTTCCGCCGGAATAAGGACAAGATCAAAGTTTGCACGTCCACCATTGCGCCGTGTGCAAAGATCTCTGCACACTGCTAGACAGGTGGATAGTACCTATGCATGCGCTGCCGTTTCTTTGTTGCCAGTTAAAAAAAACAAATATTACGGTTTTGTTGCAGCATGTAACGTTAGTTCCCTGCAATCATTGCCTGCAACAGGAATTGTTCGCAGGCTTTCAACCAAAAACATACTGAGTGAAAGGAGTACGTGTACCTAAATATGACTGTCTCAAGTTCATAGCTCTGATTGTTGTTCCAAACTTGACGAAGAAGTTGAAGCTGCAAAGTGCAGCGGGTATTTCCAGACGGTGGAAGTGATCAGGTTTAGGAGACACCAGCTGTGGATTTGGTCGGAAAGGCGGGAAAATGCCGATCGGTCCGGGGAATGCCATCAAAATCTGCCTGGTTGGGGTGAGTACGTTTTATACACACAATAGACTGACGATGCAGTATGTGGGACGTGGTTCATAGTTCATACATCATGCATGGAACTGACTGACACGCTTGTCACGAAATATATTTGTTCACGGTAATATGTCCATGCATCTACAATGTACCGTCATGTACATACACCAGCCGTGTAGTCAGTAACGTTCATCATAATGCTCCAAACTGGTTTTCAATCACTGAAGATTCACAATAGTAGAGAACAGAAAATTGTTCAGTATCCACTTTCAATAAATCTTGGAAACTATACAACTTCTCAATGATGATGTTGGTGTTTTGCCAGTTCACTGTCTAAAAGGCGCTTTACGTAATCGTGCTGCCCAATGTTCAGCTCAATCGTACTTTTCAGTGTCTTCTGCGGGTTTGTCCATGACAACTTTTCATGAACTGGTATAGAAACAAATTGCAAAACTCTTACAGAAAAATGCGGATTTTGCGTGACCCGAAGTTATGAACCGTCCGGCGTTACAGTCAATCACGAGTCAATAACAGGCCCGTCGAAATTCAAACACAAGACAGTCACAAGTATAAGTCAGTCGCAAGTACTAATTCAATCACAAGTTAATCACAAGTCATGCAGCAAGTCTATCACATTTGATCATTTTTCTTCAAATAAACCACAAAGGCAAACTGACTAGTTGCAGTATAATCCTTTTTTTTTTTCAAAGTTGAACAGAGAAATTGACTGGAGCAGGGTTTGAACCTTCGACCTACGGATTGCCGTTCCGGTGCCCTACTAACTGAGCTTTCCAGCCCCATGCAGTTTGTCAATGTCTTTGTTCAAGGGGCGCTGTAGCCAGGGATCACACCCAAAGTCATGATGCTGGCAACATTATCAAAGATGGATATAAGGACTCGGCTACTATACTCCAGTGTAGTTTTTTTCTTGAGTCATCTTGATCTTTTCTTTATCTTCCATGATCCAGAGTTCTACAGTGGGGAAGTCATGTATCGCTGAGAGGCTAGTTCACGATGAATTCCTCGAACAAACCAAATCGACCATTGGGTGAGTCTTGTGAAATGTTCAGTCTGGATATAGTTTAACTTCCCGAGAAAGAGTTAGAAGATCTACTCGATCTACGACAGTTTGACTCAGTCTATGTAAACAGAGAAGTGTCAGTTTTGTCAGGAAACAGAACGTTGTTATGTGCCGTTACAAATTGAAAGTGTGTGGTTACAAGTTTTGTATATAAACACACATTGAAACCACTATGATTTTTTTCATTGCCCTTGAAAAAACCCGGAAATGTACAATACACATAATTGTCACAATATTTGAACTGAATATAATATATGAACTTCTCTGTGCTTGCTTCGTTGTCATGCACGCATCCTAGATTAATATCCTAATTTCTTCTTTTACTGTTTTTCCGTTTTTGCTGGTTTCATTTGCACAGGAGTGCTTATTCAAAAACAGACTTGACTGTGAACGGAGAAACCGTCAAATTGAATCTATGGGACACAGCCGGACAAGAAAGGGTGGGTACATAATATCAGTGGCGCACCCAAGGGGAGGGAGCCCGGGGGGGGGGGGGCTTGAGCCCCACCCAAAAGTCGTTATTTTAAAAAAAAGAAAATTGGGGGGGGGGGTGTTTCACTTTAGTCCCACGGTTTGACAGTGGTGATATGTATGTGGCCTATTTTCGAGTAGTATAATAGGGGTGTAAATGGCGCGACCAACGTCAAAAAATAGTCCGCCCCTCACCACACCCCCACACCCACCTCCCCCTCTCGCCCCCATACAAAAACATTTTTCTGCGGCCAAACATTTTGGACATTATTTTTTTGAAAAAATATTAAACTTCTACACAAAAATTGAAACATATATATATATGGGAGCCCCCAAACCTAATCCTGGGCCGGTGCGTTCCTTCAAAAGTAAAAGATGTGAAATAAACAATCGAAACGAAATTAACTAATTAACTTCAACACTTTATAATTTTATTGTTATTATTCAATTCAAACTCACATTTATTTCCATACCAGATAAAAAATATCAGCAGAGAAAACATGAATAAGTAAACGGAATTGTCGAAAAGTTCTAAGAAGCATGCCAAACTATAGGTATGGAGGCATCTTAAGCCTAGGCTTGTGACGAGATGCCTTGGACGGACTAACACATTTTTTTCCATACCAAATAAAAATATTAGCAGAGAAAACATAAATAAGTAAACGGAATTGTCGAACTGAAGTTTTAAGAAGCATGCAAAACTATATGTATGGAGGCATCTTCTATAGAAGCCTAGGCTTCTGACGAGATGCCTTGGACGGACTAACACATTTTTTTTCCATACCAAATAAAAGTATTAGCAGAGAAAACATGAATAAGAAAACAGAATTGTCGAACTGAAGTTTTAAGAAGCATGCAAAACTATATAGAAGCCTAGGCTTGTGACGAGATGCCTTGGACGGACTAACAGATTTTTTTCAATACCAAATGGTATGGAAAATGGTATAAATTTCTTTTATAGGCATGTTTGAATCGACCACGGATGAGAGCGATTTAATAGATTCGTCAACTTTTAAATGGAACTAAGACTTATTGGAACTCTTTTATTGTGCTTATGGATACGTAATCTCTGTCATAACGTAAATTTCTTTGTGACACAGTTTCGAGCCTTGGCACCACTTTACTACAGAGATGCATCCGCCATTGTCCTAGTCTATGACATCACTAACGAAGTAAGTGTGACTTGAAATAGAAGTATAAGGCTAAATCTGGTTGGTTTTAGTCATCTTTTAATTCTTTTCAATTTGGGGTGTAATTATCCAATAACTTCTCACTGACATTTCCCTCCAAAGATGATCACCCACAAAATAATGGTGATTAAATGCAGGGTGAGTCAAAAAGAAAGACACCGAATTAGAAACAAATATTTAAAAAAATATGTGACTCGCTCCATTTCATAAAAACAACACAGGGATAAAGTGCACGGTATTGACAGTAACTGCAACAATTCACGTCATTTGTATACTCTATTCCCAAGATATGTATATTTTAATTTAGAAAAATATCACCAAATTAAGCTGTCCACCACTGATTATTTTCCGTTCTAAGAGCTAATGAGTACTCATAATAAATACAACGAAACATTGACGTTTTCCCACTTCCACAAACGAACGAAAACTTGCGAAGGAAACCAGACAATAATTGCCATCCTTATTTCAGAAAGAAAGTTGACTTGTTCCTTATAATCAAAACACAACATCTGACCGTAAAAATAATGTTTCAGTCTGGACTCAAATGATTAAAATCTCATAAGTATGCCATATAATTGAGCAAAGTTTTCTCACAAATTTTTCATTGAGCAAATTTTGGTTCACAATTTGAACAGAAAACCATAGACTTAACAGTGAATTTGGAACAAACTATGTTCCCAAGTAAAATTCCCTCGTTTTTGTTACTTCAGAGTTGCAAGCCTGTAATTTGGTAAAATATTATCTGCGGTTTACCTTGGACATGGGATTCTGTGGCCCATGCTTTTAAGGGTTTGTGAAAAACGAAATAAAAGGACCAACTCCTGCAATGACCTGGCTCTGAACCGGACTTTGAACTTTTCTAAAAAATGTGGATGCAATTGGAGCCGAAATTCGCTCTACAGGGTGAGTCACAAACAAAATGACCTGGATCAATGTTTTTTGTTTCTTCAACAGCAAAAGAGCATGTTCTTCCACTCATCTGGAAAAAAAAGATTACTGAAATCGATCCATGCTATCAGAAGATATGCGTGCTTTACAAAAAAAACCCCGTTTCTATAGCTGTCCATGGAATCATGAATGAAATATTTAAAGCTATTGAGCTAAGTGAGAACTGAGAATTACAGCTGACACACAGACATTCAAATACTGTCATGCACAGAAGCAATAACGAGTCACCAAATAAAAGAAAAAAATATCGAAATTTCTGGCAAATTTTGAAGTTGTTATAGTGGTATACAATTAGGCCTACAGTTTCTGCCTGAAATGACATTTTTGCTCCTGAATATGCGAATTTGAATTAGCATCAAGCATGGGGGTGCTGTGGTCCAATATTACGGTGGTCGATTTGTGTGCCGTGATACATGAGTTTGTATCCTGACCGTGGGAACATGGTGCTTGTGCTCTTGAGCAAGGCACTTTACCATTATTGCTTCGTCCTTTGGATGGGACGTAAAGCTGTAGGCCCCGTGTGTTGTGAAATCCACGTTAAAGAACGCAGTGTTTCTGGCAGTGGCTGCAATATGCGCCGCAGCACCTTGTCAACCCTTATAAGGTGCTACATAATGGGTCTCATATTTTCTCATTTATCAATTTACCTTTCTTTGATAATAGACATAATTTCCAGCGCCTTGAATACCTAATTGTTGGTAGATACGTGCGCTATATAAGACTCCGTTATTGTTATTATCAAAACCAAAATGAAAATAGAAAAAAAGGTTAAATGGTATTTAACAAGGAATGCATTGAAACAATCACTTGACATACCCTTTAAGAAGACTGCATGTATAACAAGAGGCAAGTTTCATTCCTGATATTACTAGCCTGTAACCGTCTATCTTCATTTTCGTCCCCTATAACTGAAAATCCCCACTTTTGTCCAACACCAGCAATCCTTCCACAGTCTTCGGACGGTCTGGTTGCCTTCTATACGAGCGTGTACCAAGCCAGACGTGGCGCTTGCCGTAGTAGGCAACAAACTGGACCTTGAAGAGACAGACCGAGTCATCTCGGCCGAGCTGGCGCGAGGTTACGCTGATATACTGGAAGCCGTCTTCTTAGAAACGAGCGCCAAGACGGGGCACAACGTGGAGAGAATATTCACTGAACTAGGTAAGTGAAATTTGGCCAAAGAATACCATTTTTTTTTTTAGAGGAGGGACTCTACAACTGAGCATATACTTCACGCATGCTACCTCTAAACCTAGCGCGACTGAGGTGTGCTCCTCTGCAAGATCCTCCTTGTCATATTCACGTCCATTGTTTCATTTTGCAACAGTTATGAAGATCAGAGCATCCAAACAGACATCAAGCCACCAGGCGACCAAGGTGGAGGAGGAACAAACGAACATCATCAAGCTACCGGGGAGCACAGAGCACAACAGCCTGACCGACCGGGGCCCAGAACCGAATGGCCACGGTGTCACCTCGGACGGTCAACATGCTGAGAAACACAAGTCAACCTGTAAATGCAACTGACATCAGCCTTTGTTCGATTCAGTTTTCAATTAAAATCATTTTACTCATTTCGACGTCCTCATAAGTCCTCGCAAGCCATCACGAGTCCCTCACAGGTCCCCACAAGTCTTCCCAAGTCCATCATAAGTCCTCACAAGTCGTCACAGGTCTTCTCAAGTCATCACAAGTCCTCATAAAAGTCCTCATAAGTCTTCCCAAGTCCCCCACAACGATCCTCACAAGTCGTCACATGTCCGCACAGGTCCCTCACAAGTCGTCACAGGTCTTCTCAAGTCCATCACAAGTCCTCAAGAAAGTCCTCACAAGTCCCCCCCACAAGGCCTTACAAGTCCTCACAAGTTCTCACAAGTCCTTACAGCTTCACAAGTCCTCACAAGTTCTCACATGTCCCTCACAAGTCTTCACAAGTCTTCCAAGTCCTTACAAGTCCTCACAAGTCCTCACCTCACAAGTCCTCAAAACAGTTTTCAAGTGACATGTGACAAAGGCATTCCACTGTTACTTGTGACTGGAATTGTTGGACTCGACTGCAAAGCTGTTAATGGAAATGCACCGTTTCCACTGACCGTCTTTTTGTAAAAAGTTCGTGCTAGTGATCCACCGTTCCATTGCGGTACAATTCTTCCGCGCTTCCGCATACGATACAACTGTACAGATATGATTAATTAAGGAGTGCAGATATTGAGAGGGAACGTGAAAAGAGAATTCATTGTTTTTGTATAAAAGTCTAAAATAAGTGTGAATTTCTCTACGAGGCCATTCCGGCGTGCAATTCGTTTTTATGCAACTCAGTATAGACCATAATGCGCATGCCTGAAACATCACCTGATACGGAATAAGTTCTTATGGCTAATATTCCACGACAGTCAGCGTGGTCTCGCTGTGCTTTAAATAGCTGATCTGAATGCTGGAGGACCCAGGTCCAACTCCTGGAGGGATTTTACATTTTAATTTTATTCCCTATAGTGTGTTTAAACAACTTGTGATGATCTTCAGCCTTTTCTTCTCATTCTGGACTCCAGGGGATTTTTGTTTAAAGGAAAGTTAAGTCCGAGACATATTCCGTTACCAACTGACGCATGCGCATTATGGTCATTAACTATACTTGGCTGCATAAAAAAGAATTGCTTCCGGTGTAGGATGACATTTGGACTGTATTAATTAACACGGACTCCTTGGTTGTATTTTGCATGCCTTAGTGAAGATAATTAGGCCTACAACAGTGCCAGATCGCGTGTGAGGGGAGACCAGATTACACGGGAGTCCAAATTTAACAAGACATTGGATATTCCATACAATGCCCGAGTTTGATGGGCCTTATTCACGAGTAGGCCATTTTGTCGAATTCCCTGAATGTATTTCTTTAATTGTTAACTGTGTAATGGGATGGGCACCTTATTTTACTGTCTTTTTTTGTGTTAATATGGCTTTAAACATTAGAGAATGGTTAATTACAAATGTTCAATTATTCATTGAAGCAGACTGGAATTTATAATAAAGGAACTTGCTTTCATTTCTCTTCACAAGTTCCACAAATTAACATTTTACCTAACTTTCAATTCAATATGGCCGACTCGTGTATAAGGCCCATTGATGGTAGAGCCTGATGCTCATGGCAGCATATATGAGGTGTGTACGTTTGCTCCAAACGGATACGCATGCGTAGACCTCTTGGGCAGGCATTACATTCACTGTGTGGACTTCCGAACAAAAGAGGTCCACATAAACCAGGTAGAGGCGACGTTGTGTGGACTTGGTCGAGTCCACACAGTGTTTCCCCATTTCTGGAAAACAGGTTAAGAGGCATTTTTGGGAAAGGTTTATCCGTGGCAAAATGAAGAGAAACACTAAAGGGAATCATAGAAAAAAATTGGGTTGAAAGTCTTTTCACAGTGAAAGTAAAATGAGGTTTTTTTCAGAGCTTTTTCTTAACTACACGAAAGCAAGGGAATGTCCACACTAGGTATGTATTACGTAAACATGCATGTGTGTGCATTCAATGTTACTGAATTTGAATTTTTAGGGCTGCTCAATTGTCTGAGGGCCTTCTTGTGTATAATCTTAGACACTTTCACCCCTGAATTCCACGATGACTGTGAAGTTCTTTTAAGATTGTGTTTGTAATTGTCGGCCAGTCAGTTGGTATAGATTGACTGGTTTGTTGCGTTGTTTTGTGCAAGTTTGGTTGTTTCTGAATTGGTGATTTGCTGTATAGTAAAAAAGGTAATAATTTATGAAAACTCAAAGTTGACAAACATTCTGTCAGTAGCCTACATCGGCGAATATGTACTGCAGCTCTGTATCTCAATATAAATTAAATATAATTTTTAAAATAATTTTTGTATTGCTGTACAAACGCATTATTAGGATTCTGAAATAATTTTTTGTAAAGTCCGTGCAGAGTGTTACAAAAATGCAATATAAATAATGTTCATTGTGCCAAGCTGTATATCTTGCAGCCACCACGCCGTTGTTTTTATAGTTGAGTGTCACTGATTATACCGCTAGGCATTTCTTGTAAAAGTTTTTGCTTATACACGGTAATATTAAGATAATGAACATGTAAATTTAGAGCTAAATATGTGACTGTTATATATTGACTCTATTGTGACTGTATGTAATGAAGATGACAACTGTAGATTATGTATTGCAATTGGGTTTTTTGGGTCGAGTAAAAGTAGAAAAAAATAAAGTAAACATTGGCGGGTTATTACATTTTATGTCAGCTGAGCATATTTTTTTAACGTCTTGCCACTATCCGCTCCGTTTACAAGTACCCCCTCACCGGCAAAGAAAGTACAGTTGGGGATGACCGACCGACGCCATCTTTAACCTGACTGCAATTTGGCTGCGGAGCGCGGCCACTGCGTGTACATAGTACAAATCCCCTGGTGTACGTGCGTGACACACAAGGAACGATGGCGCGTCAACCAGCTGAATGTCCCGCCTATGGGCCGTCGTTCAGGTAAAAGGGCGCCCTTTAGTTGACGCACGGAGCCTATAAGGCAACACATCCTTCCTCATGCCGTACAAGTGTTTTGGGAATGTTTTCAAACCTCGCTTCTTTGTTATTTCAAAATGGCGTCATTCATCGGTTCGTTGTCAAAATAGCGGTGTGCATGCGCTTCATATTCTGTGACAGTGTTTTTTTCGGGGGGGGGCGTGACGGGGGTGGGGGGTGGGCAACGTTTCAAAGGGGTTTCCAATGGCGGTTCCGCAACAAATGCGCCCAAATCTGCAAGGGCCGATAGACCGTCATCCGATTTCAGAAATATGGACCGAAGGGGGGGGGGGGGGGGTGATTTTGGGGTGGAAAGGAGCTGGAATCCATTTAAGTCCCGTTGGGGGCGCCCTACAGCAAGGCAGCCACAAACGGAGGTGTTGTTTTCAGGCCAGATATCGAACTCAGAGACATTTTTTCTCCCAATTTTTAAAATGAAATATGAATTATCCATCCTTCCTCATGCCGTACAAGTGGTTTTGGGAAAATTTTGTGGGCCATGAACTAGAGGGTTTGTAAAAAAAATGGGTGGAAGCCGTGCACAGGACGGTGATCGAGCTCGTAGTTCCGTTCAATTTGGATGAAATTGGGGCCCTACAAGCGCTCTATTTTGCAATGGAGTGCAATTGAATTCGTCAATGTTCAATCGATTTCATGAATGTTTCGACCAAATTCAGGCATTGGAAGATCTGGCTGTAAAGAGCTTTGTGAACAAGCTTCTATCGTCCTACTCTAAGTTTTCTGAAAGATATGAAAATAATTATGACTACATATTGCTTTTCATAAGTATTGGCCTACTTTTTTTGCATGAAATTAATTGAGAGAATACATTGTGCGATGCATGCATGAACCATGTCTAACTAATATACAAGCTCACCCCAACAAGTTAGATCATTTGATGGCATTTTTAAAACCGTTCGACATTTTCATCCCCAACCAAATCTACCGCAAGGTGCTCCAGCACACGTCCACCTTTATACAATGTCCGCAGGAAATTGCAGCTTCAACTTCTAATTAGGCTAAGCGAACCATGCATGCAGCATAGACCTGTCATACTTGCACGTATCGTGTTTGGGGGTTGAAAGTCCACTGGCAATTCTGGTTTTCCCCTTCTATGTAATGATTGAATCAGGAACTAACGTATACATTCAACAAACTTGACACTTTTGTATACTGACAACAAAGAAACCACAGGTCACACACAGCTGGTGAACCAGGATCGCAGTGTGATTAAATGAATTATTTGCAGACGTGACAATGGCGTCCATTTAAACGCGGCTATTTTCCTGGTTCCGGCGTCGAGCCCTATAGCTCACCGAATTGGATACTAGTAAAATTCACTCCAAAGTAATCACTTCCTCTTATAACTTGCTACCGCTGCGTGTATCCTCCCGGCAAGGGTATCACGCAGCAAAACCGAAATGTCATGCCGTGAAGTTCCCACTCCAGAATTCTGCGAATCAAAACAGAATGATTTCAGCCAGCATAATGTAGGCCTATAAAACAGGTAGAGTTAAATGTTCATTATGTATCCAACACTTGTCAGAAACCATTTTCTCCTTGTGTCACATGTTCTCATGCAGGAGCAGCCGTCGGTCGAGTTGGCTGGAAAGGAGGTATGGCAGTCGGATCAGGAAATGCTATCAAAATCTGCCTGGTTGGGGTGAGTTGCATATTTACACAATTAGACAAATAACTCACATCTGGTCCTCAGTCACGGGAGATTACATGAAATAGAGACTGGGTCATAACATAACATGAAGTAGTGCACTTTCTGTAAAAAGGGGATGACGTAATCGGGCTGCTCACAATGTGTTCTTTTGGGGTTTCTCTTTGACAACTTCATATATCACGGGAAAAACAATTACCAAAGTGGCGCAAAAAGGGCCCATCATGTAATTTAATTTGTTTTAATGCCATCCTTGAAAATACAGCTTTGTGTCCCATTTATCCTTATTTTCAATTTTCATTTTGCCATTTTTAAGCGCATTTTGGTGCCTTCTTGGTTTTTAGGCTAATGCAAATTTCCATATTCATGAGCAAAAGTGTGATGTCATTTCAGGCAGAAACCTCAATGATACAGGTATTTTAGCACCGAAATATGCCGGAATGTCGGATATTTCGCTGTCGTAAATTGTCTTTTCTTTGGCGATTTGTTGTTGTTTCGGTACATGATAGTAAGCTAATGAGCAAATTTTTCTCACGAATGTTTTTCAATGAGCAAATTTTGGGTTCACAATTTTCAACGGAAAATCTATAAAGTTAACAGTGTCTTCCTGAAATGACATCATAGCAACAGCCCCCTCACTTGTCAGGTGTTAAAGATGCATACATTTAAAAGAAGCTGTAAGTAAAGTTCATGGACCCTAAATTTAAGCTTCATTTGATTCGTGCTCCGTACAGAGTTGTAATCGTGAGTCAAAAGTTGATGACATGTCAAATGACAAGTCGCAACAGTCAATATCAGCCACAAGTCGATCAAACCAATCAAAAGTGAAATCACGTGGTGGTTGTATATGTCAATCTCAAGTCAATCGCAATAATTCAATCTAACACAAATCAATCTCACCTCAGCCCCAAGTCAAATCAAAAACCAAATCACAAATCATACAGTGACACAAATCAATCACAACTTCAGTCAGTTACAAGTCCAATGACAAGTTAGTGACAACTTCTCTAGCTCTATCTGAACCTCTGACAAATCCATCACATTCACAGCAGGTCAATCACAAGGCAAATCCCAAGTAACACAGTGACAAACTCGAGTCACAAGGAGAAATGCGTTTGTCATAGATCACAGAATAGCTTGTGACTTGACTTGAGATGAAATGACTTGTGATTGACCAGTGACTTACTGGCTAGGACTCCTACAAGGCTTGTGATCACCTCTGAGTATTTGAGATATCTCTTGCTCACCGCAATGGAACATGTCACCTCATTGTTGTTTTCTTTCAGAACTCTCGAGTGGGCAAGTCATGTATCGCGGAGAGGCTAGTTCATGATATTTTCCATGAAAAGACACAATCCACCATGATTGGGTGAGCGTTGAGCAATTTCCAATTTTTAACGATTAAAAGGAATTATTACAAAAGGTAAACGATATTAATGTGTAGTTGTTGTAATAATTATGGAATTAATATGAATGGATTAAGTATGCAGTGACGTCGCTACGTGGGGCGTGCCTAACATCCCCCCAGCGGATGTCCGTCTCTCCCCCACAGGTGGACTCCGTTTAAAATCGTAAATAGGACAGAAACATATATCATTTGGCTCCAGTTTCTCCCCTTCCCACTTGAAAAATATGTGCACCCCAGGTGCCCTCCAGAAGTTTAACCCTAGCTACGCCACTAATTATAAGGACTATATTTTGAAATGATATAGCCATGTCAGTAGAAAAGTTACATTATAAAACCCACTTGGTGGGGAAAAATAAGCTCCTTTACATACAAGGCATGATCAAGTATAACGAAGCATAAAATTTCATAATCAAGTACAGTAGACCTATATTCTTCCAATATTGAAACATTATCGCTATCATCCCATGATTCAAGGACCAATACTCCTCAGAGAGGAGACGAGAAAAGATAGGACATCCCATTTCAAAAAAATGAGGAAGAAACTGGGAGGCTTTTTTTTATTCCGAGGAAAACAAAGGAACCATTTATGGGCAAATATTTCCCCATATATTACGAGAATTCTGTACACCCTCCAGAGGGACATTTTCGGGGGGATATCCTGTATACCTCAGCGTATGTGAACAGAGAAATGCAAAGTGATTTTGGAGACGTGAAGTTTTTGTGTTAAGTGAACAGAATATCGAAGAATGATCATGAATGCACTGCCAAGTTTTGTATATGATACATTTTATAGAATGTAGTACATTGTACTGTGAGTTTTTTTTTTTTTTTTTTTCTTACACTTAAGCGTTTGCAGAGCACCGTAATTTTACAATTTGCATACTTTTACAGCGCTCTTAAAAATATTAATTTTACTGAATTTGCTTTGAAATCATAGTCTTTAGACCAAGATAATCGTCTCTATTTCACCCATTTTTAATTGCATTGCGACAGGAGGGCCTTTCTACACAAAGCGCTTACGGTGGAGGGGGAAACCGTCAAAGTGAATATATGGGACACTGCCGGGGAAGAAAAGGTGAACACAACAAAATATTCAAATTTAAGAAATTTGTGAATGCAATAAATTGAGGCGACATTTATGAACAATTAACACAAACCTTTAGGTCGTTACCTAGTGGGGAGTGTGGCCTAGTCGTTAGGGCTGGTGACTCATGATCAGAGGGTCAGGGTTTCGAATCCAGCTGCTGGTCATAAATTGTGTCCTTGGGCAAGCCACTTCACCCCTACTCCACCCAGGGGCATGGCTACCGGCATTAGCTGGGGAGTAAACCTGCGATGGACTAGCATCCCAAACTGGGGGAGTAGAAATATTCTTAGTCGTTTCATGCTACTGAATCCGGAGATAAACACCTGATTACATTGGCTCGTTGTGACAGACTGTACTTACTTGCTTACTTTTTGGTCGTTACAGTGTCTTTAGAACACTGATTTCTTTCTGTTAATTATCCAAAAGTCAAGATTGTTTATTGGGTGCATCGATCCCTTTTCTCTGTGACAGTTTCACTCATTGGCACCAATGTACTATCGGTATGCATCCGCCATGGTTCTCGTATACGACATCACTGACACGGTAAGTTTCAATCTGAAGAAACAATTTGTCTCTTACATTTAATCAAAAATTAGAAATTAGTCAGACAAAAACAGATACAAAAGAACGAAATGCAGCGTCGCCAAGACGCTAACAATTTAACCTTGGCAGTGAACCAACTTGAGAGACCCTACACTGACCAGTCTTCTTCTACCAGCTAAGTCACAAAAGCTGTCGAAAGACCAAGCAAGCAACAACCATAAGATCAATTTTTGGAAAAGTTACCTCGGATACATTGAGTTGACAGCCTGTCAATTAAAGAGAAGTGGTTTTTAAAAGATTCAGAACCAGGAGATTCTTTGAGACAATTCATAAGATGGAAATTTGCGTCGGGGTGATGTAAATCAATATAAGTTTTGTCCTTCACCGACGTATAAACTCTATACTCGGTGTGTTACCACCCCCCCCCCCCCCCCCGAGTGAAAGAGAGAAAAAACAATCAATCGGGTGGGACTCGAACCCATGACCTCCTGCTTGATCTAGTCCAAACGTCTTACCACTTGACAACCGAGCTTGTGGGATCGGTTGGCTGGTTCGAGTTTGATACAGTCATTAATTTTGTGGAAACATTTCTCAAGTTGCACTCTCCAACACGCCCCAGCTTGCGTTAGATTTGTCCAAATTTCTCAGAAATGCAATTTTGCAGTCATGTTTAGAGCTGGGTCATTTCTGTGTTGCAAAGCTTTTTGAGAGCATTGGGAACAAGACTTGGTCAGCGTAGCAATCTATCCTAGGCCAAGAGGCCATATTAGGAGTGAATATGAGGGGGCGTTCCAACGGCGTCTACCCGATGTTCCCCAATACCTATTTTCCCCAAAAATCCTTAGGGTAAGGGTTAAGGTTGTGGTTAGGTGGTTAGGGTTAGGGTTAGTTTTGGGGAACATAGGTATTAGGGAATGTAGGTATGCACCCGTTCCAACGACACCATTTTGTTGGTATCTGGACGGTAGGAATATTGTATTTATTGGAGTAAGTTTGTATTTTTACAACAATCTTAAAACAAGGACTGTCCAAATCTAATGGTTTGATTATAATAACCTTGAACTCACGTCTATTTTTACTCTCAAAATTGCGTCGTTATGTTCAAAAATATGGCCTGTTAAACTGGCCTTATGCAATCCTTATCCCACAAAATTGCAACGGACAATCTTCATCTTTTGACTAACATCAGGAATCCTTCCTCAATCTACGGAAGTTCTGGGTTCCTTCGATAAAGTCCTGCAACGACCCAAGCATTCCTCTAGCCATAGTGGGCAACAAATTGGACCTTGAAGAGACAGATCGGGCCATCTCGACCGAGGAGGGGCAAGGTTACGCTGATATACTGGAAGCCGTCTTCTTAGAAACGAGCGCCAAGACGGCGCACAACGTGGAGAGAATATTTACTGAACTCAGTAAGTGAATTGAAATTAGGCCAAAAAAATAACTGTGGATCTGGTCGCCCGTCTGTCCGATTTAGAAGGGATCGAACTTCGAACCTAGCCTTAATTCAAGACTGGATTGGTATATTTGTGTTCCCAAATGCAGAAGGTCCCAGACAAGCGCCTGCAGTCAAGCATAGTTTGAGTATAGTGCGATTGAGATATGCTCGGAATTTCTCTGGGCCGACTGCCAAGGTTTCCAATATTATTGGATTTGATTCTTGTTAATAGCGTCTTAGACTGTTTTAGTGGATTGACCGGGATTGAAAGGGACCGTTTTTTAAGAGAATTAAATCCAAGTCCTGTCGGACCGAAACTAGTTCGAACTCTGCCAGATGAAAAGATATTATACTGGTTTATTATGTGAAATGCGAGTGGATTCTGAGGTGGACGTCGTTTCTTGTCACAAAGGTTTAGGAGGCTGAAGCCCCCTGCCTAAATGTGCTTGATATGCCCCTCTAACCCTCCTCCTCTCCCACAGGTCTGCTGGCTGTCTCGTTATGAGCAGTGGTGATATCCCAGCTCTTATCTAAATTCTGGAATCGCCCCTAATGTTCACATCTCCCCCTCCTCCCCCGCCTCTTTGTTTGCCTTCACAGAAAACACAAAGTGAGTAATTAGACTTATTATCGTAAAAAATGAGTAATGTTGTCCGTATAGTGACACACCTTGGCTCAAAGTGTGTCACTACACGGACAAATGACTCAATTATTACGATATTGAGTCAAATTACTCACTTTGTGGTTTCTGTGATTTCGTTTATTGTAACAGTTTTGAAGATCAGGGATTCCCAACGGAGGAGGCAGATGAACCAAGCCGAGGAAATGGAACCAAGGAATGTGATTGTCCCGCACAGTACACCTGCGAAGGAGAACCCCTTATCCTGCATCTGCCACTGACAGTATAGTCCTCTCTGTCTATTTCGGTATCCCGTTATTTTCAGAAAGTTAAGAAGCAACTATTCTTGCACGTGTTTTATAGTTTAGCTAAATTCACGGCTAAAGTGATTCCGCGGGGATTGACCCAAGCTAAATTTGCGACTGAGTCTTTAAAGAGAAGAGTTTTCCGAAACTCACGAATTTTGGGTATTCCTGCCGTCCAGGATGGCTGTAAATTTATCGCTTGTGTTTGTTGGTAAATTTGTCGGTCGGTTGGTTCGTCGCTTTTTTGTGTGTGAAGTTTCCTTGTTTTTGTTGCTGTAAAGCGTATAAATTATTAAAGCTGCAGGTGTGTTGGTGTGTCGAGTTGACGGACATTCAGTTTTGATTTAAGTTATTATTATTGAAGTGTACAGGTGTCACATGAAAATCCGACTCCTATGAAAATCGGACCCCTATTTCCCTATTATTGGTTGATCCCTCGCACGTGACAGGTCACTCTCCCGAAACGATCCTAAAAATAGCATTGTATCGTACTCACGCGTGCGCAGTACTACCAATGAGTCCACATTTCATGGAGTCGGATATTCACGCTGCACCGATTGTGATTATATTATATACTACACGTAACACACGCACGCAGACGAGCCTTTTTGGGGGTTGTTTGAATGTCCGCTTTAATCGGCGATAATCGGCGACGACAACATATATGTTTCTGTAATTGCAGGAGAACTGTAAATAAAATGTTTACAGTACGATTAACTGTTATGTTTCAAACATGTATAAAAATGTATGGCTTTGTCTAGCTTTGTATAAATTTTATTAAGTAATATAAAGAGTAAGATCATGCATCGATTTTTTGTATCAAAATGTTTGAATAAAATACAGTAATTTTTAGATTTGATACTGAGATTTAGTTTGGTGTAAGTTAAACGTTAATGCTACTATAAGAACTGATATACAGTTAACTTATAGGTTTCCCCGACTATTTTACAGGAATTTTCATTCAAATTCACCAACTCTATCATTCATTTTCACGAAAAAATTCACACGCTTTTCACAAAAAGGATTTAGTCATTTACCATTCAATTATTAAGTTTGGTCACCCTCTTTAGACACCGCGGGTCGAGAATATTAGTCATTACAGATCAAATTCGTCGAAGCTTTTGCCGAATGGTAGCATTCAGAGAACGAATTCTTCTTATATCAATCAATTAAGGCCGAGTAAAAAAAAATAGTTTCTCGTCCGGGGTTTTTGAAAAAAGGGAGGAAGCGGGGCTTTTTTTTTTTTTTTTGTATTTTTTTCAAGATGACCGCCTTTTCAAAATTTCCTGCAGCCGTTGGTGTTCCACTGTTCAAAGACACTTTTAAAGATGAAAGACAAGTTGGACAAGAGAACTGAACATATTTACAGTGTCATTTAGAGTTGTATTGGTATTGGTATTTATTTTCCGATGAATTTGTAGACTTTTTCGGTGTGTTTCTACTACATTTTTCAAAAATAAAAAATAATAAAAAAATCCAGGCGGCCTCCAAAAAGGAAGCGGGCGGGGACGAGAAACTTGTGTTTTTTTTACTTCGCCTAAATGAATTTGATTTCTGAATAACACGATTCGGCGTGGACGAGACGAAATCGAATACTCCTGATCGTAATCATTGTGCTCATTGTTTAAATTTGTTTGGACTAAACTTGAAATTGTCTAAAAAATGGCGAAATAAAACATTGGAAGTGCACTAAATCAATGTTGCTAGACGAATTTGAATATAAGAATCGATGAATTCGAAGGAAAATGTTTTAAAATAGCCGGGAAAACCTATAGATACCGCTATTTTTGGAAATGAAAGATACACTGTAAGGGTGCAGTAAATAGGCCCAGAATTGCCTACGCCGGCCCGATCAGTTATTGTTCTTTTAATAGAGTTTCCTGGCCGATGCACTTAAGGGTTGGTAGAAGTGATGGGTCCAATGTCTGAACTGGTATTTGAACTTGTATTCATTCATTCCTTCATTCATTCGTTTCATTTCATTTATCTCAAATTGTGGCCCGGTGTCATTTTGCATGAAATAACAGGTCCTAACTTTGCTATATTTTGCAGTGGAGTAGAGAGATCACTTTTAAAATGGCAATGGGCTTCAGGACTGCATTTTCGGGGTGGTGATCTTTGGAGACAGAAAAATCACCCAAAACCATTGGGAAACCCCACAAAAATTGAGTGTGACAAACGAATTGAATATGGGAATATATGTACTGGCTGCACTCTATTGGGCGAATGGTAAAACATAGGCGTAGCCAGCGGGGGGGGGGGGGGGGATAAGGGGGGTATTTACCCCCAATATTTTGTAAAGACTGCCTTTTTCCATTCAAATGCCCTTTTTTGTGGCATCTGCCGTTTTTGGTGCCTTTCTCTGAATTTGGCACATGTATCGCCCTGATAAGCACCATATACTGGCCCTCTGTGTGCATAATTGTCGGTTTTGAACAGCGCCCCCATCGACAATGGTACCAGCCCCGCCCCCCCCCCCCCCCGGCTTTTTGAGTTAACGGAGACAAGTGTCCAGAGAAACAAAAACCTGTCTACATTTCACAACGGATGTGCAAGTGCCCTTTTCAAAAAAAATTACCCTTCCCCCAAATAAAAATGACCGTGCTACGCCCCTGTAAAACGAAGCTTGAGTAGATCAGGCGATGGTGATCAGTGTAGATTATTCTGAACATCACACGGCTTAGGTGAAAAGTACATGTCATCTTTTCAGAGAGGATGCATGCAGCTGTGGCGTGAATTAAACAAGTCTGCGGGGAAAGTGTTTCTTTTTTAAAATGAAATATTATAACAGGATCACATTCGGGGAGGGTTATTACGGCGGAGCCAGGAAATGCTCCAAGTTTACATGAAAGCCACTGCGCCATGTGCAAATGATAACATTTTCCACACTGCATGCAAACGTGATTCACTCGTGTGTGCCCCTGTGGAGTCTTTGTTGTCAGTTTAGAAGAAAAAAAAAACTAGTTTGTTGTACCATATAGGTTAGTTCCTGAATCACTCATAAACGGCAGGGGGAAACATGGCTTTCATCCAAAACAAAAATTCTGCGTCTAAGGCCTATGTGCAGGTCATGGTTGCTGTTGCAAACTTGTAGAAGTTGAAGCTGCAAGGTCCAGCGGACACTGCCTGAAGGTGTTCAGGTAGTTCAAGAGCAACCTGCGCGGGAAGATTTGGAACGGAGGAAAAAATGCCGATGAAAATCTGCCTCGTTGGGGTGAGTTTTATGTACACAATAGAATAACAATAATGTTGAAAAGGGTTCGTGAATGGTAGTACCGACTGACACACTAAATCGTGTGTACCGTGATGTTTGAAGTGCACGTATAGACCAGCAATGTAATTCGCCATTCTATTGTCCACGCGGAATTTCTGCCCGTCGTCAGTTTCCTGATGACGGGCAAAGTACACTTTCCGAAACGTTGAGTTTTCCGTGGTCCTCTTCAGAACCTCACAAACTCACAAATTGGATTTGTTACATGGTGGACTTGATTCGTACACTTATAAACGACGATCGTAAACTCCTATTGCTCTCTTCACCATTCAAATTCAACCTTCAAATCTGAACTAAATACGCTTTGCCACTTTCACTGTTTTGTAGTAGTAGGCGATTTCATAATCGTGCAGCTTACAGTGTGTTGTTCTCATGTCCGTCACAAATGAATCACATATCAAATCGCAAAATCTATGTCATTCACAAGCCAAATCACAGTGACATGTCAGTGACAAGTCACGTCACACGTTGGTCACAAGTCCATCTCAAGTCAGTCAAAAGTCAGTCACAAGCCAAATCACAAGACACGCAGTGACATGTCAATGACAAGTCACATTACATGCTGGTCACAAGTCCATCTCAAGTCAGTCACAAGTCAGCCACAAGCAACAAGACACGCAGTGACATGTCAATGACAAGTCACATCACAAGTCGGTCACAAGTCCATCTCAAGTCAGTCACAAGCCATATCACAAGTCACGCAGTGACATATCATTATACAAGTCACATCACAAGCTGGTCACAAGTCAATCTCAAACCAGTCTCGAGTCAATCACAAGCCCGGCAAATAACAAATCACACAGTGACAAGTCAATCCCAATTAGCCTGGTCAAGTACATGTCATGCAGATCACAAGTTGGTCACAATCAAGTCAATCACAAGCCAAATCACAAATCATGCGACGGGTCTGTGACAACCAAGGCAGCAATGATGAACAAAGACAAAGGAATGCCTTCGTCACAGGTTATTTGAATACCAGCTTGTGACTTGATTTTAGATTTGCGATTGACTCGTAAGGACTTGTGAAGACCAAGATTGACTTTCAGGATTTGACATGAATCTTTCTTGTTTCTTTCAGGATAAAGGAGTTGGGAAGTCCTGTATCGCTCAGCGACTGATTCATGATGAGTTCAACAAACAAGTGAAATCGACTATAGGGTTAATGTTGTTCTAGGTCTGGGGAAAAAAACTCAGTGAAATGATTACAACATATTTACCCTTGTAATATAATTATTATAATCATGGTAGTGATTAGGATTTTTTCTACATTATACCGCTATGTCAGTACGAAATTGATACGAAAACCAACTTCGGATCAAAACGAGGGCGCAAATAGGCCTGAAGGTATTGAATCGCACAATGAAAGTGAAGTATAAAATTTAATAACGACAAAATATTTTTTTAATTCAAAATTCATGGTATTGTCCCTAGATATGACAGAATCTAACATATAGCACGACTATGATCTGACTAGTTCTGCATATTTACAAAACAACCACGAATAGCATACATTGTACTGTGCAATATATTATTGTACAGTATCCTTTGAAGAATTCGATTTTCACTGAATGTGATCATGTATACTTTTTGAAACTCAATTTCTAAATAATCCGGTGTGTCCCTTTTTTCGGATTTTATTTTTACACAGGAGGGTATTTTTTCACAAAGAACTGACCATGAAGGAAGGAACCTTCACCGTGTACATATGGGACACAGCCGGAGAAGAAAGGGTGAGCACTCATGAAACTATAATATTTGGAAAGATCGTTAAAAGTATAGTATAAATGTTCTTATACAAGTATATCTTGAAAACTCACAGATTATACGTGAAACCATAGGGCAAATGAATTTCGGTTCAGCATATTTTGGTCCTCACAAATTGAGCCGTTGGAGCGCTAGCTATTTCAGTCGCACATTCCAGTCACACATCTGGGACCTGAAAGCACATAGTGAATGGCCACGTACGTGGTATGCATTTTATGCGGCGCCAGTCTTGTGTCATGCAGTTTAAACAAAAAAACTGCTGGAAATACGTATTGGCAAGAGCAGTCCGCGACAGATATTAACAAACGGACGTTTTCAACATTGTCATCGTATATGTTAGACATTGTGTGGATTTCTGTTACCAAGACATTAATTTTTAGTTAACAATATGAAACATTAATGTAATTGCCGAAGTCCATACGAGTGTACATTTTACTAGTGCCGTGCGTAAAGGCCTGCTTGATGCAGCACTGCACTTAACAAAATGCTGACGATCGATAGAACACAATTGTCTTTTTCTTTAAAATTGTCATGCTTTAAATAATGAGTTTTTTTTATTGTGCGACAGTATCTAGCCTTGGCACCACTGTACTACAGAAATGCATCCGCCATCGTGCTTGTTTACGACATCACCGACGAAGTAAGTCTGAATCTCAAGAAACAACTTGTCCTCTTCAGTCTTCAGTCTTTGATCAGTCAAAATCTAAATCGGGGAAAAGAATTAAAAGAATTAAAGTAATGGTGAATCGTCTACCATCCATCCAATGTTAGAATGCAAATTGAATAACCTGACAGCCATTTTGTTTTACTACCATAATTCAGTAAAGCTGTCAAATGAACTAACAAAGACACAAATTATTGTTCGTATATAAATAGATAATTGATTTTGAGAAGAACCAGAACTTTCCTCTTTTAGAGACAGCCGCTTGACGTGCTCGGTGTACAGCCTACTGAAAACTACTTCGAAGCTGTACTCGTCATCAGAAATACTCAGAAGCCCGAGCTTCAAAGTCGTGTGCAGAGCTCCGTCCATTGCACGACCGATGGGTACGAAATGGCACGTGACCTATACCCAACATGCTTTGCTTCCTTCGCAAGTATTATACGAAAGAGTACGTAAAGGTCACAAGCGCGCTCTTCGAGAGATGCGATTTTGGTGAGCAACCTCTGTCTCGATTTTCCCACCACTGTGTTACTGACATCCACATTTGTTGTCAAACATCAGGAATCATTCAGTAATCTACAAAAGGTCTGGGTTCCTGCGGTTCAGTCCTGTAGCGACCCCAACATAGCTCTAGCCGTAGTGGGAAACAAATTGGACCTTGAAGAGACGGGTCGAGGCGTATCGACGGAGGAAGCACGAGGTTACGCTGATATACTGGAAGCCGTCTTCTTAGAAACGAGCGCCAAGACGGGTCACAACGTGGAGAGAGTATTCACTGAATTAGGTAAGTCATACTACGCAAAATTTACCTGTGGTTCCGGTCACGCAACCGATCGTGTTTGTTAGTTTGTTTGTTTGTTGGGGGGTGTTGGGGTGTTTGTTTGTTGGGGTGTTGGGGTGTTTGTTTGTTTGTTGGGGTGTGGGGTGTTGGGGTGTTTGTTTGTTTGTTTGTTTGTTTGTTGGGTATTGGTTTGTTTGTTTGTTTGTTTTTCTGTTGGGCGGGTTGTTGGGGTTGTTGGGGTGTTTGTTTGTTTGTTTAGTTTACAGAGAAAAAAAAACACACAACTCTTTTACCACCCCTTCCCTCCCTTAGATCTGCCAAACTTGTTGTTTGAGAATGCTTGCTCGGTTTATATAGCTGTCTCGTGATAAGTATAAGATTGGTAGAGTGAGTCCCAATCAACTCCCACTGATTTCTGGATGCGCCCTTGTTTCTCACAATCTCCCTCCCCGGCCCGCCAATGTATGCCTTCTTTCCCAGGCGTATAACCCCTTGACATCTTGATGGATTTCGATTATTTAACAGTTCTGAGGATCTCGTCTTCCCAATTGAAAGATGAGGAAGAGAAACTGAAGACTTCGATCAAGGTCTCGGACTGGGACAGTAAACCTGTAAAGAAACACAAGTCATCCTGTAATTGCCACCGATGAAGTCTTCTTTAATTCGGCCTTTCCTCAATGAAATACCCCAAAACATACCAAATATGAAATGAGGTCTTCCATGGGTAGATCTAGAGAGGAAACGTGATGTAGAGGAGGGACATGTATGCATCCCCTTCTTTTACAACCAACCCCTTCAAAAGATGAATAAACAAACAAAAGTACAGATATACCTGCTTTCCGCTATCTCCCTGATTCTAAATGTTCTTGGGTCTGTGTTGGGTCTTGTACTATTTCTCTTCATTTGTGTTGAGGGATCTTGACAGACTCTATACACATGGATACTAAATGCATTTTGGTTCCATATGTAACTTTGAGGATCTAATTTATGCATAGCCACTTTAAATGAGTAAAGTTTATTCTCAAAATGTCACAAAGAGCTCTATTTTTAAGCCATAACTTCGTACAGGCAATCCCCAAGTGAGTGCTTAAAATTATATCACAACAACAGCGCCCTCAGTGTCAGGAAAAAAACATGGTTATTGTATAAAATTCACTTTAAAATGTTTTAATTCAGAAATGGAATCCCATTGTTTTCAGACACCTATATGCAGGTCAGAAGGATTGTGTTTTGTTTGAGAGGTTAAAGGGCAAAAATCTCTTGGAGGCCACTTTATACTGGATATAGGCAGGCCTACCTTATGGTTGTTTTCCAAAGATGAAAATATTGTGGTGGAGACAGACCCTTTCCAGTGCAGCCATCTTTGAAGTCACAGTGTTTTTCTTCATACGCGCATGCGTAGACCTCTTGTGCATCCAGGGTTCCGTTGCTTTGCTTTTATATCAGGTAAACATAAGTATAGAGATCTTGATTTTTTTTTCAACTATGGATATTTTCAACAGATTGATCTTTGAATTAAGAATAACATTTCAGTAATTTAAAAATTACTTGTAGGCTTGTAATTTCATTTTAGTTTCAGGTTTGTATAATTTTTACGCACTAAATGTAAGTATGCACCACTGAACTGTTAATATTAGATAAATTTACCATAACCAGTGACGATGGTTTGTGTGCAGTGTTCGTTGAACAGGTTATGTTGGGGCCTACGTCATTCTTGAGTGCACGAGTCGTATATATATACATGTACTTGCAACTTTAAACCTCTCGTATGTTTACCAAAGCGGGCGCTGTTCTAAAAAGGTGGCCTCAGTTGTTCGCTCGTACCCCCCGCCCTGCAAACAGGACGCTGGGATACTCAGATGAATTCACGCTCTGATTGATTGGATTTTGCGTGACTAGTGACCTGCGCGTCATCAAGGTCATAACTCTGCATTCGCTCGTACCCCCCCCCCCCCCCGCCCTACTGTTTTCAGGGCGGGGGGTACGAGCGAAGACTCTGTAAGGTTCGAAACGGCCGTTGAGACTGTTCATTACTCTTTTATTCCAGTTTAGAGATTTTTTTCTAGTTGAAAAGCGTAATAATGTAGGAAATTCTGTAAAACTTATCTGTGTTGTAAATTTACAATTCCCGTCACTTGCTCAGGCTCCGTTACGAATCACGAACGGTCGGATTGCATTATGCGACGCTCAAAATTGTGTCCACATGGTGCGCAATGAAACAGAAATCACATCCGGTATGGAATGTGCGCATTTCTATGGGAAGTTTTCAGATAGTATTTGCGCACATTGTCTAACTGCGGTCTTGAACAGCTGCAGCCAGATGCTTTATACATAGGTCATAGGCCACTTCCTTCACAAGATTTTGTGAAGCTCATCAGATTCAACCTCGTCCCCAGTGCTTACTTTATTTCCAACCGCGTTTCCAATAGTAAACCCTGGATAGGAAACTTTCTTCCTGTATCCTGATTGGATACCGCAATTGGCTAGTAATGGATTTTTATCGTGTACTTGGTGCTATATATTCACAACGTGCAGTACGTGTTTTCGCGATCATTCGTCCACGCTTTCTCGAAAATACTTATTTCCTTTCCAATTTGCTCATATTAATATGAAATATGATACTGCATGTTGTCTTGATAAGATCGTAACAGTTTGATTTCAAAAATCGTGTTTTCGTAACTCACGCCGTGCTCGCGCTGCTACGAATTGACTCTGTTTTTACCCCAGACACCGCATACAAAAACAAACGCTAATGTGTAACGCGTATCCAGGCACCAGACTGTTCCTCATTTGCATACGTGTGCAAAAATCTTGCACATGCAAATGATCCAATACCAGGGTGAGAGAGCAGGTAGTGGTGGGCGCGTACTGCTCGACACCCTGGGGACGAGGTTGCATCAGATTATCCCAGCGTCCTGTTTGCAGGGCGGGGGGGGGGGGGGGGGGGGGGTACGAGCGAACCTCAGTTGAAGTTCACCCTGCACGACTACCTTTGTGTCTTGGACCTGTGTCACCTGGATTCACAGTTATATGTATCACGACTTATATTTATAGCTAAGACTTGAACCAAGCCTAACCTATATCCCACTGCCAAGCCGATGCCGCGTGAGTGTACAGAAACTCATAAAGTCGGCTCATCGAAAAGTACAAACGTTGTGTGTTCGTTACTGCACAGTTGTTGAATATGAATTTGGACTTTCACCCATGCCCTATCCCTGTCCAACATTGTTCGTTTTTGGCGATGATTATGGCCTTGTCTGTTTTATTACAAAAGAAACAACACCCCACGTACTAAATATATATCGTGGGGAATACCTTAATCCATTCCGTGTTGCAAAGAGGGACCATGTTTAACAGTATTGTCGCTTTGGGTTTCCTTGTTATATACATTCTCGACTGTCAAGAGATCGAGAGTACGCAGGACTGAAACTAGCTAAAGATTATAATTTCACAGCAAATCCGGCATAAATGTTTGTGTAATCGAGTGCTTCTCTTGGGTTTGAGAAACCAACAAGGATGTCTGTCAAACGTGGACATAAAGTATGCTTGGTTGGGGTAAGTATACATCAACAGAAACTACTTATAATGAATGTACCTTAATTCAATACATTGATCAAAGGTCGTGTTCCCCGCAGCCATTGATTGATCGTACACTCTTGAATGGGAAGGGATCGGGCTAATTCTGATTGGCTGTGTTTGCCTCGTTTTCCAAAGTATTTTGAAAAAGTTTCGGAAATCTCAGTTGACTTTTCATCCATTTTATCTCGGAACACAAGGTTAATCTGTAATTTCCTCTTCATATTAGGTCTACATTCCTTTCTTTACTCAAGTTTACTGGGTTCGCCTCGCTTTCAATTTAAGATGGTTGACTCATGAATAAGGCGATTTCAGCAGTGTAGTTGGCATCATTGGGGAAACTGTTTACTTGGGCATAGGGCCATAGGACTTAGCAAGACATAGGGTCTTGCTAAGTCATCCACATCTTACAGTGGCCAATCTTACTGATTTTTTTTTTATCATAATGTCAGCATGTGCTTTTTAATGCTTAATTATTATGAGGAAGTTCCCTTAACTAGTAAATGTTTGACATACGTCATTGCAATTCCATCTTCCTTCCAAAGAATACTGTTTCAGGAAGGAAATAACTGCACAAAGCCTGCTCCAACTTCACAAAAGGTCTGATGTATTAAAGTTATACATGCACTGAACTTAGGATATGTCGAATGCATGCAAAACCAATTAAACCAAAGTTACAGGATTGTCCAGGTACGTGCAAAACTCTGACACACGTGTATTGCACCGTGTTCTACAGCTTTTTAACTTGAAGAGAAGTTTCAACTTTTGTTGAAATAAATTTGGAGAGAGCAGATTCGTTGCCGTAGTTCTCCTTTGTTTACACCAAAGTTTAAAAAGCGAGTGCAGTAATACTAGGAATAACCATGGGCGTCGCCAGGATTTTTTCGGGGGGGGGGGGGGACAAAGCACATTTTCTGCCCCAACATCCTTGTACTTTCTCCAGAATTATTATCAATTTATCATTATTTTCGAGGGTGGGCGGGGGACATTTACCCACCCCACCCCCATTGACAAACCTGCAGACGCCCATTTTGTTAAATGTGTATTAAATTAATACCAAATATGACTTCACATATCTTTTTTTCTCTCTCCCTCTACCTTTTTTGGGTTGCTTCCCCTCCCCCCTCGCCCCATCCTGGTGACGCCCATGGGAATAACGACAAATTCCCTTTTCCTATATGCTTTAAATTTCAGTGATGTACTCTCAGGCACACAGACAATGACATACAATCGTACAAAGAATGTAAACTTTATTCAAAGTTATTCAAGCGAAGGCGACCCAAAGTTCATGAGTGTGTTGTCATTTGGTTCATTTCGATTCGCAGAATTCTGGCGTGGGAAAGTCCAGCATTTTTCATCGTTTGGTGCGTGATACCTTCACCGAGAAGGTGACTTTAACCATAGCGTGAGTATGTCAAGTTATATACGAGGAAATGAAGTGATCATTGTAACGGGGTTCAATTCAGAGAGAATGGGGGATGCCACGGCCCCGAAAGGAATTTTCAAAAGATTTTTGTTCAGACGGTAGGAAAAGATAGTGATATGGCTTTTGGTATTTTTTTTCGCATGCACGCACCGTCCAATACCATGGCGGCTATAATCCCGGCCAAAATGGTTGGGACAGTTCCTGAGCCTGCCACGGTCACCCACTCCCCCGCTCCCCCGGTCAATGTTGTTCTTTCCAGCTGATGGAGCACACACCGCGCAATGAGAGACAACATTGAACGGGGGCCGGCGGGTTGGGGCCCCAGCGAGATTTGGCCAGGATTGTAGCTTCTGTGAGTTTTACATAGAAACATTTAGTGAACAGCGGTGGAACTTGGGTTAAATCTCTAGGGGCACCTGGGGTGCACACTTTTTCAAGGGGGCACTGAAGGCACATGCTTTATATTTGTTTAGTTCAAGATTTCCTAAGGGGGGGGGGGCACTTCGTCACGCCAATGCTAGTGAACCACGGGGTTCAACACCTCCATGTGCGAAAGACACGCACTCACGGATTATGTGAACAATAAAGATGGCTGTAAGTTTCCCACAATGCTCTGCACTTCCTTCACAATATGTTGTGAAATCTATAGGGGTCAGCTTCCAACCAGCGGCTCTTGATAGAACTGCAATGTATAGGCGTATGTGTAATAAAGCCGTGTCCGCACTGGACTTTTTTTTTTGAAGGTTTTACCGAGACGATGGTAAAATGAAAAATGGTCAAATGTGACCACTGTCCGCACTTGGACTTTCGACACGGGAAATTTTACCCCGACCGCGTGGGAGAAGTAACCGAGCTGTCACAGTGTCAGTATAATGACTCACCGTACGCAGAAAACAAATTGCCGATTACATTTTCAGCCACCGATACGCTCAGTAATATTACACACGCCATTTGCATGCATAACATAATCGTTTACACGATATTATTTCATCTTGACACGCTAAACCTTGACGAAAGGGCCTATAATTCTGACGCATTTGTGATGCACGTCGTCGAAGCCATGCCGCTGTACGATGTTCCGTGCGGCAGCAGTGCCATCAGTATTCGTTGGTTCCCATCGCATGCTTACAGAATCGAAGCTATGATGTGGGCCAGGAACCAGTGACTACGGCCTACGTACGGTACCGGACCATGATGTTCCGTGCATGACTACAGTAGCGTATCAGGACGAATTTGGATCGTAGAAAATAACAATACATCGGTGGAGAAAGAGAATTTCCGCAAATTAATTCTCAGAATGTGATCTCTCTTCTCTGTGTATGTATTTGTCCGTTGAAATATATATTTTAACGAGATTTTACCGCTCGGACTTGATAATACACCGCAGCGTGTTTCTACAAAATGTTCGGCCACTGCACGTGCAGGTTCGTGCGGTCTCTGTATGCATAACAGGGCGCTTGGGCCGGATGTACGCTTTCCTGAGCCGCTTTTACTGACTCGCACTGTCCGCACTGGACTAATCGTCTCGGGAAAAGCGACTCGGTCAGTTTTCCTGGGCGCGTGGGAAGTTTTCCTGGGCAGCAGTTGGCCAGTAAAAGTAACCGCTGGACTCAGGAAAAGTAACTGAGAGGAAAACGTCCTAGGCTGTCCGCACTGGACTTAAAATGGGAAAAGTACCCATAGTCTCGGTTAGTTTGACCAAAAAAAGTCCAGTGCGGACAGGGCTAAGAAGACTGACATCATGTTTAAGATAATGCTATAATTTGCCTGGATATAATATTGCCGATGTTTGAATCTCAACAGAGCCGCCTATTTTGAAAAGGAGCTGAGCGTGAACGGGGAGACGGTTAGAATGTGTATATGGGACACGGCTGGAGCTGAAAGGGTGCGTATACCTATAACCCTCCCCCCCCCCTCAAAAAAAAAATGAAAATGGCATTATGGATATTCGAGAAATGTTTTTCTCATAAGTCCTAACCAAAATAGTAGGCCTAAGGCCAAAAAAAAAAGTCTCCGGTTTCTGGTATGCGCGCACGTCGCCGTAGCCATGCGCGTCGGCAAAATGATTTTTTTTTTTCAATGAAAGATGAAAAAACCGCCAAACTCACTGGTTTGACTGGAATCCTGCTGCTGCACAATTTTAACGTGTTTTGAGATGGGGTTATGATCGAGAATAAGCTTTATGTGGCCTCTCTGGTCTCCCATATATTTGCACTAAGTTTAGTCGGGCACCATTTGCAGTCATCAGCCGACATTTGAAGCAAAAAAGTCAGGTAAAAAAAAAAAAAAGCCGCGTCGCCGCACCACTTTTTGGGCAAGCTCCATACCAGAAACCGGAGACTTTTTTTGGCCTAAAGGGCCTCGTCATATGTGATTCCTTTTTTTAACTGACAACACGCCTGTGTTTTTGTTTCGTTTTTTCTTAAATGTTGCCCATCAAAAAACTGCCCACTTTCAGTCCCTCCATAAAGACTTGTTTAAAGACACATCATTTGCATTTATCTCAAAGGAATTATCAAAAACTTGACAAAAAGCAATACCTGGATTTAAAGATCGTACTGGTACTTAACACCTTATGAAATTATTCCGTCTGTCTTGATGTCATTTAGACAAAATCTAGAAATGTAGGTGATTTCCAAAGATCAGTCAATTGACCGATTTTGGAAATAAAAGATATCGACGCAATGCACCGATCGCGGTAGAATCGCGTCAACGCACCTTGTGAAATATTGTCCAATTACATGATATACAAATGGACGCGGAACGAGCAAATTCTGAGACAAACAAAATTCCATAAGGGGCGTTGCTAACTCGCAAACGGCGATAGGTCAATTGTTTCTCTTCGTCAAAAACGTCGTGCTTTCTTTTTTCACACTCGCTTTCTCGACAGTATATCCACTGAGCTGAAACTTCAATAGGTTAGGTTTTGAACATTCTTCTTTGGATTTAGAGTGGTGTTATTATTGGAAACCAACAAAAATGCATGCAAAACACATTATAATGTGCCTTTTACTAAAACATTGTGACTTCAACCCATTTTTGCACTGTTTAAATTCCGCAGTTTCGATCCTTGACGCCATTGTTCTACAGAGGCACCGACGGGATCGTTCTGGTCTACGACATCACAGACGAAGTAAGTTTGAACAGTCGGTATATCTTAGCTCCTGGTTATTATTTTTTTAAAGCTGTTTCGGAGTACATGCTTCGAAACAGCTCTTGTTTTCGTTAAAATTTTAGTCGCCACAATTGAAAATGTGTTAGTCCTAGCTCTTCGGTCCTATAAGTGACCATTGTTAATGGGTTTAACAGAAAATGGGCGCTCCCAACCCCTCCCCCAACTGTGACATCTAGCCCCCCCCCCCCCCAAGTGGCAACCCTGGCTATACGCCGCTTCATGCCTTTGTTTTCCTGGGATATGCATGAGGACAAGCCTTTTTGCTCCACTGTGACACGCATGAGCGGACACTGTTTGTGTGCCTACTTTCGCTATAACTGAATGTAAAGAACAAAACTTGGCACCAGTGAGGGCGCTTTCTACAAAGTTGTCGCACTAATGAATTTTTGCAGAGAAGTTTCCACAATCTGCGCACCGAATGGATCCCATCAATACGAGCAAGTGCGGACACAAACATGGCGCTGGTCGTGGTGGGCAACAAGTTGGATCTTGAAGAGACGGGTCGAGTTGTCCCAGCCGTCGAGGCAAGGGGGTATGCTGATCTCTTAAACGCCATCTTCTTTGAAACGAGTGCCAAGACGGGAGAAAACGTGGAGAGAATATTTACTGAACTTGGTAAGAAATAATGAGACAGTTAGTCAGTAACGAGGGCAGGCGCGGTTCTAGAATCAATTATTGGGGGGGGGGGGCTAGCACGGTGGATCCAGAATTTTTTCAGGGAGGCGTGCTGAAATGTTGACCGGTTATTTTTTCCAGACACTTAGGCCTCCGAAAATCAATAGGGGGGGGGGGGGGAGGGGGGGGGGGGGCCTCATGCCATATTTTCAATGGGGAGCGCCAATAAAATCCTAAAATCATTCACACTATATTAACTAATACACCCTTGTCACGACTATTTCTTCTTTAGGGGGAGACAGTTCGCATGTACATCACAATCCTTTTTGCTAATGCAATTTTTTTTTTACGGAATTTATTTTTGGGGGGCTAGACAAAATTGGGTATAGCCCCCCCCCTAGCCCCCCCCCCTAGCCCCCCCCCCCCCCCCCCCCCCCCCCCCCCCCCGTAGAACCGCGCCTGACGAGGGGTTGCTGGAGGCCGGAGCCCCTTTCTCAGGAATTGATACGTATAATTAAAAATCGATTAGGAAAACAGAGTTTCATCTCAAAAATTTTGCTCTATCCATAAATTTGATCACTCTGCAACGGCCGATCTAGGAGGGGGGGGGGGGGGCGCGAAGGGGGCTATGCTATTTTTTTCAAAATGACGTCGCAATAAAGGCAGGCAATGAGTACACCACCATCTTTTCCTTAAAAAAGAATTGGTCAGAAAACACGTGGTCAGAAATTGCCTCAGATCGCACAACAGAGCATCTAGAATCTAGAATCCAGAATTACTTAAGCGGAATTGTGTTCTGGATCCGCCCTTGTCAGTCTGTGCCCCCACTCTCAGAATATAGTTATTACGACACACAATTTTGTTTGGAAAACAAATTTAGAACTGCGGCTGAACGGGAACATTTCGCGCTAGCGCGCGTACATTGCTTGTTTTGAGAGCACGATCATATAATATCTAACTTCAAGTCCGGTTCCTCGACAATGGTTCTAAAGCTCTTCCTTATTTCGTTATAACAGCCCTGAAGATCAGAGAAACAAAGCCGACATACGAGGAATACGAGAGACGTGTGGTCCAAATACCGGGCCCATCGTTGAACAGTGACGAGAACATACCTGATCCATCGAACCATCGCCACGACCGCAGCAAGTGCACGTGCTAAATTACAACTGACGAAGGAGTCATCTTTGTTTTCCAAATTGCTTCTGCCAAAACCTGAAGGGTTTTTCAAAAGTGGATCTCCAACCCCGCCCCATTTTGGGCTGGGTTAACAGCTAGACTTCAATTTTAATCAACAACCTTACTGACATTAACATTACGTCAGTGATTTTAGGTTATATGCTGTACTAGAAAACAGCTACCAAACTTTCCGGAGGCTCCGAAATGTTGCTAATAGTGCTGTTTATGACCACCATATCTTACAGGAGTAAATTTCGACCCATGGGTTCGTGGCGGTGAAATTATGGTAGGCAAAGTTAGGCCAAGATGATAACTGTCAACTTTCTTCACACAAAATAAAACATAGAATTAACAACGTATCTGATTCGCATCACTATTTTTTTTTAAATAAGAAATGCATGATTCATAGCAATTTTCATTTTTACTAAATCTGTGTACGTCGGAGCGAGAATTGGCGAACAAGAAAATGACCATTTGCGGCTCGCGTGTAGCAAAGACAAGTTTTGACTTGAGCTTGGCGAATGTGTAGGCACATGATAGTATTCTACACTTGTGGGTGTCCATACTAAATGCAAATGTTATAAGAATTATTTTAATATTTTCATCCGTAAAAGAATGTCATTTTAATTACTTATTGTGAAAAATGGTTTTAAAATCCCGACCCCTCACCCCTGTTTCAAAGTATTTTCCTAACAATATTATCGTGTACACCTTTGGATTTTGTTATAAGATCTTTTTTTTTACACGTTCTTGAACCGCACCCGACAATGTTCAATCCACCCTATTTGTGATTTACTAGTTTTTGAAGACAAAGATTGTGCATCTCTGAGGTTTGACTGTTGCTGATCTAAAACAAAATTCTTTTGTAGGGAAAGTGGCAAAGAAATCCTATTTAACCAAACATTAACGTAATGGAATACCTTGATATATAAATGAGTACTGAAATAAAGATAATATAAAGTCAGACTTTGTGGCCCAGTTATTTTAAACTTGTGTCCACATCAACTTCCAAGCTTCTATTATGAAGAACCACAATTGTTGAGAAGTCCATAAGTGTAGGATAAATTTGTGAGAGAAATTGCAGCATTTTTTTTCTAGCTTTTGCCAATTTTTATCGCTCAACGTTTTCAGTATTATGGGAAGGTTACTACTCAGTCTCCCGGCGAGTGCACAGCAACTCGCATCTGGCATCGAAATGACGAAAAGTGCACAAGTTGTCTGTTCGTTTACCCAATTGTTGAAACATGAATTGGACTTTCGTCCACTTCTACTTGTCCAACATTGTTTGCTTTTGGCGATGATTAATCTTATTATAAAGGAAACACATACTAAATGTATATCGAGGGGAATACCAAAATCTATTCCTAGTTTCAAAGTGCAAACAGTGATCACGTTCAACAATGCATATCGTCGCGTTGGGTTTCCTGGTTTATACAGTCTCTCGAACAGATTGATAGTAAGCAGTATTGAACACTAGCCACAGATATAATTCCAACTGGAAATTCCGGCACTGCAATGTTTGTACATGTATAGTCAAGTGCTTCTCTTGAGTTCGAGAAACCAACAAGGATGTCGGTCAAACGTGGATATAAAATATGCCTGGTTGGGGTAAGTACATATCAACAGAAACTGCTTGTTGTAAATTCCAAACAAATGGGCCTTAGTACATAACAACGATCACAGGTCGTGTTCCCCGCAGCCATTTATTCATCGTGCACTCTTGAATGGGGAGGTATCGGGCTAATTCTGATTGGTTGTGATTGCCTCGCTTTCAAAATTATTTTGCAAATGGTTCCGAAATTTGAGTGGACTTTCCATCCATTACATAATTTATCGAAGCACAGTGAGGTTAACCTGTAATTTGTTGTTTTTGAGTTGTCTTCATTCCTTCCATTCGTAAGTTTGGGGGTTTGCCTCGCTTTCGATTCAAGATGGCCGACTCTTAGACAAAAACACCATTTCTGTGAGAATAATGCAATTGGTGAGGAGTACTCTCATAAAAACAGAAGTGCAGTTGGCATCACTGAGAAAACTGTACGTGGGTCCAAGCCTGCTATGGTTTAATGCACAACCAAAATCCACACGTTACTTGCCAATCTAACTGGCTGGGTTTTCTTATCACAGTATCAACATGCATGTTTAATAATTAATAACTATGCAGATGTTCCCTAAGCCAGCCCTCGCTGTCATGTTTGACGTACGTCATTGCAATTCCATCCTCCTTCCAAAGAATACGTTTTCAGGAAGGAAATAACTGCACGCAGCCTGCCCCAACTTCAGTAATGGTCTGATGTAATTTAAAGGTCAACGCTATACACTGAAATAAGGATCCTTTAACCAATTATAAAACCCAAGTTACAGATTAGTTCAGTTGAGTACAACTTGGGTGCTGTGGTCCAATGGTTACGGTGCTCGACTCGTGTGCCGTGGTACATGTGTTCGAATCCTGACCGTGGGAACATGGTGCTTGTGCTCTTGAGCAAGGCACTTTAGCATTATTGCTTTGTCCTTCGGACGGGACGTGAAGCCTTTGGTCCCGTGTGTTGTGTAATGCACGTTAAAGGGAAGATACAACATTTGCAAACATCAAGGAACAACATGCAAACATCAAGAAACGAAATGATCAAATTATAACAAAATATCTTACTGGACAGTTAGTGAATGACCGTTTAAAGCAAACTGTAAAATTGTGCCTCCTTGTGTGCTGCCATTTTCAAGAAAACTTTTTTTTTTTGAAAACTATATTTCCAACGCTGGTCGTTGGAGAAAATTTGTTTATATTTCAAAAACTGCCCCCCCCCCAATATTTGTCATCTTTGACATCTTTGACAAAATTTGTTTATTTTTCAAAAACTGCTCCTTATTTGTCATCTTTAGTCATTCTGCATTAACTTTGCAATTGATTACACATCTGTGAAGGGGTACAAGCCTGCTAGACTGATTTTCTCACCTTACAATTCCCAATGTCTATAAATTACAACGTCTCATCTTAAGTGGGGTCAGAGAACCAGACTGTAAGAATATGGTTGGTTTTCTTGGATTTTCCAGCATCTCCGAACTCAAAACGTGAAACAAACTAGTTTAACAATATTTTCTATAGCACACTAATCCTCCAAATTCATTTATTTTTGAAAAATTGCAGCAAAATAAAATGTTGTATATTCCCTTTAAAGAACCCAGTAACACTTATCGCTAAGAAAAGGGTTTGCCCCGGTGTTTCTGGCAGTGGCTGCAATGTGTGCCCCAGCACCTTGTAAACTCTTATAAGGTGCTACATAATTGGTCTCATATTTCTCATAAACTTTATTTACCTTTCTTTAATAATATACACGATTTCCAGCGCCTTGAGTACCTAATTGTTGGTAGATACGTGCGCTATATAAGACTCTGAAAACTTAGATTGCACCATTTTATATATTTTGTTACAACTACATGTTACAACTTATTTTAAGGAGTTATTCCATCTTTTGCGGAAAATTAACTTGAGAGAGAGCAAATTCGATTGTTGTAGTCCAGTTAGAGTATTGTTCAACCATCTGAGATCCTCTTCACCGAATTTACATTGATACTTTGGGAATTGTTCAAAATCGGGCTGCTGCAGATTTGTGAAGAGATTTCAGTCGAAGGAGCAGTGTTTCTCCAGTGGTTCGAGACCTTGCATGGAAACGACTCGAAGATAGAGAGAAGGCTTATAGTGCCCGACTCGGATCTTCTTGTACAAAGCACACCATCAACTTGCCTCCATCAATGTGAACAGGTTCTTCGTCAATGATGCCATCCAAAGAAAATGTACTTGTCATTAAATCGTCCTCAAAAAAATTAGGATTGCTACAAGTTTTCCTTCTTGCCAAGAAGTGTAGCCCAATGGAACACTCTACCGGTAAATATTAGGGACTCATCAAGTCTGACTGTCTTTAAATCCAAACTCAACGACGAAAATCTCCTCACACTCACAAAGGGGGGCTCTTAATTAATATGCTGCTAAGTATAGTGTCTGTGCCCTGTGTGGGATATCTTATAGTTTGCACGTGCAGAAATCTACAGATGCAGATACCACAGTAAAAATCTTGCACATGCTCACGTGTGAAATTGGATTACGAAACTGTGGCCTGTCGTCTTCTTATGGCGAGTGCAGTGATTCCATACAAACACGTCGAAAGCTATCCCTTCCCTTGAAACTCCATAAAGCTTCAAATTTGCTGAAGTACTGCGATGCACTACATGGCACTCAATCGTACAAACATGATTCAAGCGGGAAGCCCAAAGTAAATGTTCATTCTGAAAACAACTAGAGGTATAGTCCCTTGTTCATTTCGATTCGCAGGATATGAATGTGGGAAAGTCCAGCATTGTCCATCGTTTTGTGCGTAATAGCTTTTCCGAGGAGAAGACATCAACCTTAGCGTGAGTATGCCAAATGTAGTATACGAGGAAACGATTATTTCGAACTACAATCATTCTGACTGGGTCCAATCCAGAGAGAGGAGGGATATGCCACCGTACGGCTGCGGCAAAAAAAAATTAAACGAAAAATGTTTTTTTCACCCAGTTGTTTCGTAGGAAAAGTGATAGCTTTATGGTTATTTTTTCCCCATTTGGTTTGATCAATTGCGCCCGATATAGCAGACGCAGTTTAGTTGCATAATTAATCGCCGAATCATTCTGGTCGCATTATAGACCCTTGCTGTGCAAGGGGATATTCCACAGACTAATTGAATTGCCGCCATGTTTTATTTGAATCTCAACAGAGCCGCCTTTTTTGAAAAGGAGCTGAGCGTAAATGGGGAGACGGTTAAAATGTGTATATGGGACACGGCAGGATCTGAAAAGGTGGGTAGCCCATCAACAGTACCCCCCAAAAAAGTTGAACACGGAACACATAAATAGAGGCAAAACAGCAAGTTGGGTTTTAAAATCACTGAGAAGGCTTGGTTTTGGTATATAGTCCTAAACCAACTCCTTACTTGGTGATGGATGTGTACATTGAAATAATGGTACACTGTATTGTTGGGCAAAGTTTTTGTTACACTAATTTCGACCAAAAAGGGGTCTCGGCTCATATATATTTAACCTCATACGGACAATTAAAAACCACCTAAAGTTTGTTTTCCAGAATTTGCACACGAAAAACCCCATTCAACAATGCAGTACAACTATGAACATTTCCTAAAGTGCTAGGATGGAGTAACTTCCCATTTTCAGCACTGGTGTCATCCTGAATTATGCATGTATGGGCAATGACGTCACTGTGTTGTCCATTTGCAGTATCGATCCTTGACGCCATTGTACTTCAGAGGCGCCGACGGGATCGTTCTGGTCTACGACATCACAGACGAAGTAAGTTTGAACCATCGCCATCTCAAGTTCTCGTTTAATCAATTGGAGTTTTTTGTGTGTACATTTTAACAAAATTATAATTGTTTTCACAGGATTTGTTAAATCGCGTTTTACGATTCAGCACATCGACTGTCTCGAATGTGCAATCTACATCTATAGACCTCTTGCACAGAGCCCCCTCAGTGAGGAAAGGTCTTTGTTCCTCCATCCATAATACGCACGAGTAGATAATTATTTTGTGATTTCATTGTCATTGCATTTTAATGAAATACCTCCGCACCTTCCAGAAGAGTTTCCTAAATCTGCGCACCGAATGGATTCCATCTATACGGATGCGCACCGACACAAACATGGCGCTGGTCGTGGTGGGCAACAAGTTGGATCTTGAAAAGACGGGTCGAGTTGTCCCATCCGATGAAGCAAGGGGGTATGCTGATCTCTTAAACGCCATCTTCTTTGAAACGAGTGCCAAGACGGGAGAAAACGTGGAGAGAATATTTACCCAACTCGGTAAGAAAAAATTTGCTCCTTCCATAAAGTAAATCGATGGCATAAGGGAGGGCACACCCCCATCACCAGCTGGAGGCCTGGGAATGCCTCCTTTCTCACTTTTGTATCATAAGAACGGAAAGAAGTTTTGGAAAACACGTTTTATACTACTGATTGTATAAGAGTATTTTGCTCCCATTTGATTGTAATAGGTAAACGTGTATGTTATAACAGCAATATCAATTGAGTTTACAACATACTGACAGTGGTTTTCTCGCCCAGCAGGTCTTTGATGCGCCACTTTCTACAACTTTTGCTCCTGCTATAATTTTCAGAAATGGATGGATTCGGGGGTTACAATTTTATAGCAGATATTGTTACATTGGCCTGTTTAAAATTTTGTGTTCATCAATGCTGGAAAACCAAGAAACAAAATGCTGTTCGTGTAGTCTGGTTCCCTGACCCTACTTCAGACGAAACGGAGCAATTTATAGACGTCGGGAATTGTCAGGTTAAGGAACCAGACCAGCTGGCTTGCAGCCGGTCACGGACGTGTACAGTAACCGATTGTAAACAAAATGTGCACTAATTTTGGTGAATTGAGGGGCATTATTTGAAGAAAAAAAAGTAATTTTCTTTCCAACCATCGTTTGTACAAATTTTGTACAAATTCATACAAAAATGCACTTTTCTTGAAAATGACAGCACACCAAGTGCCATGATTTCACAGGATACTTCAGACTATTATTCACTTACAGTCAGGTAAGGTAATTTATAATAATTTGGTAATTTTGTGTTTTTATGTTTGCAAATGTTGTATGTGTTACCTTTTTGTGACGGTTACCTCACCTATAAACTACCAAGAAACGTCAGGGTTTTTTTTCAGGTCAGGGAACCAGACTAGCCCATGGTTTTAATTTCTTCGTTATTTCCTTGCAAACTTTCATGACAGCGCTGAAGATCAGGGAAACTAAGCCTACATCAAACGAGGAAAACGAATTCGAGAGGAGTGTGATCCAAATACCGCCCTCATCGTTGAACAGTGACAAGGACATACCTGATCCATCGAAACGTCGCCGCGCACACAGCAAGTGCACGTGCTAAATTACTACTGACGAAGGAACCATCTTTGTTTTCCAAATTGCTTTCTGCCAAAACCTGAAGGTTATTCAAAAGTGGATCTCCAACCACGCCCAATTTTGGGTTCGGAACAGTCCTCTTTGCACCGAACCTCCACATTTGCAAAATTCAACTGAGTAGAGCCGTAGTAAGATTTTTTTATTTACAAATATCTGCAGCTGTACGCTTGCATAAATGATTTGTTTTGTGTTGCGCCATCTATAGTCCACATGAAGCCAATTGGTTGCTTTTTCTTTTCTTGTGTTTGCGAGAAGAAACTTTGAATTGAATTATGTTTAAAAAGTCAACTACAGTATAGAGAAAGCAAATCCCTCGATATATCTTTGTTTCAGGATAAAAGTTTATTCTTTAATTTTAATCAACAATTACCTTACTGACATTAACATTACGTCAGTGATTTTAGGTTATACTATAGAAAACATCTACCAAACTTTCCGGAGGCTCCAAAATGTTTCTAATAGTGCTGTTAATGGTCACCATCATATAGGAGTAAATTTCGACCCATGGGTTCGCGGCGGTGAAATTATGGTAGGCATAATTAGGCCGATGACTGGCAACTTTCTTCACAAACAAAAATTAAGTATAGAATCAACAACGTTAATTAACGTATCTGATTTGCATCATTATCTTTTTTAAAATACGAAATGCATGATTCATAGCAATTTTTACTAAATATGTGTGCATCGGAGCGAGAACTGATTAGCGAATAACAATGGTCATGGCAAAGACAATCTGTGAGCTTGGCGAATGTGTGGGAACGGGATTGTATTCTACACTTGTGGTTCTGTCCTAAATGCAATTGTTATAAGAATTATTTTAATATATTAACTAAACGTTAAATCGTCGGTAAAAGAATGTCATTTCAATCACTTATTGTATAAAATGGTTTTAAAATCCCGACCCCTCGAAACATGTTTTAAAGTATTTTCCACACAATATTGTCTTGCACAAGTTTGGGTTTTGTTAAGATCTTTCTACACGTTCTTGAAAAGCGACCGCCCATTTCCGATTTGTGATTTACTAGTTTTTGAAGACGCAGATTGTGCATCTCCGAGGTTTGACTGTTGCTGATCTAAAACAAAATGGTTTGTAGGAAAAGTGGAAACAAAATCCTATTTAACCAAATATTAATATGATTTAATCCTTTGATATGTAAATAAGTACTAAAATATAGATAATATCAAGTCAGGCCGAGTTATTTTAAATTCGTGTCCACATGAACTTCCAAGCTTCTAGTAGGAAGAACCACAATTGTTGGGTAGTCCACAAGTGTAGGATAAATTTGTGAGGGAAATTGCAGCATTTTCTAGCTTTTGCCAATTTCCACTGTTAAACCTTTTCAGTATTACGGGAAGGCTATTGTTCAGTACCCCCCCCCCCCCCCCCAGTGAGATCACAACAACATCCTTGTGGAGTCATGTTTTTGTTTGAAAGTGTAGTTTCAAAATGCTCCTACTTTACCCAGAATTAATTTCCTGGGCTCAAATTCGGACTTAATATCCCTTAAACAAAATACTTCAATTTGCGACAAATCAAACCACCTTGAGTAAAATCCATATAACTATTTTGTGATAACCTTGTAGAGGCGTATTCCTCTATAGAAATTGCCCTGTGAAGACCGTTATGTAGCGCGATATGAGACAGAGGGAACCCCCGCCTTTGTGTTGGTCATTGTGCTACCAGAATCTCAGGAATTCTTTTGAGATATCTAGGGATGTGTTAGTCTATGGTTCGCATAGTGGATTAGGGGAGACCCCTTCGTCTCAAATCGTGCTGGGTAAAGTGGAGACGTAGGCCTATACAGTATTTTGTTCCCTATTATGCACATGTCTCTAGGGTACCGTATACCAGATCCCCATGTGATTTTGTCTGTGTGTGTCTTACAGTCACTATGTGGACATGTAAACAAATTGTGTTGACGTTATGTTGACTAAGCCGTGTCCACATAACGTTTCGTCCTCTCTGGAAATCAGGTTTAGAGGCATTTTCGGGTAATCGCAGAATGAAGAGAAACATTCAAGGAAATCAAAAAAATTGGGGTTCAAAGAGTTTTCACAGTTTAAGTAAAGTAATTTTTTGTACCGAGTTTTCTTAACTACACGAAAACAAAGGAATGTCCACATAGCGTATAACATGTGTGTGTGTTGGTGTTTGATGGTGTGTGAGGTGTAATGTACTATTAGGCAACACATACTTATTAGGCCACACAAAACAAACCTGTACAACGCATTGAACGCGAACCATGAATCCCGGAAGTATTACACGTTCATTTCAATTCATTTCGCATTTATAACATGTGGAATTTTCTTTTTCGGGCCATCCATGTATTTGTTCTGAATGACATTTTGTCAATGTGTTATATTTTTGTTCTATATTTATAATTTACTGGTGAATGAATATTTTTCTTGATATGTTTATAGTTTTTGTGCGTTGTCTTTTTTTGCCCGAATGGCCGCCCATACTAGTCTCGTTTCACGCATGTTCTCATTACGCGCATACATAAATCCTGATGGCGGTCCCGCTGTCCCAGTCTAGCCTGCACAACAACTCACAACTGACATCGAAAAGTACACAACTTGATTGTTCGTTCACCCAATTGTTGAAACATGAATTGGACTTTCTTCCGCTTCTGTCCAACATTGTTCGCTGTTGGCGATGATTGATCTGTCTCATTACAAAGGAAACACCATGCTAAATATATATCGTGGGGAATACCTAAATCTATCCCTAGATGCAAACAGGGACCATGTTCAACAGTATTGGTCTATCGTCACTCTCGGTTTCCGGGTTATACGGCCCAATATGCATTCTCGATCGACTGTCAAGAGATAGGCAGAAAAAGATAGAAAACTAGCTAAAGATATCTAACAGCAAACCCGGCATTGTAATGTCTTGTCAAGTGCTTCTCAAGTGAGTTCGAGAACCGACAAGGATGTCGATCAAACGTGAGGGATATAAAATATGCCTGCTTGGGGTAAGTATATATCAACAGAAAGTACTTCTCGTAAATTCAAAACGAATGCATGGGCCTTTAATATTCAATACAATGATCACAGGTCGTGTTCCCCGCAGCCATTAATTCACCGTACACTCTTGAATGGGGAGGTACCAGGCTAATTCTGATTGGCATTATTTGCCTCACTTTCGAAAGTATTTTGAAAGTGGTCCGGGCATTTTAGTGGATGGGCTTTCCATCCGTTATCTTCAGTGCATTATCTATATTCCCTCTGGTTTAAGTTTCCACAGTTTACCTCACTTTCGATTAACGATGGCTAACTCGCGAATGAGGCAATTTTTAGTATTATACCGGGAGCTAGGTTGAGTTTAATTAACAATTTCAGCACAAAAGGTTTGATTGTACCAATCGATTGCCCGTCGGGGGGGGGGGGGGGATAGTTCCGAAATGGCCATTCTTAAGTTGCCCTAGGTCGGATGGGGGTCAGGGGACCATGGTCAAGTGTCCAAAAATTTCGAGTTTTTTAAATTAACATGTCTCGCACAAACGCCGTTTTTTGGACTCAAGTGTTGCGATTGACCCCCTGATACCAAATATGCCACTTAAGAACGGAAAAACGTTGGACAAAGTTACTTAGGAATGAGTTAAAGATTGTATCTATATATGTTTCTATGTATACTGTATAATGTACACGTATATGTCCTGGTCAATAGGCCCATTATTTTTGCCCAAACCGTGCCCAAATTTGTGATAAGAGCATGAAATATGGCGTACAGATTCAAAACAGTCTAAGAATCATTTTAAGAGGTGGACCCACCTTGAAACCTGCCGGTTTGGGGGCAGAGCTTGATTATTTTAAAAAGTGGGTAAAAGGAATAAAAACTCAGAAGAAGTGCGTTTTATTCATTTTCTTTCTTTTTCCATGCCTTGAAATAAATTTGGACATGACATTAAACATTCTAGCATTAGAATAGTTTGTCACTTGACATAAGAATGTAGATGACTTGTGATTGACACGTGAGGACTTGAGAAGACATGTGGTTGACTCTCAGGATCTGACGTCAACCTGGAACAGCAATGTTAGTGGTTCATACTTCATACGAATGCGATACGAATTTGACGTCATGAAGCATTCGCTGCGAAGTTCGCCCGAGTTGAAATGTGTTCAGGATTTGCGAACTCGCAGCCCGAAAACTTGCCCTGACGTCACAAATTTGCGTTCGCGTTCGCTTTCGCGCCGAGTGTGAACCGGCCTTGCACCTTATGCACGAGGAAGTCCATTTTTGGTCGAGTTCCCTGAATGTATTTTATAAATTGTGAATTGTTGAATGGGATGTTGCCAGACTATTGTAGCCTCTCTTTCGTTTTTTTTTAATGTGGCTAAATATATAAGGGTATGTTTAATCACAGTTAGTTTACATTATCCATCAGAGCAGACTGATACATAACTTTATGTCACTGCTTTCATTTCTATTCGCAAGTTTCAAAAATGAAGAATTTACCTCGCTTTCAATTTAACATGGCGGACTCGTGATTAAAGCCCATGAGCTAGAACAAAATCTCCTAGTCATTTTTTCAACTTTCAGAACACTGGAGTTGGGAAGTCATGTATTGCTCATTGGCTAAAACATGATGAGTTCGACGAAAAATTGGATAATACCATTGGGTAAGTGTTGTGCAATTTCCACCCGGAATAAATAGTTATAACGTTAATAACATGGCAGTTTTAAAGGATTTCATTTCGAAATGGAATCACCATGTCAGTACAATGTTGTTTGTATATTGCAAAAGACAGGCGCGAAAGACATCTTTGCACGGAATATAATAGACAAATCCGGCGGCAGCCATTTTTTGCGGTGACACCAGGCTCGCGCGAGTCGCGCTCAGGTAGTACACACGCTCTCCGGGCTCCTTCCACCAATAGGAATACCAAAATGCGCGTGCGCCTCGTCTTTAAGAACGCGTGCAGCATGCACGTGAGCGTGACACCACCGCAGTAAAAGCTTCTAATTCTGGCCACCGGATTCCACTGAACAATAAAGCTTCCCACAAGGCTCGGCACTATAGCTTTAAAATTTCTGTGAATCTAAAAAGCAGTAAGCCGCCACTGGCGCCTCTTGATAGAGCGACCACAGCCTCGACTCCATGGGCGCGTGCGCGTTCCTTACACTAACCCCTGGCTGTGATGATGACGTAAATGACGCTGATTGGCTATTCACAGCGTACTGCGCGCGCATTTCGAAGATTGCACGCAGGGCGCGCCATAATGCGCTCGCGTGCTTTGTACGTAACGTCACCTACGTCTCCTAAACAAAAATTGTTATTCAAAATTCGCGATGCCTGTACGATATGGATTATGGCAGCCTCGTTTTTTCGCTAAAAAAACCCCTGTATCTTCGGTTGTAAAGGGACGAAAGGGGCACGTACATTAATACAAATCTTTGCTAGATAACGCAACGTCCAAACGTTTTGTTTGAAAGGATTGATTCTTCAGAGTCACACCTTTTAACGTTTTAAAGATGGCGTCGGCACGTAAAACGGATAGACTGCAGCCTAATTATAATGTGCCATATTTTGACACATTTAATTTACACAATCCCCAGCCTCGACTCCAGGGGCGCGTGCGCGTCCCTTACACTAATCCCTGGTCGTGATGATGACGTAAATGACGCTGATTGGCTATTCAGAGTGTACTGCGCGTGCATTTAGAAGGCTGCACGCCGGGCGTGCCCATAATGCACGGAAACATCACGTACGAATAAATAAAATGTTATTCGAAAGTCGCGATGCATGTACGATATGGATTATGTCAGCCTCGTTTTTTGCTAAAAAAAACCCCTGTATCTTCAGTTGTAAAGGGACAAATCTTTGCTAAATAACGCATCGTCCAAACGTTTTGTTTGAAAGGATTGATTCTTCAAAATCACAACTTTTAGCATTTTAAAGATGGCGTCGGCACGTAAAACGGATAAACTGTAGCCTTTAGTCAAGGCCCACGCGTCTTGATCCGGACACGTGACGTGCCCCGAATGCTGGCACGTAAAAATACTATCCAGCGAGCGGCAAAGCCGCGAGGGCCTTTACCATCTCGTTGAGCTAATCACTTATTCATGTATTCAAGTATGCATAATGCAGATATATTTGAACCAATCACGACAAAGAACTCTTTAAAATCTTCTATTTTTGTGGAAGAACTACTAATTTAAATTTTCCTACGGTGCTTAAGACGCACCGTTGGAAATGCCTTCTTTCGTTGATTTCTTCAAAATGAGAGCTTGCCAGAATGAATAATTTCACAGGGAGTTTAGTCCCCTTACTATCTTTCAACCAGTATGTTTTTCAACAATAATTACGCCAGTTACCTACTTTGGCAAATGATGGACTCTGGCTTTAAGAAGCACCGTAGGAACTTTTAATTTAGTAGTTCGTTTTATTATTCGGCGCAGCTGGCGCAAGCATTGGCACGACGCACAGGCGCGCGGTGTTGCCATACTTCGTCGGATCAGTGCGCGACATCGCGTAAGCTGCAATTCAAAACAATTCAAAACATGATTTAGCAAATTTTGATTTGAAATTGAGATCCTAGAATGCTGTTTTTCTCGGAATATACAGCTGAAGCTGAGCTGAAACTTCATCAGGTTTGTTGTTCAGTATCCTTCATTAGATTTTGAACACTTTTGTTGCTTCAAACGAACAAAATGCACAAATTACAAATGATGGACTATGTCTTTAACTGTTTTTACGTTGTAATGATTCTGTGAGCAAAACAGGCTGCGTCACGCGGCTTGGCGCGATGCGCGAATTATCATGTGGCTTCGATTTACACGCATACTTCATACGTATACCACGAGTGTTCAGGCCAGCGCCAATGCACTTGTGCACCACTTAGGGTTTTTCTTCCCCACACGCGTACGTACAGAACCAAAAGATTCCAAATAATGCGCGTAGTGAGACCATAGATATAAAATTCTATACATGTATGTATGAGTGAGACCAGTGAGACCGCCCTCTTGCGCGACGCGACGCGTTCGCATAATACGCGTAACATTTTGCTCACAGGCGCAATAGCAAATGTCGTGTCTAGGTTTTTATTATACGTCTATGAGAGCGTGCGATCTGCGTATTTCAGTGACGTCATGCATGTTCAAGATTATGTTTTGCACGGATATTGAATTGACGCCATGTTTTATTTGAATCTCAACAGAGCCGCCTATCTTGAAAAGGAACTGAGCGTGAACGGGGAGACGGTTAAAATGTGTATATGGGACACGGCTGGAGCTGAAAGGGTGGGTAGCCCACCAACAGTACCAATTTACAAAAAAGTTGAAAACAGAATGCATGTCAAGGCGAAACAACACGTTTAATTTAACGAGAAAGCTTTGTTTTGGTATATTCTATCCTATACCAACCCCTTACTTGATGATGGATGTGTACATAGAAATAATTATATACACTGTATTGTGGTACAATGGGTTTTTTTTATATTTTGACCAACAAAGGATCTCAGCCTTTTATTCAACCCCGTCTGAGCTCGTTTTCAGAATTTGCACCCAAAAACCCCACCTATGCCACAATGAAGTACAATGTATACACAGTGCACATTTTCTAAAATGTGATGAAGTCACTTCAACCCATTTCGGCACTGGTGTGGCATCATGAATTATGCATGTGTCGGCAATGACGTCACTGTGCAGTTCTCTTTGGCAGTTTCGAGCCTTGACGCCATTGTACTACAGAGGCGCCGACGGGATCGTTCTGGTCTACGACATCACAGACGAAGTAAGTTTGAACCATTGTCATCTCAGCTTCTCGTTTAAGCAATAATTGGGTTTTTTATTATTAACAAATGATTTTTTTCACAGTTTTCATAATCGCGTTTTTACGATTACGCACATCGACTGTCTCGATTGTGCATGAAATCGACAGGTATAGACCTCTTGCATAGAGCGCCCTCACTAAGGATAGGTCTTTGTTCCTCCATCCGTAAAACGCACGAGTCGATATTTTGTATTACTATACCTCATTATTCATGATCGAGAGCCGAATTTTCACTCCATTAACCTTCATGTGTCAGCTATTTTTGCTGTTTATACCAAGCGCGCATGCAAGCATTCACGAACAGGATAAATAGGCATGCGTAGTATACTATCTATTACCCATGCGATTAGTCTGGTTCCCAGAACTGACATTTATTCCCGACGCTCACGTTTAAACTGTAGGTCAGGCAGCCCCGTGGCTAAAAATAAACATGACGACATTGACGGCCCTCTATCAAAGCTCGGCTTCGTTTCATCGCTTGTAGCTTTTAATGTTCCGATCAAATTTTTAAATAAATCACTTGCTTCAACATACCATACAGTTATAATAATACAGTTTGATATTTCTGTGAGAAAACATTGACTAATGTTGACCTGGAATCTTCAGTTCGACACCCAAATAGCACTGTTAGCAGGCGAAGCCGAATGGAGACCACGCCGAGTTTTGGAAAATCTCGGTATATAACATTCGTCAAATTCAAAATAGTTCATGACGCAGCAAAAAAATCGCCCCTCGTATACGATCCGAGTATACTTGATGTACAAAATCGCCGTTGAATTTCAAGTTTTCTAAATGAAACAATGAATATTAATTATCAACTATTTTTAAAAACAGTTTTTAATAAGAAATTATTATAAATAAAACCTATATTGACTCCGCGGAAATACTAGGGCGCTATCCGATTGTCAACGAAACGAATTCAGCAAACTTCTGACATTTTGGTAAATGGAGGAATGCCTCCCATTTTAGTAACATGACGTAAATTGTTATACAATGTATTACCGAAGGCTACCTGACCTAAGATTCATCAGGAATAGTCAAAATCGTTTGGTCTGGGAACCAGACTACCATGCGATAGTCCACTACACGTGCGTGTTACGAAGCAATCGTTGGACTGCCGCATCGGTTTAGTGTGCATGCGCACTATACACATGAAAAGATGACGGCACACGTAAAAAATGTTAATCAGGGTTTTCCCGAGCTCAATGATGCCGAACTGGAGAAAAATGCCTCTCCTTCAAAAAAAGTTGTCCACAATGCGGTATAGTGTATTGCAAAAGAACTGAACTTTCCTGAAGTTGAGCAATAATCTTTTGGTGAGTAGTATTGCAATGGGACTATTCGGCAACTGAATATGTATGAGGTAGAGTAAAACAAATATAATATGTATTACTTCGGATGGATTCGCCTCGGGAACTATAGTGTGTCAACGTTCAGTACCTCGGGGAGCTAATATCGACTATCCATCCTCAAACCATGTTTATGCATACTTTCATCGCCACTGCTTTAAATGAAATACCTCCACACCTTCCAGACAAGTTTCCAAAGTCTCCGCACCGAATGGATTCCAACTATACGGATGCGCACCGACACAAACATGGCGTTGGTCGTGGTGGGCAACAAGTTGGATCTTGAAGAGACGGGTCGAGTTGTCCCATCCGATGAGGCAAGGGGGTATGCTGATCTCTTAAACGCCATCTTCTTAGAAACGAGTGCCAAGACGGGAGAAAACGTGGAGAGAATAATTGCTCAACTTGGTAAGAAATAATTAGCTCCTTCCATGAAGTCATTCGATGGCATAAGATCTAGGGGCACACCCCACCCCCACCCCAGCCCCCATCACAAGCTGGAGCCCAGTTCTCCCTTTCATTTTGATTACCATGGGAAAGAATTAGTTTTGGAAAACACGCTTTTATCTAAACCTATACAACTGAATCGGGAGTATTCCTCCTGTTTCAATGATAAATGTAAGCACGTCTATGCATCACAGTAAGACCAATCTTAAATGCTTAACTAGGTCAGGGAACCAGACTAGCCCACGGTTAAAGCTCTTCGTTATTTTCTTGCCAACTTTCATGACAGCGACGAAGATCCGGGAAACTAAGCAGGCATCAAACGAGGATGTGATTCATAATCCGACCCGACCGAAGAACAGCGATAACCAGGAAACATCTGGTCAGAATCGTCGCCGCTCCCACAGCAAGTGCACGTGCTAATAAGAAAATAGACGAAGGACCCATCTTTGTTTTCCAAATTGCTTCTGCCAAAAACCTGAAAAGTTATCCCAAAGTGGATCTCCAAGACTCCAACTCCGCACAATTTTGGGATGGGTAGTGGGTAACAGTCCTATTTGCAACGAACCTCCATATAGGTGACATTTGCAAATCAAAATGTGTTTCAAATTCATTTGAGTATAGCCTGAGCTTGAAATAAAGTGCTCATCTTTACTTAAAATTTTAAATACAACTATCTGCAGCTGTATTCCTAGTTCCTACATTTGGAAATATTATTGATTTATTTATCTAGCGCCCTCTATAGTCAACATGAAGCCAAGTGGTCGTTCGCTCGTACCAACCCGCCCTGCAAACAGGACGCTGGGAAGGGCTGATCTCTTCGAGCTCTCATTGGATAGATTTTGCGGACCTGTGACGTAGCATGCAGCACTGTTGCTGTTTATCATGCGTAACGCGCTAGATAGTACAAGCGAGGGTCATGATATGTTTCCCATAATGCCATCCGTACTTCCTTCACAAGATTCTGTGAAGCTGCAACCTCGTCCCCAGTGCTCACTTTATTTCCAACCTCGTTTCCAATAATAAGCCCTGGATAGGAAACTTTCTTTCTGATCCTGATTCGCGTCCTCGAAAATACTAATTTTCTTTCCAATTTGCGCACATTAATATGAGATATGATACTGCATGTTGTCTCGATAAGATCATCATTATCATCATCAGTCTCCAAATTCAGCTATGTTGAGCCACCCATGCCAACCGATCAGTCGAGATGGGCCACAGGGCAGGGGCTGACAGAGCATGGTCAGCATCAAGCTGTCACACCCAGGTATTTCGAGGTCGGCCGCGTAGTCGTGACCAACCAGGATCATAACATTCGTTTTGATAGGAAGGTAATATCAGTAAATTTACTGATAAAATTAAATGAACAATGAAAATCAGACTTTTAATGTTAATTATTCGGAATTCGCTTTCTCTAGTTGAATGATTTAATATAAGGTTTTTTTTTACAGTTTCTCTCACAGTTTTTACCCCAGACACCGCATACAAAAACAACCGCTAATGTAACGCACATGCAGGCACCAGACTATTTCTCATTTGCATACGTGTTCAAAAATCTTGCACATGCAAATGATCCAATACCAGGGTGAGAGAGCAGGTAGTGGTGGGTGCGTACTGCTCGACACCCTGGGGACGAGGTTGGTGGAGCGGCATCAGCTATTCCGAGCGTCCGTGTTTGCAGGGCGGGGGTACGAGCGAAAAGGGGTCGCTCCCACCAGGTGCAGCGCACAGACTGTTCCAAGTTGCATTTTGTTTTGTTTCTTTGTTTGTGAAACTGTGACAAACTTACTTCAAATCATTCAACTAGAGAAAGCGAATTCCGAGTAATTAAAAGTCTGATTTTCATTGTTCATTTAATTTTTATCAATAAATGTACTATTACCTTCCTATCAAAACGAATGTTATGATCTTGAATAGTGATCTGTATCAAAAATGGGATTCTGAGATAGATTTCAATTGTAATGGTGAGTGTATCAATGTTGTTGATATATTGGACATTATATTTCAAACATCCGGATCTTTTAAATTGTCAATTTAAAATCTGTAATGGTTGAACCAAAAAAATGACCAATTAATTGTTTTAATGTCGTCTACAGATAAACGAACTATTACATATAGCTAAATAATCCCATGTACTAAACTTAAGGAGAGGCAAAACATGATGTAATCTCAAAGGATACTCTTTGTAAACCCGGCTGCCTAATAATTGAATGTTCAATTTCACTATTGTAACCCTTCCCAGGGTTTGGAGTTTGTACCTATTAGTGGAATAAAACATAACATAATATTCAAACTGTCAGGTAAACCTTTTATCTATTTTTTTACACTTTCTCGAAAAGAACTCGGGATCTAGCTCAAAATCGTTTGCCACATTCTGCTTTGGGAAAATCGAATTCATATAAAATGAGGACAAAGTTTGTATTTTCATCTGGATTGTTAAAAGCCTATAATTATAAGCTAGAGACGAATACAATGTTTAAAATGGGCTATAAACCTTCATTGACATTATACTCTGCATTGCATCGTGGGTATGGACGACAAACAAGCAGTTTATGCAGTTTATGCACAAACCTATGGGACAGGAAAATGACATTACACAATTTTCTGGGAATCCAGTTTTTGCCAACTTCCATTTCCCAACCTGTTCAGCATAGGAAGGATATCATTGCTCAGTCATGGTATACTACTACTAGTCACAGTTTACAACAAATGGGCGTGATTTCCTGGTACGTAGGCCAACAATACCTGGGCTGTACAACGCAAACAGTCGCGGCAGTATGTTGGTAGTTGGACACGAGTCATGCATACACATAGCACAGTAGCTTTCACAAAGGAGATTTGCATGTACAATAACAAGAAAGCTAATTCTTTCCACTGAGTGCCACCAATTGTGTAGGACCTCTTAAATGACCTTTCGACCATTTATGAGGACTAAGAAGGTACCGTATGTATTTCACTGATAGTTATGTCATGATTTCAGTATGATGTTTTAGTGGAACCGTTGAAAAATGCTACCACGATATCATGGAGACTGACTGACATGTTTATATTGTATTGTACATCATACATGTAGCATAAAACCAGGAAGTATACATGTAGCTGCAGCGATATGTTTCCTGACCTTCACTGCGTTGGAGCCCCTGAACCGGACTCGACCCTTCAGATGGACGTGCAACGTACGTATAACCATAATGAACTCTGATCCCAGTGCGAAGGACAGACTCCGATGGCAGTGCTAGCAGGCTACATAATATAGTGCCAGTTAGTTCGCTGACCATGAAGCAAGGATGAACTTCGTGTTTACATGTGCACAATAGCCAGTGTGTTCACGAACCATCATACGCACTAGTGCTAGAGTTCAGTGGAGTTGACGTTTGTAAATATACAAGTTTCGTAAATATACGAAATATGCAAGTCATGTCAGCGTCATCACTGTGAAACGAAGTGTGACCACTCGTAGTTATAGCAGTCAGCCAAAATAATTATATTTATGCATTCCGCATTAACACGAATAGGTCAGTACAGACATACAGACTATGCTAGCCGACTGTGATGACGTGCGGCTAGACCGGCCGCCACAACTTGACCCAAACGGTCTGATGACGTAGCCGGTCAATGCCTATGTGCAGTTCAGCACGTAGACTACAGACTATTATATAGGCGGACACTGTGACGTGTGGACGTACACAGCGCATGAGAAAATAGAGTACCACAACAACACTGATATCGCCGTGTGTTCACGAACATGCTGGCAGGATCTGGAGGGTCGCCGGACCATGTAGATAGCGGAGAATTTGCGCTTATAAACATTTCGCCGCTCGCAAGACCCAATATGACCGCCAACACCCTGACGAACGGAGGAGCTGATACGGACCTAAATGGAACAGAGACTACATTGGAGATGGCAAATACACCGGTGAAGTCGAGTAGGATGAAAAATATGCCGAGACCGCCGCCGATCGACATTGAACTTGCCCGCTGTGTGGATCAAGATGTCCTGGATTGCGAGTTTGACGATTGCAGTTCGGCTTCCTCGGAGGACAGGCCTCGTTATGCTGAAAATGAGGACATGACAGAGGAGGACTCGGGGTCCTCACTTTGTGTGGCCTCCCCCCAGAGTATCAGCTCGCCAACTGTGACCTCACCGGCAAGTGTGGCCTCTTCCTCTGACACAACGGATACTGGTATTCTCAGGCGGAAATCTTCCATCAAAGACAGCAGTAAGACACCGGAGACCCCGGGCGGAAAGTCGGTGCGGTTTGCTGATGCCCTGGGCCTGGACCTGGAGACAGTTCGGGATATTTTGGAGTCCGAGTCGCCCCCAGATTACCCATCGATGGCTGCCGCTGCTTGTGCGGCTGCAGCGGGCCTCGATGCGTCAGGCCGGACGGTCGCTCTGTCGATCCAGCCCCGCTACCTCTCCATGTCATTCATACAACCCGGAGGTCAACCGGATTTCATAACGCGCGTGAACCAACAAGGGGTCTGCTTGGAGAACGCCATACTTTCGGATTTCACCGTGTTGGGGACGATCAAGGTGCAGAACTTAAGCTACCACAAGAGAGTTAAGGTGAGGTACTCCTCAGACGGATGGAAAAGCTTCGGGGACATCCCGGCGTCGTACGTTCAGAACTCCTGCGACGGCCCCACCGATCGATTTTCCTTCGGCCTGACGGCACCTCGCGACATGGCAGTTGGGGATCGCCTGGAATTCTGTCTATGCTACACGGCAGGCAGCAAGGAATATTGGGACAACAACTTCGGTAAAAATTATGCTCTGGTTTGCCATACACAGGGTGAAGTTATCGACGCCGAAAACTCTCTCCTGTGGACGCATTTCTTGTAAGTCTCAAGTTTTTTGGTTGAATCTTAGCCTCTGAGGGCTCCCTTCAATTAAAAAACTTGACTCTTTAACTTGACCAGAAAATTAAACATTGTATACAAAGTGTAATTGTGTAAATGCTACATAACTTATGCTTAACTTGGTCGAATTTGCAAATCTAACCAAATGTTTGAAATACTTTTGAAATACTCTTCCAGCTTGTAGATTTTGTTCCTCCAGATTTAGTTTATTACAATTTTTATCTTTCTTTTAAGTGATATTTTTTAAGTTGACGTTAATAAATTAAGAACAATGCGATTGTATCTATTACATCCAAATACTCCTCAAAGTATATTCAAAGAGGTAAACCTATTTTATAATTCTTGATGTCGATTTAACAAGTACTGATATGTTGAACAGTTGGAAATCAATTTAGATTTAGAATAGGTTAGGTTAGAATAGTTTGCTTTTAAAACAAAATGAAATTAAATATATTAGACTGTCTTGTGAAGCCATTGAAATAACCACGGTGCAGAAAATTAGCGGGTATTGACACGATTTGTTTGAATACAATGTAAAGAAAAGAGCAATGTTTTTGATAACATAAAAGACTGATTGGAGGCTGAATGCATTTGGAATTTTACTATATTTTAAAACCAACGCTTGTTGGCATTCTTGGCAACCCATTAAACTTAAAATGAAATTAAAATGCATAGTGGATAAAAGTCGAAGATTAAAGCTGGGAGCTTTTTCTTCAAATACTGAAAGAAATTATGAAAATAGCACTTTGGGTTCCTGAGAAAATGCCAATTATGTAAAAGTAGTCATTTTTCATCCTGTACACTAGTACTTCTAACAGTGAAACATTTTACTGTAAGCCTACAGTGTAATTATCCTTCATTTGTGCAATTGCTTTAGTATTTTGACATATTTATGATGCTGAAAGGGTTTAAAACAGGACTAAAAAGGATGAGATACCTGTTCAGATGGAAAATAAAAGGTATTTCCATTTAATCATTTGTCAAATTATGTGCCATGTTGTTTGTAAGCATTAGGACATGCACAAAATAGGTACAGTGAAAATCCCTTACTGTTGTAATGTTTTGTGTACAGGATGAAAAATGACTACTTTTTACATAATTGGCATTTTCTCAGCAACCCAAAGTGCTATTTTCATAATTTTTTTCAGTATTTGAAAGAAAAGAAAAGCTCTTAGCTTTAATCTGATACCCATGACGTAAAATTCCACAGATCTCCTTTTTTTTTATAAAACGCAAATGTTTTAGGGTTGCATTTTTTGGGTGGTCACCCTGTACAGTGAAAATCACTCTATTTTTACCTTGAAATACACAGACAAAAAAGACCCAATTCAGTTGAAACTCGAGTGACAACTTGATCTTTTCGGCTGAATGAATTTCACGCCACAGGATGAGCCCCCCAAAAAAACTGACCGAATTAGAAAAAAAAATATTTAAAATATGTGGCTCGCTCAAAAAACAGGTATAAAGTAAGTTTTATTGGCAAGTAAATTTGAATATGTCACGTAATTTGCGTACTATATTCCCAGGTTAAGTCTAGTTTAATGTGAAGATCACAAAATTAAGCTGTCCACCACTCATCATTTACCGTTCTACGAACTGTTGAATACCAATTAAATACAATGAAACATGGACGTTTTCCCACTTGGATGAAAGGAAGAGAACTGGCAAAGGAAAACATACCAACATCGCCATTAATATTTCAGAAAAGTATGGACGGCTCGTTCCTCATATTCAAAACACCAAATCTGACACTTAATTGTTTTCAGTCAAATCTCATAAATGTTTGAATGCTTGTGTGTAATCTGTAATAGTCACTCGGCTCAGTAGCTTCCAATGTCATTCCATGGACAGCTATAAAAATGGGTCCTTTTAGTAAAACTGCATAATTTCTGATGGCATGGATCAATTTTAGTAATTTTTTTTTAGATGAGTGGGAGAACATGCTCTTTTTAGATGTACTTCATTGATGTATCAAATGTGATTGCTTTAAAAAAAATCCTTAATTGGGTCAATTTCTTTTTGACTTACGCTGTAAAACGTCAGGTCCCTATAGTTTCAGTCAGTGGGAGTAAATAATTGTCACTCGAATGGAGTGCATTTTCACTGTTTAAAAACAAGAGATATATTTCACTGCCTTGTTTTGTTTCAGGAAATCATACACTGCGATTCTCAATAATTTCACTTGTTGCTATAGATACTATGCAAATATGAAATAATAGCTGATTGAATACCCACGGTAACGCAATAAAAGTGGATTCATATTTAGAGAGCTCGATTATCGAGGTATAGACCTTGATCATGATGCTGCCGTATTTGTCTTGTTCCCTGTAGACTCATTGACAATAGTGATACAACTTCACATATTGATAAAAGGAACATACTATTTTCCAGCCTCATTTGGTTACATTGCTTTGAATGGCAGAAAAACAAGATGGCGCTACCCTATGATAAAGGTTTATTGCTCTCACCCACCAGGCGGTGGTCTGTAGTGTCTTAGAATTAGCTCAAAATTTTACTAGACCATAGACTGAATAGAGTGTCGAAATATGAAACGCACACATTGAATTAAAGGTGTAATTATTAGCTGAACAATGTTAAACCAGTTAACGGACATGAGTATTATTGTTTATTTTTTTTTATAAAACGAAATGGAGAATATTTCTCCATAAAAAAATAATTGACACTGACGTGGTAAAATATCAAATTCAGGATCATTTCGTCACCGGTTTTACGAAGGGACGGGCATGTGGATTTTGAAGAAAAACCGTTTTCGAGATATTCGCAAAGAGAAGTTTCTCCGTTTTTAAAACAGCAAAAACTACTACTTTGCAACAACTTAATGCAATAAGGAAACCTTGACGTAATTCTTTGATAGGTAAACTTTAATTTGAATCCAAAATTATAATTAATACAGTGGTTAATTAGCCAAAGTTAATTAGTAAAGACTTCCGTCCCTTCGTGAGAACAAAAATCCAAGTGTTTTACATACTTCTTGTTTTATGTGCTCTTGCATAGGGAAGGGCGCGCGTGTTCGATTACGCGGGCGCAGCTGAGAATGTAACAAAGATGCCCGTCCGGTCCCCTCGTGGAAACGAAAATGTTCGTTGACCTACTTTTACCGCCTTTCCGTGCAAAACGTTTTGTACGTGTTCACGGGGCGGGGGCAGGCATGTTCGCGTCTCTTCGTGAAATCGCAAAATGCTATTACCGAGATGCCTGCCCCTGACGTCATTAATGTTATTCAGAAATTAATGATGTTTTGCTTACGGAAACATGTCAGAATGCTTAAGTACCATGTTTTAAAGCAAAAAGTGAAAAAAAACTCGAAATCGAACAAAATTGTCCATTTTGAAATGCCCGTCCCTTCGTCAAAACGGTGACGATTTGACCTTGTCAAAACCTCGAGACCATCCGTCTAGTTTTGTCACAGCGAGTGATGAGGTAATGTACAACTGGTCTCGGTCTAGTCCACTAAATTTGCGAGCCCAGATAGTTTTGTAAACACAAAGCAACTCAATATTGTTATTTACAATCGAATGTATACAGTAAGCCTAAATTTATTGTCTGCCATATACCGCTAGCGCTGTACATACAAACATGTACGTGCGTAACGTGTGCTGAGTGCATGCATGTGTTCTATCAGATAATAAACGGTTGAGAGCCGTGCGCAAACTATGTGACCTCACAGCGCAGTGTACCCGAAATAGACCACGATAATAATTTGCTCAGGTCAGCCGAATTAATGAAGGGGTTTTTGAAACGTCGGTGTCGTCTATGCTGTGGATTCAGGTTCAGGAGGATTTGGGGGCGGGACCCGGCTCAAAATAGATATGCCAAACTCCGCTTCAGGAAAATCAAATCCTGTGATATGTGGGCAATGTTTGATGCGGTTCCATCAGTTTTGTGTATAGTAAACGGCTGAAATTATTTTCGGAGCCCGAGTTGATTAATAGGTACAGACGAAGCCTAAGTTTCGAATCTCAAAATACATGTAGGTGAATTAAACAAGTTGATGATATTAAAATGGTTTATGTGAAAGACGTCTATCGTAATAGTTTTATTTAGAAGCCTCGCAAAGAGACTAACTTGTTATTTCCTGTGACTTACGTCCGTTAGCTAGGTTCGCGGAGGAGAAATTATCTTGTGAGAACTTGTGTTGTCTCTTATTCGGAAATATCAAGGGGAATATAGATTCTAGTTCCAAAGATCAAGGGTCAAAGTCGGTATGTAAGCCAGACATTTTTCGGTACGGTATGCATTCAAAGCATATTCCCGTTTCTGAGCTGCACGTATACGTACATAATGCACATGTACATGTACTTAGTGCATTTATATGTACGTACTTTCCAACGTTCATGCATAGGGTACCAGACTTCATCTGGCGCATACAATAATTACATGGCGGTCACGTTTTTTGTGTTTATTCAATTTCAGAAGATTGGCTCGTTATTGAAACCATGGTGTAACCGAGATTGCACGATTTTTTCCCATCAAAATGTAATTGTAAACAAGTCTGTGGTGACATGATGGCATTTACGTTCTTGAATTTTTCATGGAATAAAACATAAGATGGAAAACATTGGAGCAGGAAAACGTGACAGTGCCATCTAAAGTTGTCGGATATTTTGTATAGGCCTACTCCTGGGGAAAAAAAGCATTCTTCCGTTTCTTGGTATACTCTTTGATTTGCCTCGCAAACGACTTGTGTAGCTTGAAAAAAAAATTGTCAAATTTGGATGTGCACACTCGCAGATGGAATGTCGAAGTGGTCCAATCTGCGAGTGTGCGCATAAAAAAATTACGATTTTTCCCCCGGGATAAACAAGTCGTTTGTGTGGTAAATCAAAGAGTACCAAGAAACTGAATAAACTGTTTCCGAGCCCCACATGCTACTTATCCTTTTAACAACTGTATACAGTTTAATGGACATGCAGCATGAGGTATTTGGAAACAGTCCTGTCCTTATAAAAATAAAAAAAACTTTCCTCATACGTTATTTAGTTTAAGGCAATTGTTCATAACCCTACAAACCCAGACATGGTTACTTTGGATAGCATGAAGGGTTGCCCGCAATTGCAGACGGGTTCAACTTTGGGTCAAACATTTTATGAGCTTAGCCTGCTCCAGCAGTCCACATGCAGCCTTTGTATAAAATTGGAATTTGATATTTTGCAATTGGTGATCAAACGTAAACTTAGCTGACTAGTGTGAAGCGGAAACTCTCATAAAAAGGAGGAAACACACTGGAACTCCGGGGTTTAGAGCAACTCTGTATGATGGCCCGGAAAGGACGTCACAGACAGCTTGAATGCTTATACAACATAGTTATTCTTTTTGGTTGACACCTGGAGCTTCACAGTCGTGAACACAAACTGACAAAAAAATCGCATTCAAATCACGACAGCACAAAATATGCCCACAATTTAATTTCGTATATTAAGAAATGTGAGATGTCG